ACGATTGTTGATCAAGTTGAAGGGCGTGATGCTCCTCCGTCCATCATAGAGCTTCATGAATGACTCCTCAACCATGAAGCCAAGTTGCTGTCTAGTGGTCTCACTCCGTCGTTTCCTGCTTCTGCGAACGTCGCTCAACAACGCTCCTCCTCCGCCTCTTCCAACAACAACTACAACCGCAACAATCGCAACCAGAACCGCAACAATCATTCACACGCCAACAGTGATGTGGTGTGGCCATCTCCACCGTCTGCTCCTCGTCCCCACCAGAACGTTGGTCGTCCATACCTAGGTCGTTGCCAAATCTGTAGTGTTCAGGGACATAGCGCGCGGAGATGTCCCCAACTCGCTGCGATGACTTCACAATCATCCCCGCAACCACATCCTCCACTCACACCGTGGCAGTCACAGCCTCGTGCCAATCTCGCGGTCGGGTCTCCGTACATCGCAAGTAACTGGCTTCTTGACAGTGGTGCAACCCACCACATCACGTCTCAACAATCTCTCGCTGCATCAACCGTACACGGGCAGTGATGATGTTTTAATTGGTGATGGCTCTCCTTTAGCCATCTCTCATACCGGTTCTACTCACTTACCCTCTTTATCTAAAGATCTGCTGTTACATAAAGTTCTTTGTGTTCCTGACATTCATAAGAACTTGATTTCTGTTTATCGCTTATGTAACACTAATCAAGTGTCCGTTACATTCTTCCCTGCTCACTTTCAGGTGAAGGATCTCAGCACGGGGGCACTTCTTCTACAAGGCAGAACTAAGGACGAACTCTATGAGTGGCTGGTGTCGTCTCCACAAGCTATGGCAATGCTTACCTCCTCCACTAAGAGTACGTTAGCGTCGTGGCATTCGAGACTTGGTCACCCATCTCCACCTATCCTAAACTCTATAATTTCCAAGTTTTCTTTACCTGTTTCTTCTTCTTCCTCCGTCCAAAACTTTATTTTGTTCGAATTGCCACATCAATAAGAGCCATAAGTTACCTTTTTCTGTTTCATCCATTGTCTCCTCTCGTCCATTACATTACTTGTTTACTGATGTTTGGACGTCTCCCATTACCTCCATTGACAACTACAAATATTACCTCATTCTTGTTGATCACTATACTAGATATTCTTGGCTATATCCTCTCAAACACAAATCCCAAGTAAAAGAAACCTTCATTGCCTTTAAAGCCCTTGTTGAAAACCATTTCAAGTCTCGAATTGACACACTCTACTCGGATAATGGTGGAGAGTTCATTGCGTTACGGAGTTTTCTTGCAACTCACGGCATCTCACATCTCACTACACCGCCGCACACTCCGGAACACAATGGACTCTCCGAGCGTAAACATCGTCATGTGGTGGAAACCGGCCTCACTCTCATGACCGAGGCATCATTACTGAAGCACTATTGGCCATATGCCTTTGCTGCTGCTGTCTACTTGATCAATAGACTGCCCACACCGGTCTTGAACAATGACTCACCGTATCATCGCTTATTTGGGACGTTGCCAAACTATGGGAAGCTCCGGGTCTTTGGTTGTCTATGTTTTCCCTGGTTGCGTCCATACACGGCGCACAAGCTTGACGCTCGCTCTAAACCTTGCGTGTTTGTTGGGTATTCTCTCACACAGAGTGGATACTTATGTCTTGATCCCGAAACTGAACGAGTCTATGTCTCTCGACACGTTCAGTTTGACGAGCTCACGTTCCCTTTTTGTACAAGCGCATCATCGATGGAAGCTCCTCCTGTTGTTGATACATCGGTCACCACTTCGCTGAGTGTGATTCGTCTGCCTTCACCAGAACAAGTGCCTCCCTGCTCGGTCCCTCACCCTCCGCCACCTCCACCGACGAATGTCTCTCTTCTGTCTCCATCTCAGGTATTGCCTTCTAACCCTCAAACTCCATCCACTGCTCCTCACGAGCCACAAAATCAAATCTTACCACCACTAAATCCCTCCCCACCAGTGCCTAACCCTGAAATGGCCAACTCACAAACACCGTCCACTGAAGTCTCTCCAATGCCCTCTTCGAGACCCTCTTCTCCCTTACCACAACCATCACCTCCACTCTCACCTCAACCACCACCACCACCACCACCCCCTGCCCCTCTCCCTGAAATTGTACCACAACCTGAACCTGACAACCCGGATGAACCCATGAATACTCACCAGATGCGAACGCGTTCCAAAAACAACATAACCAAACCCTCGAAAAAGCTCTCTCTCCTTGCAGCCCTCAAAAACCTGTTACCCATGGAACCAACAACAATCACACAAGCATTAAAAGATCCCAACTGGGGTCGAGCTGTCTCTGACGAGTTTGGTGCTCATATCCGTAATCACTCGTGGGATCTCGTCCCACCGAACCCTTCTCAGAATGTTGTTGGCTGTCGTTGGGTCTTCACGCTCAAGTATTTCTCTACCGGCCTTCTTGACCGCCACAAGGCACGCCTTGTTGCCAAAGGCTTCCTTCAGCAGTACGGTGTTGATTACTGATATATCATGGTTTTTATGGGTTTTTGCCATGATATAAGTCTTGTATATAGAGTCTTTTTAGTGTTTTTGGAGTCTTTTTGAGTCTATTCAGGTCTAAGCATGTTTTGGAGCACAATTGGAGATTGGAGCTATTTGGAGCATATTTGGGGAAGCTGCTGGAAAACAAGACAAACAGACGATTTCAGAGTCTTGCGTCGACCGACGCAATTCATCTGTGTCGGTCGACACAATTTTCCCAGAAGCAGCGTATTTTAAAGACTTTTGAAGATTGCACTTTAGCCCAGAAGTTCCACTTATTTACAAGAAGGCCCAATTCGTGTTTTATAGGTTTTTAAAGCCATTGTTAGGCTAATACTTTTCATACTTTTATTCTATTGAGACTTAGAGAGAGATTTGTAGCAGAGCTTTGGAGAGATAGATCAAACTCCTTCAGAGAAGATTTTGAACTCCTTTATCTCTATTCTTATTTCTTTTATGCAATCTATTTATTCATGATGTTTGTCTCAATCACCATGTCTGAGTAGATTCCTTGTTAGGTTTAGGGTTTTTCAAAGGTTGAAGAAGAATTGCAATTGCTTAGGATAATCATTAGAGTTCTTCATCTGGATTGTGTTTATTGCTTATTCTAGCTTCGCGACCTAGAATCTGATCTTAGGTTAATTGGTAGACACGAAAGTGTTATTGATTTCCTGAACTATCTTAGATGAGCAAAATATCTATCTGCAAAGGAATTTGGTTTAGAGATTTTGTGAACTTATCAAACCTGATCATTAATGCTTGTTTGAATTGTTGAATTTGCAAAGAAATTTGGGATTCTAAGTTTAGACATAGATAATCTCTGCAACGAAAGTTGATTGGTTTTACAATTGTGATTTGAGTTCTAGAATGGTTCTTCATTAATATCCTGATATTTACTCTGCAATTCGGATTCAACCTGCGAATTTCCCAAGGCCTAACCTTTGTCTCATTGAATTTAACCTCGTTAATCAATCACCTGCTACTTTGTTTTCTTTTATTTGTTTTACATTACTCATATCTTACTTAGCCTGATTTGAATCTGGAAATTCGTTGTGCAACTGATAGACGTTTGGATTCGATAAACCCTTTATACTACATTGATTTGATGTGCACTTGCAGTGATAATATAGGGTAAAACTTAACCTATCAAGTTTTTGGCGCCGTTGCCAATCGTCTTGTTGTTGCCATCAGATTTCTAGTTCTAGAGTCTTGTCTAAGTGTTTCTTTTTGTTTTGTTACTCACGCTCTACATTCTTTCTTTTTGGTGTTTCAGGTGTATGCCTACTCGCAGAACCAGAAGCAACAAGCGGAAGAGCTACTCAATCTCACCAATCAAGAGCTAGCACACTTAGAGCGTACAAACAGAAAAGCCAAGAAGCCAGTCGAGATGGTCAATCACATAGTCTTGATTCGCGGTGAAGATGGGCTTCTGTTTGATCCAGAAGGGAACCGGTACAATGAGCAAGGGCAGAAACTCGATGCTGCTGGGAATGTGATCCCAGAACCAGCTGTAGATCCAGCTGCTCCTAACCCACCCCCCCTCAACCAAGCTGCTCCTATTCAGCCTGCAGCTTTTCAGCCGGCACTACCCAATGAAGGAGCAGGAGAGCAGCGCACACTAGGCGACCACAACAGGCCTGATTTTTTCTATGCGAATCGCTCTGCGATCCGACCTCCTCCGTTCCAGAGGAATAACTTTGAGCTGAAACCTTCTTACTACACTCTTGTGGGTCTGCATCCCTTTCATGGTTATCCCACTGAGAAACCAATGGATCACATTGAGAACTTCGAAGACCTGGCCAGCAGCATCAAAGCCGATGGCGTGAGCATGGACTACCTTCTCTGCAAGCTTTTCCCTTACTCTCTTGCTGGGGATGCAGCTTACTGGCTAAAGCAGTTGCAACCAGGATCTTTGACAAACTGGGAGGATACTAAGAAAGCCTTTCTGAACAATTTCTATGATGATGCAATGTCTGAGGAGGCAAGGAACAACATCTCTACATTTCGTCAAGGACCTACTGAAGCGTTCAAGGCGGCTTGGGTTCGATTCAGGTCATATCAGAGAGACTGTCCACACCATGGTTTTAGTGAGATTCAGCTTGCTGGGCACCTTCTTTAGAGGCATTGATTGGCAGTATCAGATGGCTCTCGATGCTGCGAGCAATGGGAATTTCAACACCAGGTATCCACATCAGGCTTACCAACTTATTGAGAACTTGGCATCTAGCAATAGTACCAAGAATGCTGATTTAGAGAGGAAGAAGCTAGGTGGAAACATGGATAGAAGTCAAATTGCTGAGGTTAAGGCTAAGTTAGATTCTGTGCATGGCCTTCTTGTGGGAAAAAATCAGTTCAATTTGCTGCTGAGGTTGAAAGTGTGGATGAAGAAGATGTTAATTTCATCAATGGAGCTGGGTTTCAAGGACAGAGATGGGCAATCAACAAGGATATAATTCCTCTTATCATAAGCCTTATGGTTCTTCTTCTTACCAGAAACCTCCTGAACAAGACAATGAGATGAAGTCAATGCTTAAGCAACTTCTAGAAGGTCAGCAAAACATGACTGTGAGCTTTAATGGAAGGATGGATGCCATGTACCAAGACTTGAATGGGAAATTTGAAGCTTTGAGCACACATGTGAAGAAGTTGGATGTTCAAGTTGCTCAAAGTGCTGAGTCTATCAAAAGACAAGAGGGTTTTCTTCCTGGAAAGACCAATATCAATCCCAAACATTCATGTCATGCTATTATGGTGGAAACTGGAGCCAATTTCGTGGATTTTGAGAAGACTGCAACTGATTTTCGCACTGCAGAAGTTGCGTCGGGCGACACCACTGAACTGTGTCGGTCGACACTGCAATAGTTGCGTCGGCGACGCACCAGTGATCTGCCAGAAGAAATTCTGCAAATTTCGGATTTTCAGGCAAATTCCTGCAAATTCCAGACTGCACCAGATCTTACAGAAACGTCCAAATCAGGTGCAGAAAGAGTCTATAAGCCTAAAATTCCTTTTCCAAGAGGTCCTAGGAAGTCTAAACAAGAGATTGAAGATGCAAAAGTCAAGGCCATGATAGACAAGCTGATGATTGAGATACCATTAGTTGATGCAGTCAATCTTTCACCTGCACTAAGGAGGTATGTTAAGAGAATGGTTGTGAATGGTGTGAGTCCTGAGGAAGGAGCATTGCTTACCAAAGACATTAGTGATGTTCTCTTGAACACAGTCCCAAAGAAGAAGAAGGTGATGGTCTCTGAACAAGTCAGTGCTATAATTCAGAACAAGATTCCAGAGAAGCTACCTGATCCAGGAAACTTTGTGCTAGATTGCTCTATCTCAACAAGCAGGTTTCCTCATTCTCTTTGTGATCTAGGTTCCAGTGTAAACTTGATGCCTCTCTCTGTTGCTGCTAGACTTGGAATGACTGATTTCAAGCCAACTAGGATCTCTCTTATCATGGCTGATCGATCTAAAAGAATCCCACAAGGTGTCTTAGAGAATGTTCCACTTAAAATTGAAGGTCACTTGATTCCCACAGACTTTGTGGTTTTGGAATATGCTGAAGAACCTATAGATCCTCTTATTTGGGAAGATCCTTCTTAGCTACAGCTGGTGCTATCATTGATGTGAAGAAAGGGAAGATAGAGCTTGATTTGGGTGATTTTGTCATGAACTTTGACATGGACAAATTGAGGAGGAGATCCACCATTGATGGTCAGAGTTTTTCTGTGGAGATTTCTAAGGATGAAGATGCAATCAGAGAGCATTCACATGACATTACTGCTGGGTATGTCAAGGAGGTGGATACTAGTGAGCAAGTGAACAAGCTGGAAGATAGGAGTGGAGACTTAGTTGGTGATCACCTCATAGCACAAAAGCCTCCCATAAAGCAAAGGTATGCACTTCTGAACTTAATTCCAAACCCCCTGATATCATCATTAACAATTTAAAAGGTGTAAAAGCTGTTTCACACTTATGCAAGCAACGAGATTCTCGTAGAAAGCTTGGTGTTTCTTTTGATGATTCTGCAGGAAAAAGAAGTGTTCCACCCAAACTCACATCCCACCCTGCTGCTATTCCTCACTTCCTTGGGCGTCCTCATGCACCTAATGCTTATACACCACCATGGATGAGGAGACATTCTTCTCAGAGGCATTTGTTGCCATTGTCTGATCCACCAGATGCCTGAACCCTCACACAGTCAAGCTAATGACTGAAAACAAGCGCTTAGTGGGAGGCAACCCACTTGTAGGTGAAATTCCTTTGTGATTTTCGTTTTGTTTTCACTAATTTTTGTTTTGTGTTTTCTGAAAAAAAAAAAAAAAAAAAAAAAAATCATGTCGACCGACGCAACCTTCTGCGTCGCCCGACGCAACTTCGAGACGGACGATGGCGACGCGAATCTCGACACCAGGTCGACACGAGCAAAGCGGACTCGACACAGACATGCGTCGACCGACGCAGTTATCCAAGGTAACCTTCTGTTTTTCAACTTTAACTCAGTTTTGATCATTCTTGCCAACTTTCGGACTAGTAACACTGGGGACAGTGTTGTTCAAGTCTGGGGGAGGTAGTTACTGACATTGTGTACATGTTTGAGTCTTAGTTTTTGTTTTTAGTTTTTGAAAATTGTTTTATTGAGTCAAAATTGTTTGGTTGTTCAAAGTTGTTTGATGCATTAGAGTGAGTTTGAAGTTAAGATAGCACCACACTTGGAATTCATTGGCATTCACAACTTGACTGACACATGCTTTGATTTGACACCATTCCTTACTTATTAGAACCATAATCTGACTTGCAATTATCATGTTCATGCATTGAAAGTGTTTTCATGGATACCATATACATACTTGGGCTCTCTTATTCCTTTTTACCACTCTTGTTAGTCCAAGTAGCTGATCTCCATTTTGAGACAGTTAATCCCACCCTGAACCAAGCCTTCTTTCAAGCCAATGTTAGTGAGTGATGTGAGGCCTATTTTCTGAATGAGCTTAGCAAAAAGTGTTGGGTTTAGAACGACAAGGATATGTTTTCATGTAGAACTAGCTCACCTTTTTGAGTTAGACTTGGATAGGGTATGATTGGGATTTGGATTTGTGCTTAATGGAAAAGAGAACTAAGGAGAAGAGATTGTTTAGAAGTGGTTATTTGGTTTTGTATATATTGTTTTTCTGTCTTTGGCTCTGAGTTAAAAAAAATAATAATAAAAAAAAAAAAAATAAAAAAAATCTGAAAAAAAAGAAAAAAAAAATAAAAATAAGAAAAACAGAGCCAAAGCAGAGTTTTTAGACCAAAACCACTTGGAATCAGAAGTTGAATCATTCCTTGGGTTCAAAAAGAAAAGAAAGTGAATGTATGAAGAGTTGTTTATGAAGAGAAAGTGCTTTAATGGGTAGCTTAGGATCATTTATGGGTTGTATTGTGGAAATTTGAAGTTACTTGGGTAGATGAAAATTTATCCTTGTATGCATAAATTGATCTTTACCCTTAGCATTTTGCCAAAGCTCATTCACTTCTTGAGAGATCCCTTGTTTGACTGCTTTAAACCTGGATGAAAAGAGACCATATTTGTCTCTTAACCTTGTCCCTAGCTAAATGATTTCACTTGATTGCATGAACTTGATCCATGGTTACTCTTTAATTGAATGTTAAAAGGAATGGTTGATTTGAATGCATATATAGGTTGAGTTGGAATCTACTTCATGTTGTGATGAGTGTGGCTAAAGTTTTTAAAGTAGAACAAACTCACAATGCATTGACTCTTTGAACTGCCTTGTTTTCAAACCTCTTTCACAGTTTAGTTATTTGTTTTGCTTGAGGGCAAGCAAAAGCTAAGTCTGGGGGAGTTGATATATCATGGTTTTTATGGGTTTTTGCCATGATATAAGTCTTGTATATAGAGTCTTTTTAGTGTTTTTGGAGTCTTTTTGAGTCTATTCAGGTCTAAGCATGTTTTGGAGCACAATTGGAGATTTTGGAGCTATTTGGAGCATATTTGGGGAAGCTGCTGGAAAACAAGACAAACAGACGATTTCAGAGTCTTGCGTCGACCGACGCAATTCATCTGTGTCGGTCGACGCAAGTTTTCCCAGAAGTGCAGCGATTAATTTTAAAGACTTTTGAAGATTGCACTTTAGCCCAGAAGTTCCACTTATTTACAAGAAGGCCCAATTCGTGTTTTAGAGAGTTTTTAGGTTTTTAAAGCCATTGTTAGGCAAACTTTTCATACTTTATTCTATTGAGACTTAGAGAGAGATTTGTAGCAGAGCTTTGGAGAGATAGATCAAACTCCTTCAGAGAAGATTTTGAACTCCTTTATCTCTATTCTTATTTCTTTTATGCAATCTATTTTATTCATGATGTTTGTCTCAATCACCATGTCTGAGTAGATTCCTTGTTAGGTTTAGGGTTTTTCAAAGGTTGAAGAAGAATTGCAATTGCTTAGGATAATCATTAGAGTTCTTCATCTGGATTGTGTTTATTGCTTATTCTAGCTTCGCGACCTAGAATCTGATCTTAGGTTAATTGGTAGACACGAAAGTGTTATTGATTTCCTGAACTATCTTAGATGAGCAAAATATCTATCTGCAAAGGAATTTGGTTTAGAGATTTTGTGAACTTATCAAACCTGATCATTAATGCTTGTTTGAATTGTTGAATTTGCAAAGAAATTTGGGATTCTAAGTTTAGACATAGATAATCTCTGCAACGAAAGTTGATTGGTTTTACAATTGTGATTTGAGTTCTAGAATGGTTCTTCATTAATATCCTGATATTTAACTCTGCAATTCGGATTCAACCTGCTACTTTGTTTTCTTTTCTTTGTTTTACATTACTCATATCTTACTTAGCCTGATTTGAATCTGGAAATTCGTTGTGCAACTGATAGACGTTTGGATTCGATAAACCCTTTATACTACATTGATTTGCTGTGCACTTGCAGTGATAATATAGGGTAAAACTTAACCTATCAATTACTCTGAAACGTTCAACCCCGTCATCAAGATCACCACTATCCGCATTGTACTCGACGTCGCTGCAAGCAAATCGTGGCCCATACGCCAACTTGATGTTAATAATGCTTTCTTGCAGGGCACGCTAACGGAGGAGGTGTACATGACTCAGCCTCCAGGACTTGTTGATCCAACCCGTCCTGACTATGTGTGTCGTCTCAACAAACCCATCTATGGACTCAAACAATCTCCTCGGGCGTGGTACATGGCTCTCAAGGATCATTTGGTTCAAACTGGCTTCACCAACTCGCTTGCAGACACCTCCCTCTTTGTTTACTGCCGAGACTCGGTACTTCTCTATGTCCTTGTCTACGTTGACGACATTATTGTTACAGGGAATCGACCAGAACTTGTAACCAGTGTGGAGACATCGCTTGCGACACGTTTCTCGATCAAGGATCCCTGTGACATTCACTACTTTCTCGGTATTGAGGTCACACGCACCAACAATGGTCTCCATCTCATGCAACGGAAGTACATCGTTGATCTCCTCACCAAAACACACATGTTTGAAGCTAAGCCTGTCTCCACGCCTATGCCGACCTCACCTAAGCTCACACTACACTCCGGCAAAGCACTTGACAATGCCAAAGAATATCGGATGGTGGTTGGAAGTCTACAATACATTTCCATCACTCGTCCAGATATTGCCTACGCAGTCAACAAACTGTCTCTCTACATGCACAAACCCACAGACGACCATTGGCAAGCTGCTAAGAGAGTTCTGAGATACCTTGCTGGTACTCTAACCCATGGTGTCTATTTTCGGTCCGACAGTCCGTTCTCTCTACATGGCTTCTCTGATGCAGATTGGGGTGGTGATATCGATGACTACACCTCTACTAATGCCTATGTGATTTATCTCGGCAAGAATCCTATCTCATGGTCGTCCAAGAAGCTCAAAGGTGTGGCCCGTTCCTCCACAGAAGCTGAATATCGTGCTGTTGCGACTACAGCCGCTGAGATTCGTTGGATATGCTCGTTGCTCACCGAGCTTGGGCTTATACAACGTCAACCTCCGGGGGTTTACTGTGACAATGTTGGGGCCAACTACCTCTGTGCGAATCCTCTCTTCCATTCCCGCATGAAACATATAGCACTTGACTATCATTTCATTCGTGAACAAGTGCAATCTGGGATCCTCCGTGTCTCCTACGTCTCCACACATGATCAATTGGCCGACATGCTCACGAAACCACTACCTCGATCACACTTTCAGCTCTCTCGAAACAAGCTCGGAGTCATTCCCCTGCCTCCTTCTTGAGGGGGCGTGTAAAGGATATAGTATATAGTTGTAATTAAGGGTCTAATTGTCATTAGATAATCCGTAGAGTCTCCCTTGTAGTGCTATATATATTGTACATCGCCTCCTAATAATATTATTCACTTTCCAAACCTATAGTAAACATCTCTCAAACTCTTCTTCAAGCCACTTCTACAATGATCGTTGGTCACAACAGCGAGATTTCTCTCGCTGGAATTTCTCTCGCCAGCTCCATCGCTAACGTAACCGGTTTCAGTTTCCTTGTAAGAAGAACATTTACAAACCCATAAAAGAAAATTTAATATTTTATTTTTCGTTCTTATAACTATCCGTGAGATTCTTGATCAAACCAAGAATAATCTTTGAGCTATTGGAAAACTCTAGAGAATTTCTTTGCATTTTTATCCGGTTTAATTTTCTTAACTCATGACAGAGTGGACTAGCAGGGGCATTAGAGACACTATGTGGTCAAGCCTTTGGAGCTCATCAATATGAGAAGCTCGGTTCTTATACTTTCACTTCCATTGTTTCCCTTCTCATCATTTCTTTCCCAATCTCTCTTCTATGGATCTTCATGAAGAATCTTTTGCTATGTTTCACCAAGACCCTGAAATATCAGAGATAGCTTCTGTTTACTGCCTTTGGGTCATACCGGCTTTATTCGGTTACTCTGTTCTTCAATCTTTGATCCGTTACTTTCAAACACAAAGCTTGATATACCCTATGGTACTCTCTTCTTTCACTGTTCTATGTTTACACGTACTTGCTTGTTGGGTATTGGTTTACACTTTAGGGCTTGGAACGAAAGGTGCAGCTTTGTCTATTAGCCTTTCGTATTGGCTCAACGCGGGTTTCCTCTGGTTGTTCATGAGACATTCTCGAGTTTGCGAAGGCAAACGGGTTTTCATATCGATGGAAACGTTTGGTCACATGAAAATTTTCTTCTCATTAGCAGTTCCTTCTGCTATGATGGTTACTCTTGAGTGGTCGGCTTTCGAGATCTTGATTCTTATCTCCGGAGTTTTACCAAATGCAAAGCTAGAGACGTCGGTGATTTCCATGATGTAATACTAATTAAGGAATAGATTTAAGAGCAAATTTATAGTATCTTTAAATCCTCTACTTGTTGTGTATATATGAGTAATGCTACCTTTTCATTTGAACAGCTTCACAACCTCTTATTTGCACTACAATTTGGCGTCTCCGATCGGTGCTGCCGCAAGGTGAGCTTGTGTATATAATTTTCATGATAACATACATTACTATGTTTACATGCATGTGAATCTCTAGCTATATTTTCATAGGATTATAGCTTTAAAATAATTACCTATGAGTAGATTGATTCATGTCACTTATGTATGTTACTTTAAATGTGGGATTGTTTCAATTAATGTAAAACATAAGAGTAAAGGCGAAACAAATGCAAACAAAGAATCAAAGTCTGAGTCTGTTTATAATATTTGTTTTGAATGGGATTTTGTTACATTTTGTAGCACAAATCTGGCGAACGAACTAGGAGCTGGAAACCTAGTCGCAGCTTGGGCTTCTGCGACTATTGCAATCAGTATTGCAGCTGTTGAATCTTCTGCGATGAGCTTTGCTCTGTTCCTCTCAAGACATGTTTGGGGCTATGCTTACAGTAATGTTCCTGAAGTGATTTGTTACGCCGCAGAAATCACACCGATTCTCTGCATTTCCATTGTTATGGACAGCTTGTCAGCCTCGCTAACCGGTGAGCAATCTACTTTCTCCTTATAGATAATGGGAAAAAAAATACAAATTTTGTAAATAAAGCTTTTGTGATGTAGGAGATATTTTGGAGATTTTCATAAATTTATTTTTCTTTAATTATGTTTTTCCTTTTCAGTTCTGGATATTTACTAGGTTTTTGTTTTCTTATATAAACACTTATAAGTTGTAGCAAAGAATATCTCTAAACACTTATTTGTTTTCCATGATGCATATCTTATTATTCTAATTAATCAAAGCAAAAGAACTTTTCTCTAATCTAGTGGATTTCCAGAGTTTTCTCTTCAAGTTCATCATCGCTTGTGAACTTGAATTCAATCTAGGTTTAGTGCTTGGTATTCCTAGGGTTTTCCAACTGCGTCATTTTGTTTATGTGATTGTGTTTGAAGGGATTGTGAGAGGAAGTAGTAAACAGAAGATTGGTGCATGTGAATATTGCTGCATTTTACATCATTGGGATTCCAATTCCCAATTGGACTCATCTTCTGCTTCATTCTTGACCTCAAAGTTAAAGGTCTATGGATTGGTATTCTCTCTGGATGCACTTGATATACTCAACATTTGCATACATTTAGCCTCGCATTCTGCATAGTTCTGTGTATATTTGAGTCCCATTTCATGACATTTAGTGTAGAATTAGTCTACTTAGGATCATTTAGCTTTTAGGTTAGCATTTTGCATTTCCATTGCATTTGGGGTGCATTTATCAGGTATCTGGAGCTTATGGCGAAGGAGCAGACCGGAGGTGATGATCGGAGTGGACCGGAGGAGATCGGAGCAATCGGATGAAAGGAACTTGACGGAACAGAGCATTGAGCATAAGGAACAGAGTGCTTGAGGAAGTTGCTCAAGCTACGCGCAGCTGTGAAGTCAAAGTTAAAATGTTGACCAAGGATACACTTTTCCCTTCTCTATATAAACCTTTAAGACCTAAGTTTTTAGGCAATCTTTATCTTGTAACCAGTTTCTCTCCAAGAAAAACAGTTTGTTCTTGGAGATCTTTTGTAAGCTTTTACTTTGAATCTTTTAAGTTTAAGAAGTACTTAGTTTGCTAATCTTGTCTTAATGATGATTTCTAGCTTTCTTTCCTCTTTGCTTTCGGTTCGAGTATGAGTAGCGAGTAGTTTCCTTAGAGGTTTCGAGGGTGAGACAGGAAAGGTTAGAGCTTTAGCTTCCTGTTGACCTCTTCCTTAATCTCCCTTGACCAGCTTTTCTTTAGCTAGAGCTTTATATCTCGGCTTCTTCTTGATCACTTGAAGTCGCGAATCTAGGCTAGTACACCTAGAAGGTGTTTGCGTTAATGCCTAAGAGAGCTAGCGATAGAGAGAAACGTTCCCAACCTAAGAGATTGGTTGTTGGGATGTATCTTGTGCTTTTTAGACTAGATCTTGTGAAAGCTTGTAACTTTGAGTCACTAGCGAGAGCTAGCTTTGGATTCTCAGCTTGCAAAGCGATCTGACCACGAGAGTGGCGGATTTACCCAAAGTCTAAGCACAAAGCTTGAGTCTTGGTGGTTGAGGAAGTGGGTTGAGCTCGATTAACCCCAACTAAATCTCACCCAAGACACCTCCTTTATCTTACATAGTCAAAGTTTAAATCTTTTACTGTTCTGTTAGCTTAAAGCTTAAATCTTTACAACCAAAAACCCAATCTTTTCAAAGAACTTGAATATTGTCTTCCTTTACTTCGAAAGTTTAGAACTCCACTTGGATTGACACCTTAACCGCTACAATGACATGAGTGTATGGGTTGAGGATAGTTGATACTAAAATCCTACTTATCAACTACGGAGGTCACTTTGCGACTTTCAAGACGGCTTCTAAGGTTCTTCAAGCCGGATTTTGGTGGCCGAGCCTTTTCAAAGACACTCACGACTTCATTCCATGATGTGATAGATGCCAACGAGAAGGGAGCATCTCCAAGAGGAATGGAGGTCTTTAACGTATGGGGCATCGACTTCATGGGCCCGTTCAAACCAGCTTCTCACGGAAATCAATACATCTTGGTGGCTGTTGATTACGTATCCAAATGGGTCGAGGCAATTGCTTCTCCAACCAATGATGCCAAGGTCGTGATTAAGATGTTCAAAAGCATCATCTTCCCGAGATATGGAGTACCGAGGGTTGTGATAAGCGATGGAGGCAGTCACTTCATTAACAAGGTTTTTGAGAACTTGCTGAAGAAGTATGGTGTCAAGCACAAAGTGGCAACTCCCTATCATCCTCAAACGATTGGTCAGGTGGAAGTATCGAACAAGCAGATAAAGGGGAACCTCAGGACGATAGTTGGAGTGACCAAGAATGACTGGGCAGTTAAGTTAGACGATGCTCTATGGGCTTACAGGACTGCCTACAAACACCGATACGCAGGACCCCTTTCTCACTTCTATATGGGAAATCCTGTCACCTTCCGGTGGAGATTGAGTACAGAGCACTTTGGGCAGTTAAGTTACTCAACTACGACATCAGATCCTCCCAAGAGAAGAGGGACTTTGACTTACACGAGTTAGAAGAAATCAGGCTAGACGCATATGAGAGCTCCAAAATTTACAAGGAGCGGACCAAGGCGTTTCATGACAAGAAAATTTTGCCGAGGGTTTTCAAAGATGGAGAGTATGCGCTGCTTCTCAACTCGCGAGCTAACTTGTTCCCAGGAAAGCTCAAGTCTAAGTGGTCCAGTCCGTTCAAGATCAAAGAAGTTCTTCCTTATGGAGCCATCACCCTGCTGAATCAGAATGGCGAAGAGTTCACAGTGAACGGTCATCGGCTCAAACCGTATTTGGGCCAACGATTCAAGGAGAAGGAGTCTCAACTCCTCTTCCGGACGCCCCCTTAGCCTAAAAGGTTATGAAAGTCAAGCTATGAGACTCAAAACAAGCTCACTTGGGAGGAAGTCCCATGGTTATCTTTGTACATATTTATTTTTGCTTAATCTTGCTTGTTTTAGCTCTTAGGAGTGTTCAGGTGTATAGTTGAAGGAAGTGCTCTGTCAGCTTGACGATAAGCTTGAGCAGATTGACCAGGAGGATTAATGCAACGGTTTTTGAGAAAGACATCCATTTTTCTTAAAATCGTTGCCAGGTAAGCCCACTTATCTCTATTCACGAAGCCCATTAGCGGGCAATTTTCGGTTAAATTTTTTAAATTTTTATTCTCGGTTTAAAAGAAAAAGAAAAAGAGAATGTGGGAGAGAGAGAATGGTCAATGGTAGCGGTTTTGATTGGACAACAGTTCAGCCCAATCCACCCCGATTTATTCGCAAGAAACCTCTCTCTCTCTCTCTCTCTCTTACTTTACCTTTCATAATCCGAGACACGCCAAATCAATCTCTCTCACACTTAACTTCTTAACTTTTCCCGATATGCTCACAAAACTTTTTCCTTTTTCTCTCTACAATCTCGCTCTTTCTTCTTTCACTTTCAACTCGTTTTCTGCGCTCAACCGGTAATGTCTCCGACTTTAGCTAGATTTCGTTTTGATTTTTGCTTAGTAGAGGTTAAAATTGTTTCGGGTTTAATCGTGAGAGAGATTTTTGGGTTTGGATTTTTCGAAAACTGCTTTGCATGTCTCTGTTTCTTCGAGATTTGGGGTCCCCAACTGCTTTACTTGACTTTTTAAGTTGAGATCTGAGAAAACCTTCGTTTTTAAAAACGACCCTCAACCCGCTTGCTCTGTTTCCTCTCTCGCTATGTTTTTAGTGAAGTTTGTTGAGAAACTAACTTCTCTCTGTGAGATTTGTTTGTTCGCACATGGTGTCTACGACAAGAGGAACAATCTCACGAACCGCGGCAGAGAAAGCCGAAGGGAAAAAGCCGGCGACTGAGGAAGGCTCCGGCAGTAAGAAAGGCGGCGGCTCAGCATTCATGAAAGCCAAGGACTACGCTCACCTCTTCGGACAGATGCCTTTCCTCGGAACGAGATACCCTGATCTCACGGCCATGGCTGAACTCGGAATCTCTGAGGATTGTCACAGCCTTTTCGATGAGATGCAACTCAAGAGGTTGATGATGAATCCTCAGCCGGCGTATCAAAAGGAGAGGAGACAGTCAAGTTCCTTGCTTCCCTCCGGGTCAACTTTTACGAGCCCGACGAGATAGTTTTGGAAGGCGACGGAAGTGGCAAGTTCTCTTTCCGGATCAACAAGAGGAAATACCGGATGAGTTTCCGAGAATTGGAGGACTTGTTTCACTTTGACCACAAGGAAGGCAGAGAAACAGAGCCGGGAACTCCATCAAGGGAGCTTCAAGCCTTATGGACAATGATAGGGATCGGCGAGTACAAGTCAAGCGCCGCAAGGAGCACCCACATCCGGAACCCCACTCTGAGATACGTCCACAAGGCCCTAGCTCACACCATTTACTCAAGGAGGGACGTGACAAACGTCACCGAGAAGGAGCTCTTCTTCCTGAACGAGGGAATGGTTAAAATCTTGCGCACGTTGCCGGATGGAACAGATATGGTTGGGGATAGATCCAACAACAGCGCAGCGATCTACCTTCTCAAGAGTTTCCTCAGCTACAAGGAGTATGCTCTCTCCCTGAACAGAATAGGCAAAGCAAGCAGTGGTCAACTAAGCTGCGGAGGGCTCGTCACCCCGATCCTACTCCATTTCGGGATTGACCTTGAGAAGCCCACCGATCCTCTGTTCATGGATATCAAGTACCTCCGCAAGACCACTTATCTCAGAGGTCAACCCATCAGCAGACGCCACAACTATCAGTTCGCCTACCTGCCAAACAAACCACTGACTTACATCACGGTCAGAAAGAACGTGGATTTCGAACCTCCAATCGAATCCATTCTCAAACAAGGCCAAGAGGAAGAAGAATACGCCTATCCGAGAGCCGCTGAACGTGACGATGAGAGCTCATGAGAGGATAAAGTTCCTGAGAAGTACAAGACAGGAGGTTTTTACTTCGGAGATCACGAGATCAAGGGGAGGAAGTCAGCGGCTAACACCGCACTTGAGAGCATCAATACGCTCAAAGCCTGGAACCAATTCCAGAATAAGGCGATCAAGTCCCTCCTCAAGACCGTGAAGAAGATGGGAAAGCGCATCAAGGGACTCACCAGATCCAAGAGCAAGTCTCCAAGCCACGAGACCATGCGTACTCCTCCCGCTCTCCTCAGCTCCGGTAATGGCGACAACAGTCACGACAATGAAGGCACCTCCAAGTTCGAAACTGCAGAAACCTCCGGAAGAAAGAGGAAGGCCTCAAAGTCTCCTCCCTCGAGCTCAAAGGATGATACCACATCATCCTCCTCGACCAGTTCTAAGGGTATGAACCCCAATCTATAAATAGCATGCATTTTTCTTTTTATTTTCACTTATCTTTTGCTTTGATTCTCTCTTCTGCCTTTTTATCACACAAGGGACCGTGTGAACTAAGTGTGGGGGAGAGGGTCAATGGTATTTGACGAAGTGCTTTATGTTCTTATTTTATATTTTGCATAACCTTGAGTCTCATGCATTTGCATCTCTAGAAAATCATGTAAAATTTTCATTTTTGCATTGCTAAAAAAAAAAAATCCAAAAACAGAGCATGTAGTTAAGATCATTTCATTTGCATCTGAGCAATGTTTGTTGAGCTGATTGATTGAGTTGCGGAATTGCTTCAGTGCCCTAGTTCTAAGTTGTTTGGCGCTTTGATAGTTCTTGAAGTTAAGGTAGAACCGCATCATCAAAAAGCATCATGACTATCTTAGTAAAACCGAATGCATTGCTGTGATTTGAATCTGCTCCTTGTTAAGTGAAACCTGAACCTGAACTTCAATTATCATGCTCATGCTTGTTAAGTTCAACTCGTGGATTATACATACTTGAATCATCTTTGCATCTATTGTTCATCCTTCTTTGTTGATTCAAGTAGAACTCCCTGCCCTTAACCAACCCTTCCTTTCAAACCAAATGTTGTTCTTGTGTGTTGTGAGGCCTTTTTGAAAAGCTTGGCATAAAGTGTTAGGTCTTGAGCCGACAAGGATAGGTGATCATGTAGATTCTGGTCCACGCTTTTTGGGCCAGACTAGGTTAGGACTTGGGTTTGGGAATGTCTTGGGTTGGGATTCAAAAAGAAAAGAAAGAAAGAGCTTGTGAGCAAAAAGAAAAGAGAGCGCGAATCGCTAAGGTAGATTAGAGCTTGGTCTGTGAGTTTAAGAAAGCCCCCATCAGAAAAAAATAAAAAAAAAAAAAAGAAAAGAAAGATGGGTTAGGGCAAGAGTTTAGACCAAGTCTCTCGGTTTGTATCACAAAAAGCCTTAGAAAAATTCGCTAAAGTTTCAAAAAGCTCTAAGAAAAAGGAAAAGAAAAACCCAAAGGGAAAAGGGTAGAAATAGGAAGTTTCGGGTTTGAGAATCACCAAAAGGTACTTGGGGTTTCGGGTAGATGATCATTTGTCCTTGTACCTCCCAATTGGTTCTCGCCTTTAGCATTATGCCGAAGCTGTTTCACTTCTCTTGAGAGAACCCTTCCTTTGTCATTTGACATGAGCTTGCATTGTTGATTGCTCTCTCTCTTTCCATCGGCCAAACGAGTTAACTTGACTTGCATGTGTTTTGATTCACTGTTTTGAGCTTTAATGAATGTTAAAAGGAGTAGAGGATTTGAATGCATGTTTAGGTTGAGCTAGTTGTCATTGATTGTATTATGAAGGTGCGGCTAAGATTTTTGAAGTAGAGAACATCTTTTGCGCTTTAGACCTTGGAACTAGGTTGTTGAAATTTTCTCTTCTCGGCTTTCACTTGACTCTATTGCTCAGAGAACACTCTTATGCTTGGTTGATGTTTGCTTGAGGGCAAGCAAAGACTAAGTGTGGGGGTGTTGATGTACTCAACATTTGCATACATTTAGCCTCGCATTCTGCATAGTTCTGTGTATATTTGAGTCCCATTTCATACATTTAGTGTAGAATTTAGTCTACTTAGGATCATTTAGCCTTTAGGTTAGCATTTTGCATTTCCATTGCATTTGGGGTGCATTTATCAGGTATTCGGAGCTTATGGCGAAGGAGCAGACCGGAGGTGATGATCGGAGTGGACCAGAAGGAGATCGGAGTAATCGGATGGCAAAGGAAGACGGAACAGAGCCTTGAGCAAAGGAAACAGAGTGCTTGAGGAAGTTGCTCAAGCTACGCGCAGCTGTGAAGTCAAAGCAAAATGTTGACCAAGGATACACTTTTCCCTTCTCTATATAAACCTTTAAGACCTAATTTTTAGGCAATCTTTATCTTGTAACCAGTTTCTCTCCAAGAAAAACAGTTTGTTCTTGGAGATCTTTTGTAAGCTTTTACTTTGAATCTTTTAAGTTTAAGAAGTACTTAGTTTGCTAATCTTGTCTTAATGATGATTTCTAGCTTTCTTTACCTCTTTGCTTTCGGTTCGAGTATGAGTAGCGAGTAGTTCCTTAGAGGTTTCGAGGGTGAGATTAGGAAAGGTCAGAGCTTTAGCTTCCTGTTAACCTCTTCCTTAATCTCCCTTGACCAGCTTTTCTTTAGCTAGAGCTTTATATCTCGGCTTCTTCTTGATCACTTGAAGTCGCGAATCTAGGCTAGTACACCTAGAAGGTGTTTGCGTTAATGCCTAAGAGAGCTAGCGATAGAGAGAAACATTCCCAACCTAAGAGATTGGTTGTTGGGATGTTCTTGTGCTTTTAGACTAGATCTTGTGAAAGCTTGTAACTTTGAGTCCACTAGCGAGAGCTAGCTTTGGATCCGAGCTTGCAAAGCGATCTGACCACGAGAGTGGCGGATTTACCCAAAGTCTAAGCACAAAGCTTGAGTCTTGGTGGTTTGAGGAAGGGGTTGAGCTCGTTATCCCAACTAAATCTCACCCAAGACGCCTCCTTTATCTTACATAGTCAAAGTTTAAATCTTTTACTGTTCTGTTAAAGCTTAAATCTTTACAACCAAAAACCCAATCTTTTCAAAGAACTTGAATATTGTCTTCTTTACTTCGAAAGTTTAGAACTCACTTGGATTGACACCTTAACCGCTACAATGACATGAGTAGTATGGGTTGAGGATAGTTGATACTAAAATCTTACTTATCAGCACTCTCCAAACTCTCACATTGTTTCTCATTACAAAATTCACAAATTGGAAGATCACTGATGTATAGTTTGGTGTAGTGGCAATGATTGGGGTATTAATTATTTCAAAAGCTATATTTATTTATTTATTTTGTTTTTGCTTTTTGCTTTTTGCATTTAAATGAGATTATAAATATATTTTCATATAATTTATTATTCTTGTATACATTGCTTTTTTGTTTTACAGCTGCATAGCATTATTTGGTAATGACCTTCTGGTCTAGAAAGCTAAAGATCATTGGCACAATGGCACGGTTACTGACTAAACTAATTATGCTTCTGTTTTAAATTTTTAACATAACAATACCACGATTAGATTCTTATTTTTTTGGACGTCAAAACTCATGTTTTATTAATACTATCTTAGCAGGTTAGCTCCAAGAACTAACCAACTTGGGATTGGTATTGTAGGGTTTACATGAGATAAACGGAACCTTGTGCTCGCGCTCCTTTTGAGAGGCAGTCAGCACGTACATTGCTTAAACGTGGGATGAAAGAGAGTGAAAAGAGATGAAAGAGTCACGAATCCGATTAAATTCGTCAAGTTCTGCGGACAATGTCGGCCAATCTTCTTCATCTTCAATGATCTTCACTAACTGTAAACAATATGTCTCGAAAGAGAGAGAGTTAAATCCCAATAGCAGAGCTTCTTTCATTGCCCAAGTTAGGGCTGCGAGTTCCGCATGTAGAGGTGTGGAAACTTGGTATTCAGCCTTTGCTCCAAAGATACTTACTTCGTTTTCCTGATCAATAACGAAGCCACTGCCAAAGTGAACAGAATCTATGTTCCAAGAAGCGTCCGTTTGGCACCGAGATCGTGTTATTATTTGCTCTGTTTGGACGACAGAGCTTGTGATAACGTTATTTCCCACTGTTTGGTCCACTAGTTGTGTAACGCTCCATGTCTCCGCTTCAGCGCTTGCTAGTTGTAAGGTGTCTAGCGACGGTATGTCTTTGCCGTTGAAAACCTTGTCATTCCTAGCTTTTTGTAGAGTGCATCGCTCGGGAAAACGCTCAGAGTGGTCGGAAACTCAGATATGTTCCATACTTGCATGGCAGCTGGACATTCGAAGAGTAAATGATTTACTGTTTCTGGGGCATCTTCGCATCGAGGGCATAGCCGCTCTGTTCCACAATGCCTATCCACGAGACAATTTCTCACCACAATGCCTATCCACGAGACAATTTCTCACCGGTAAACAACCTGCCACGGATTGCCACATGAAGTGTTTAATTTTTCGGGAGCTTTTTGTTGTCCAGACTCCGCATTTTAAAGAGTTTATGCTTCGTTCTAGGAGGTGTTGTGGTCCGAGTTGTTCCTTGAGTTGTGAAGCTAAAGCATACCCGGATTTCACTGAATATATTCCTGATTTGGTCTGTGCCCAGACTAATCGGTCCATCTGCATCGTACCACTTAGCTTTATGCATCGTATCCATTTGATCTCTTCATTTGTGAAGAGTGTGTCCAAGACATCACCTCTCCATGTTTTTGAGCGATGGTCTATCAAATGGTATACCAACAGATATGGATCTTTAAACCCTTCCTTGCCAACTAATTGTCTCGGTGGTGTAACCGGAATCCATGCATCGCTCCATACTGCCGTGTTTGCCCCCGATCCAATGGACTTTCTTAGCCCTGCCTTGAGTAGGTCTCTGGCTGCAGTCATACTTGTCCATACATAAGATGGGGAGTTCACTTTTTGGACCACTAATGGGTTTGTGTGTAGGAAATAACGGCCTTTGAGGATACATGCAAGTAAAGAAGACGGATGTTGTATGAGCCGCCAGAGTTGCTTCGCAAGCAGTGCGAGATTGAAATTCTTGAGATCACAGAAGCCTAGGCCTCCTTTTTCTAGAGGCATACATATCTTTTCCCAAGCAATCCAGTGCAGGCCCCGGCTACGGATGGTGCTTTTCAGTTCAGTTCGGAGGTCATGGGGAACTTTTTTTTTTTTTTTTTTTTTTTATCGCACCCCATGGGAAACTTTATTTCCAAAGAAAAACAAAGATTTGGCTGTATTGAGTTGCTGACCCGACGCTTGCCCGTAACTCTTTAGATCTGACATTCCGTAACTCTTAACCACGATTAGATTCTAATCACTCAATCAGTACCTTAATAAAAAAAATGCAGATGCACTAGCTCCACCTACCCAGCGTGTAAGACTACTATTGTTTGCGTTTTTTTTTCTATGTTAATAATATTTTAATCATCATACCATAGAAACGGATGTGTAAACGCAAACGAGCAACGCCTAAAATCAATACTGTTTGTAAAATACAAAAAAAAAAAAGCATTAACATAGGAAAGCAACACGTTCAAATGTTCTGAATTGAGAAACAAATTGGTATACATGTTCAGACTTGTTCAGATCAACCAGGAAACTCACGTCTGGCTAAGGCAAAAAAAAGTTTGAAGGTCATTTCATAACAAATTATTGTCTATCAATTACTTAATTAGTCCCTCTCTTTCACAATATATAGGGTTTAAGATTTTTGCAAACATACTAAGAACATGTTTAATTTTTATATTTTTTTGAAAAAAATTATCATTAATTTCAAAACATTTTTAAAAAATAATCTGGAGAATAGAAATAGTCAAAAACAATAAACTTTAAATTTGCATAAAACTTGAAAACACCTTATAAAATAATGAAACAAAACAAAAATTCTAAAACTCCTTATATTATGAAAGAGAGGGAATACTTATCTTATCACTCAGTTTCAATACTACAAAGACTTTTACATGACTTTGCACAGCTATGCGCGTTTTTCTACAAAGACCTTGACTTGTCTTACCATATACTATTCAAAGTAACGATAATGACCACTCAGTCAACCACATGAATTTTCAGTGTGTTTATGAACAGAGACTTTGACTTTTTGAAATATACAACACAATTATTTCTTGTTGAGTTTATATATAACCATGGAGATTAAGCTCACAATCCCACCTTTTTTTTTAGTTTATTATAGTTTTGTCTTATTTGCAATGGAAGGGAAGTATTTCTTAGGAAAATATCTGATGTGGGTGATATTATTGTTTGGGCAGCTACATGGATACACAAGCTGTATTCAGAAAGAAAGGAATGCTTTGTTCGAGCTCAAGCAACACATGATCTCAAACAGTCAACTGGGAGACCTCGACTATAATCTCCCTACTTGGACTAATCAAACAACGAGCGATTGCTGCCGATGGGAGGGTCTTAAGTGCAATCGTACAAGCGGACGGGTGACTGAGATTGTTCTTGACAATTTGTTCTTGGAAGAGAGCTTTCTCCTAAATATTTCTTTGCTGCATCCCTTTGAAGAGGTTCGAAGTCTGAAATTTTCAGCGTATGTGGTAGGCTTGTTCGATGATGTTGAAGGTATTTACCATGTTTTCTCTTGTAGTGAGGTTAATCATCTTGTTTTGCCTTGGAACTTGTTATATAGTTTTCCTGTGTTAGGGGTTCTTCTTGAAGGAACTTTTATGCACTAAATCTTACTTCATTGTTAAATTCATGAAAGTTGCTCCCTTTTTAACAATTATGGTTTTTGAATTTTCTCTGTTTCCGCATTTGACTTGCTCATCTCTGTGTGCCATGTTGTGTGTAAAATTCACATGAAACAGTCAACTGCATTTTCATCACATGAAAATTAAAGAAATGGTTGATATGTGTTATCATCACTATATTCTTAGCAAGTTTCTCCTTGTGCAGGCTATAGAAGCCTAGGGAGATTAAGAAACCTCGAGATTCTAGATCCCTCTGGAATCAATTCAAAACAGCATCTTTCCATTTCTTAATGCTGCTACATCACTTACAACTTCTTTTCTTGGCGAAAACATCTTGGATGGCCATTTTCCTGCTAAAGGTAAGTTTCTTTCCCCATTTATAACTCAGTGGAAACACATGATGGCCTTATTATTGATGATGTCTCTGTACACTTGTTCTATTCATAATTACAATTTTTGTTATAACTTTAATTAGAAAATTAGTCTTATATTTGTTGATATATTTTTCAGAACTTAAAGATTTGACAAACTTGGAACTGTTGGACCTGAGTAGAACAGTTTTAATGGCTCCATACCAGTACAAGGTAGCGCTTAAATTTTAAATAGTTAATTCAATGACTGCAAAGCCCTTTTTATATTGATTCCTGGAATCTATTTCTGAAATCATTATGTTCATATATATAAGTAAAGTTGCTTATCTTTGTGCTCGCTTTGTCTTGTGGCAGATTATCTCCCTGAGGAAGCTGAAAGCTCTGGATCTAAGTAGCAATGGATTTTCTGGACCAATGGAACTACAAGGTAAGTCTAAACTTATCATTAAAAATTCAAAAACTGGTGGTGATTTAACGTTTGAACATGTGTATAATTTTTTTTGCATTTGATTATCGTAGGGGTTTGCGAAATGAAGAATATGCAAGATCTTGATCTTAGTCGAAACAAACTAGTAGGTCAGTTTCCCTTATGCTTAACTAGCTTGAGTGGACTTAGAGTTCTTGATCTCTCATCAAACCAATTGACTGGGAATGTGCCATCTGCTCTCGGTAACTTGAATCACTCAAGTACTTATCTTTGTCTGATAACAACTTTGAAGGCTTCTTCTCACTTGCTTCGCTTGCCAACCTTCAGAGCTTAGGGTTTTCAAACTTAGTTCAAATCCAAATCACTTCAGTAGAGTCTGGAAGTTCTTGGAAGCCAAAATTTCAACTGAAGTGTTATTGAACTACCATCTTGCAACTTGGTAAAGGTTCCTTATTTTCTCCAATTCCAGAGAAGATTTAAGTCAATTGATCTTTCTGGCAATAATATTTCTGGAATTTTTCCTCATTGGCTATTGGCAAACAATAAGAACTCGAAGTTTTGTTTCTACAGAATAATTCATTTACAAGCTTTCAGCTACCAAAATCTGCTCATAATCTGTTTTCTTGGATGTGTCAGCTAATGAATTCAGAATCTCTTACCTGAGAACATTGGGTGGATACTTCCTAATTTACGATATGAAACTAGCTATAATGATTTTCAAGGAAATTTGCCATCATCTTTGGGTAACATGGAGTGGCTTCAATATTTGGATATATCTTACAACAACTTCCAGGGAGCTGCCTAACAAGTGTTGTGAAGGGTTGTTCTTCTATGGAAATCTTAACGCTTTCACATAACAAATTAAGTGGAGAGTTTTTTCCGGAATCAGCAACTTACCGGTATATTAGGAGCTGTATATGGATAACAATCAGTTTACAGGAAAGATTGGAAAAGGTTTGCGAAGCTTGAGATCATTTAATTTCTTGACATTTCAAACAACAGTCTCACGGGCTCATTCCAAGCTGGATTGGGGAACTATCTATAAGCATACTATTGATTGCAAACAACTTGTTAGAAGGTGAGATACCCATTTCGTTGTTCAACAATTTATCTCAGCTACTGGACCTCTCTGCAAACAGTTTATCTGGGGGCTACCTCCACTTGTCAATGCAATTCTGGGTATAAGGTAGCATTATTCCTGCAAGACAATAAGTTCTCAGGGTTATTCCAGACACATTGCTAAGAATGTCTCTGTACTTGATCTGAGAAATAACAGATTGTCCGGAAACATTCCGGAGTTCACCAAGAACCAACACACCCATACTCTTCTTCTCCGGGGGAATAATTTAACAGGCAGTATTCCTAGCCAGTTGTGTGGCCTAAGAACATCCAACTTCTTGATCTTTCAAACAACAGATTAAGTGGATCCATACCTTCATGCCTCTTCAATACATCATTTGGTTTGATGGAAAGAGGATATAGGGATTTTTTTTTGATTACGCCATGGTACTGAGTTTGGTGGTTTATCTTTGCCAAAAGACTTCACTGTAAGCGATCAGATTTTCAAATCTCTATTGAGCTAGAACGTTTATATGGAATACATGTCAAACACCCTATTCAAATTGAATTTGCAACAAAACACCGATACGATACTACGCGGGTGGAAATTCTGCAGTTGTTGTCGGGATAGATCTCTCAGAAAATGAGCTGAGTGGTGATATCCCAGTAGAGCTTGGAGGTCTTTTGGAGCTACAAGGTCTCAATCTTTCTCACAACAAGTTATCAGGAGTGATACCAGAAAGCTTTTCACGTCTGAAGAATGTGGAAAGCCTTGATCTTTCTTTCAACAGATTACAAGGCCGGATCCCGCCAGGACTAACAAATCTGAGCAGCCTCTCTGTCTTCAATGTCTCATACAACAACGTATCAGGAATCATTCCACAGGGAAAGCAGTTTAACACATTCGATACGCAAAGCTACTTAGGTAATCCTCTTCTCTGTGGACAACAAATCAACAGAAGCTGCGGCAGCAGTAACTTTCAAGAACCAGATAGTGGAGAGGAAGATGATGAATCCCCAATCGACATGGTATCTTTCTACTGGAGTTTTGCTGCAGCCTATGTGACTATACTTCTTGGACTATTCGCATCTCTCTCTTTCGATTCTCCTTGGAGCAGATTCTGGTTTTACGTTGTTGATGTTTTCATCCACAAGGCGAGGAAGTTTGTTGTGGTAAGACTATTGGTGCCAAATCCATAATAGTGTCCCGTTTGTTGCTCTTCTTCTTCTCGAAACCTTCTACTTTGTTGGTTCCTGTGTATTGTGTACTGTCCCTGTGTTTGAATAAATGTAATGCCCAAACATATCTTAGACCTGTTTTGTTGGTTTGTTCAATAATGTTGCATGAAACATTCAAGTAAAAAAGAGTACCCCATAAAAATTATTATAAAACACAAAGAATCATCTTTGGTTTTCATTATGGTTTCATGGGTTCTTGATAAGCACCGATTATCTTGATTTGGGTCATTGATGGGCTTCGATTAGTATTGGGCTTTTATCTTTTTAGTATTGCATTTTAGTTTATGTTTGTCTCTCTTTAAATAGAGAAGAATCTCTCTTTGTAAAGGTTTATCGATTACGATCATCAATCAAACAGGGTTTAAATCCCAAATCTCTCTTCTTCTTCTCCTCTTCTTCTTTGATATCACTCTCAAGGCAAGTCACAGGCTTGTTGATAGGTCACAGGCTTATCAGTTCTCTTAATCTATAGAATACTGAAGAGGAAAAATAAATGCCAGAGAGTAACATAGGACACTGTTAAAGAGTGAGAGAAAGAAGAGAACCCACTTTTAATTAGCTACTGGTTTGCAAAAAGCTTCTTCGTCTTCCTGACTTTGCTTGCAGAACAATTTAGTCATTCTTATAAACTAGTTCTTTTTATCCAAGTGGATCCAACTTAAAAGCAAAACGCTAATATATATGCGTAAGTATATATAGCATTTTGTTTAATACCATTTGTTTAACACCAAAGTATAATCAATTATTGTGCGTAATATAGTATTTTAGTATTAAACATTAAGAGCCTACCTCCTAAGGTAAAAAAGAAATGTATATGGACTCGATTAGATCCAGAAATGTTTTAGGGGGTGATTGGTAAGTGCTCTGCAGAGCAATTATTTTTTCTAGAGCATTAGTGTTAAACCAATCAAGCTTTGATTTCATCTTTTTAAGTTTAAAGCCATAATTTTATTTATGGAAATATTTTGGCTCTGCAGAGCAGATTTTTCAGAGCACAAATTTAAGGACTCTAGGAATTCTTTCTCTTCTCTTTCCTTAATCTCATTTTCTATATTCCCTTTTCATGTTTCTTTCCTAGGAGTATCTTTTATTTATTTTTAATGCCATATTTATGATATCTTTTAAATAAATTATTTATTATAAAAACCCTACAGCACTAAAATCTACAGCCATAGCAAAAAAGTCTACAACCTAAATTCTACAGCAAAAAATCCAAAGCTACAAACACTACCAATCATCCAAATCTTTTTATTTTGCATGAAACAAAAAAACGACCAAAAAATTAATTTACCCTACGTCAAAAATAAGTGTTTCTCAAGTATAACATTGAAGTCTCAAAGTTTGTAAATAGTGAAAAATTTCTTATCTCAAAACGTTCCAACTTAAAAGGTCTCACTATCATAAAAAAAAAAGAAAAAAAACATATTTTCCGGCAGACAATTCTTATTCCCAGCAAGCTTTTACCGACTTTTAACAACTTTTGTTCTTGATTTATTTCTGGGAACTAAATACGATCAGTAGAGTTATACAGCCAAAAGTTTAATTAATGTTCAATCCTAACAAACGACTAGACACAGAGGCAGCATGTCTGTAATATAGTCGATAAGTACATCAATGATCTTCTGATCTTGAAAGCTAATGATCATTGGCACAGTTGTTTTTTTTTTCATTGGCAAAGTTACTAGTAAATTAATTATGTATCTGTTTTTTTTTTCGAATTGAATGTAAAATTTATTCAAACCAAAATAAAAAAACTTTTTTACAACAAATGCATCATTGTTTTTGAAACTCTATCAAACTCGAAAAAGGAAAAAGAAAATCTAGAGAGAAAAAGTTTAGCGTGAACCAAACCACATCTCGAGACCTCCATCATATAGAGTGTCACCTGAACTTCTAGTAGATGAAAGTCTATTACGGACTTGTTTGTCGATGTTGTGAGCTAAGCGAAGAGGAGGAGATGGATCTTCTCCGAGTCTTCTCCCATTCCGTTCCTTCCATATGGTGTGAACCGTCGTTTGAAATACATATCGCAGGAGAAACAAAAAAAGATAATCTTGCGTCCTATCTGAGATTAACTCCAGGAGCCGGTCCCAGTCTGTAGTGTAACTGGATGCGAGAAGCTTCCTTGTGAGGTCTGACCAGATTTTTTCCGAATAGGTGCAACTGAAAAATAGATGGTTTCGTGTTTCGAGGGAGCCTTGATCGCGGGATCAGGTCTTCCCCTTTCCTATCCCTGATTCTGCAAGTGCACAGGTCAGAAGTAGTAAACGGGTATCGAACACAAGGACCAGATTGCACACTACAAGTTATGAGTTTGAGAACAAGCTAGGGCAAAAGTATAAGTTGGTTGAGTGCAGAGAAAGTAAAGCATGCAAGTAATAAAAAGTGAGAATTCAATAGGAGAGAAAGGCTAAGCAATAGGATAGTCTTGAGATAAGCAATTCAAGAAGCATGAAATCAATCAATTAGGGTTACCGCACTTAGGTGCTAATCTAGAACTTGAAACACTATGGTATGATCATTCCACTGTCGAGGCTCCGACCCCTTTGTTAATCTACCTAGTCGCTAAACTTTTGGTATGTCCCTAGGTGATTAAATCAAGCATTAGTTCGATCAAGATCAATTGTTCACAACCTACAAGTAGATCAACTGTCGCAGTCTAAAAGAGATTGCCCACCAAATACTAGTTCAGGCGAATGATACAGCACTGTCGAGGCTCAAATCAACCTAAAGGCATATGCTAATTGGCCAGATTAACAACAAGCATTAAGTATAAGCAAAGATGGAGATTATAAGTAAAACCCTAATTGTGATCAATCATCAAGCATACATGAATGCTATCCTTTGACTTCCTATCACTTAACAAGTAAACTACTCAGACATAGAGAAGGAAATCGAATTCATATTCATAAGAACAGAGATTCGAATCCTCTCTAGAAAGAGTAACAAGCAAGAACAAAGTAAAAGCAAGCAAAACTTTATTAAAGATGTAAAATAGATGTGGTCTCTCTCCTTCTTGAGTTACAAGGCTAAAAAGAAGTATTTATAATGCTCTAAGTATAAAAGGCGGCTAAACCTAATCTAGCTAGGTCGGCGCCGGCTTTGGGCTTGAATTGTGCGGATTGGGCTTCAAAAACGGCTTCGGGTCGACCGCGGCGTTCGGACGGTCGGTCGGGACGATCGGCCGGACAGTCGGGTCTTGGCCGAGTCGGAACGGTCGTGGCCGGATGTTTCATGGTCGGCCGGCGTGGTCGGACGGATGAAGATTTGGCCGATGGTTTCTCGGCCGGACGTGGGACGTTCTTCCCGGCTCGGACGGATGCATCGGCCGTGGTACGCGAAGGTTGCGCGGCCGCGAGGCTTGTTTCCCGGCTCGCGCGGCTGGTCGTGCGCGGCGTGGCGTGAAACGTTGGCTTGGCCGACCGCGGGACAATGTTTCCCGGGTCGTGTGCGTGATCGGCCGGTCGGTTTGGAACTTTGGCCGAGACTTCAGTCGGACGGATACGGTTTTGGCCGAGCGCGGAACATGCGTTCGGGCGCTGATTCTCGATAGGCCGTCTGGAGCAGTCTTCACTCTTTTGGCTATAACTCCTTTTCTACTCATCCAAATGAGGCCGTTCCAGTTGCGTTGGAAAGTTAACTCAATCAGAGCACGCAGGGAACTGGTCTTGATGAAATCCATTGAGTAGATCTTTTTCTAGCTCCATCCAAAGTTGATGCAGGGGCATTGAACTGGTTTAGAGTCCAAATCTCCTGTTTTGCTCCATAATGCACCTTTTTACCTAAAATGACTCTTTGCACTATAAATCCATAAAAACTACCTTTTAACACAAGAATCCACTAGAAAACCATTAGAAAACCATAGTAAAATAGCATAAAAAGTAGGTAAAATAGAGGTATATCAACTCCCCCAGACTTAGATCTTTGCTTGTCCCCAAGCAAAAAGAATCTAAACTAGTGAAGAGGTTTTGAAAAACGTGGGAACTCCCTTGCTTCTTTGAAAATCCTGTGAAAGGTTCCTTTCCTGTATTCCACTAAGAACATAGTCAACATAAGGTTAGCTTCACATACACCCTGCAAGTTTAGCGAACAATACCAACCCAACTAGTCTCATCCAGCAATCCAAACTCTCTATTGCTAACCTCTTGCAGAAATTTAAAGCGTGAGTTCTTTATCAAGGGAAATCGATCAATTGAACTTGTTCTTACCCACTTGATCTTCTCCAAGATTGTCTTTGAAGTGCAATGAGTTCCTTTTCCTCTCTCTTTCTCACATCAGAACTTTGAAAGGTCAATTTCTCCCTACTTTTCTAGGGTATCATTTTATTTTTTCTATTGACCTTCTTTCAACCACAGGATAAGTCTTTAGCTTGTTCCTTGTTTGATAAGGTATTCCATAAGACATGAAGGTACAGACATATGCATTCCTCATGCTTACTTGTTTTCCTTGTGCTCTTTGAGCTTTTCTCATAAACATTACTTACCATTTGGGATGGGAGAGAGAGGTGAACTCTTTAGACAAATCTCATTGAAAATCAAGCAAGGAACTGTCGACATGTATGCCAATCCCCTTGACAAGAGTTATTAAGATTGATTAAGGGTGAGGTTAACTCTAGATTGCTTGGTTACCTTAGAAATTTCGCTGAGCTAGCATGCGATCCACTCTAGGAGCTTCTGTTAGGCTTGTGCCTTCAGCTGATGTTTGCTCTAGGGTCATAGATTGTTAGCATACACTATCAAATCTCAAAGCAAGTTCATTGTTCCGGACTGGTTTTGACTCAATAAAACAGAAGTTTTGAAAAAGTGGGTTAGGAAAAACCAATTATAAGATCAAAACAACCATGAACAAACACATTAGTACCGACAATCCCCCCAGACTTAACTTGCACCGTCCCGGTGAAAGAAAATCCAATTAAGGGAGTTAAAGAAAGAGGTAATAAAGTGGTTGTGAATGTAAAAAGAAAGATGTAACCTGATTTGTGTTACTTGAAGAATGGTGAATGCAGTGGAATGATGGTAGTGATGGAATGCAAGTGTGGTGAGGTGGGATGGGTGAGATGCAGATGGAATGAGATGGGATGGTGTGTTGGGCGGCTTGAGAGGACATGGGCGAGCGTGGAGAGGTTCTGCTCGGCCATCTAAGTCGCGCCAACTATGAACATTCTTCTTGTGGTATATCTTCTTTACCATTGTGTGGTTCTTAGATTCCTGTTCCAAAACTCAAAACAAAACTAGACATTAACTAAAACTAATTGAAAAGAAAAGTAAAGAAAAACACCTTTCATGGGTTGCCTCCCATGCAGCGCTTCTTTTGAGTCATTAGCTTGACTGATAGGATCTCTTAGTTGGAGATGGGGTAAGGGCACGGCCTGAGACATAGTCTTTTAGTTCTTGTCTCATTGTGACCTTGAGTGTGGTCTGGTGGCTCTCTTGGGCGGCCTTGGGCAGTGATGAGGTAAGACAGCTTGTTTGGTGAGATGAATGGTATGGTCTTGTAAAAGACTGTCTTGTCACATTGGCTAAGGACATTCGCCGGTTTGGAAGGTCCATGACAGCTCCAGCAGTGGCCAAAAAGGGTCGGCCTAGTATCAATGGTGTGTCACATCCTCCTTGAATGTTTATGACATGAAAGTCCACCGGGATCTTGATATCTCCAATCTCTAGAAGAACATCAACAACAACTCCTCTTGGCTTGGCTATAGTATGGTTAGCAAGTCCAATACTAATTTGAGCAGGTTGCAAGCGTGTGATGCCAAGGAGTTTGGCGGTTTGGGTTGGCATGAGGTTTATGCAAGAGCCAGAATCGCATAGTGTTCTATCAAAGTAATGACCATTTACTTGACAGGGAATAGAGAATTGACCTGGGTCTTCAATCTTGTAGAGGGTCTTGAAGGTAGGCTGAACTTTAGCTTTCTCAAAAAGCTCTTTATGTCCTCAGGTGTCTCCTTGCAGTTGTGGAAGAAGGTGGTGAATGGGTAGTGGCGCCAAGCTTGTTTGGAAAGACATGCTGGCTGGAAGAGTTTGGACAAACTGATTGAACTCAGCAAGCTTCTCTCTTGATATGGAATTGACATACCACGGTGGTGATGATGGTGGTGATGGTGGTTGATTGACTCCATGAGGGGCAATGGGGAAATCGAGCCTTCCTGAAAAGTTGGTGTATCTCTTCTTTGTTTTCACTAGTTGTGAAAAAGAACTCCACTAGACCATGTTTATCCCAAGCTTCTTCAAAAGTGACATAGAATGGAAGTGATTTCACCTTAGCATTGAACTCTTTAAGCTTCATGGGGCTTATCTTGTTGGGATCAATGGGATCATACTGCCAAGTATCTTCTTCTTCAGTAGGTGGTGATGGTCTTTGCATTGCTTCCAATCTTGGAAGTGTAGAAGCTTGACTTCTTGGTGAGAAACGAGGGTCTAGGGCTAGGTGTATCCATGCTCTGTTTTGGGGAAGCATTGATGTCGATGCTCTGCTCTTCATCTTCATCATTCAATTGTTCCTCATACTCTCTTTCTTCTTCTTCATTGTCCTCATGGACTTGAGTAGTGCTTCTTCTTGTGATGGCATTGCAATAAAAGGGAGGGTGGTTGGGTGTTGGACTCCTCTCTCTCTTGTAATTGGCATGAGATGATCCTTCAAGGGCTTGTAGGCGGTTGTAGATCGATCCAAGATGTTTGCTATTGCCATAGCTAGTATCTTCAATTCTCATGCTCTTGTTCAGCAACTCTTGATATTTGGAAGCAACATCAAGCTTAACTAGGGTAGAGATCGATCATGATCCTCTCTTAACTTCTTAATGTCTTCATCAAGCTTGATCACTTGCTTGAATAGGACTTCAGATTTGTTTCCAAGGCTCTCATGGATGAAATCGATTCTCTCTCCATCTTCTTTGTACTTCTTCTTGATTTCTCAAGTACTCTTGAAGCATATCTTCAATCTTGGTTTGGCGCGCAGCTTGTAGCTCTCCCTTGGGAAAAGTGGTGTCTTGTTTATGTCTGGTGATGATGGATGGTGTTGTGAATAGCTTGGGCGTGGTGGTGGGACATAAATGGACCTTTAGCAAATCTGTGAGGAAAGCTCCTTTGTATCCATTCCAAGTCTTGAAAGCATGTTGGGCATTGAACTTAGCCCAGTCTTTGGCTTGTCCAGCTAGAGATAGTTGGAAAAGTTGTATCTTCTTGGGGTTGTCTCCAAGTCCATAGTCATGACAAAGCTGCTCAAAGTTGCATAGATGCTCCTTTGCACATTCTGAAGTAGAATTGTAGAAAGGATTCCTCTCCACATGCTTGATTAGCTCTTCATTCAAACTTCAGGATGGGGTGGTATGCCTCCCCATTCTTCTTCATCACGCTCTCTCTCCAGCTGATGAGAGTAGTGGTGGTACTTGGATTTGAAAGGTGGCCTTGCAAATCTCTTCAAGAAAGCTTCTCTAAAATCGATCCATGACTCGATTGTAGAGTGGCTCATGCTGCGCCCAATCTAGTGCTGGTCCAGCTAGTGATGTGCTGAATAGCATCATCTTCTTCTCAAAGTCAAAAACTCCATAGGAATCACAAAGATTGTCAAAGTGATCTATGTGCTCCAGCGCATACTCTGAAAACAGATCATGGAATTGATCTCTCTTCACGAACTCGATCAGCTCAGGGTTCAATCTCCTCTTCTGGTGTGGCTAGAAGGTGTTCTTCTTGGTGTGATGCGGCTTGGCTAGACGTCTCCAGGTCGGCTGCTTCAAGGTAAGGAAGAAGTTTCTTCTTTGTCTTCAAGGTGGATGGTCTTGGAGGACTATCCCATGAAGGTGGTGGTGCTTGAGGGCTTGAACATCTCTTGTTCGCTCAAGAGGTGCTTTGAGGTGGTATGTGGCGAATTGGCATCGCCTTTATAGGGGAAGAGGCTTGTGGCTCCTTCTCCATATCTAACTAGGAAAACCTGAAAAGCTAAAAACAAAAAGGAAAAACCAAAAAGGAAAAACAAATCAAAGAAAAAAGGAAAAATAACAAAAACAAAAAGGAAAAGATGAAACCCTAGACTAGCTCTCTTGCAAAACTTGTAGGTGCGAATTGGTCCCCGGCAACGGCGCCAAAAACTTGATCGCGGGATCAGGTCTTCCCCTTTCCTATCCCTGATTCTGCAAGTGCACAGGTCAGAAGTAGTAAACGGGTATCGAACACAAGGACCAGATTGCACACTACAAGTTATGAGTTTGAGATCAAGCTAGGGCAAAAGTATAAGTTGGTTGAGTGCAGAGAAAGTAAAGCATGCAAGTAAAAAAAGTGAGAATTCAATAGGAGAGAAAGGCTAAGCAATAGGATAGTCTTGAGATAAGCAATTCAAGAAGCATGAAATCAATCAATTAGGGTTACCGCACTTAGGTGCTAATCTAGAACTTGAAACACTATGGTATGATCATTCCACTGTCGAGGCTCCGACCCCTTTGTTAATCTACCTAGTCGCTAAACTTTTGGTATGTCCCTAGGTGATTAAATCAAGCATTAGTTCGATCAAGATCAATTGTTCACAACCTACAAGTAGATCAACTGTCGCAGTCTAAAAGAGATTGCCCACCAAATACTAGTTCAGGCGAATGATACAGCACTGTCGAGGCTCAAATCAACCTAAAGGCATATGCTAATTGGCCAGATTAACAACAAGCATTAAGTATAAGCAAAGATGGAGATTATAAGTAAAACCCTAATTGTGATCAATCATCAAGCATACATGAATGCTATCCTTTGACTTCCTATCACTTAACAAGTAAACTACTCAGACATAGAGAAGGAACACGAATTCATATTCATAAGAACAGAGATTCGAATCCTCTCTAGAAAGAGTAACAAGCAAGAACAAAGTAAAAGCAAGCAAAACTTTATTAAGATGTAAAATAATGTGGTCTCTCTCCTTTTGAGTTACAAGGCTAAAAAGAAGTATTTATAATGCTCTAAGTATAAGAAGACGGCTAAACCTAATCTAGCTAGGTCGGCGCCTGTGATACCCCGTATCAAGACCTAAAACATCCCAAAGGCCGGGATGGGAAGATCAACACTCTGGGATTGGAAGACAAAGACGTGGATCTAATCCAGAGATCACAACGAAGACTTGGATCAAGACAGGATCAAGAACGATCGAGCAGAAGTGAAGATACAGCAAGATTGTCCAGGTGGGACGATCATTGTACGAACATGGGAAGAGTCAACAGGACGACGAAATATCAAAGTTCTCCAAATCAAGAAGAGAAGAGTTTGGACGACATAAGAGACCATTCTAAGAAGTTTGGTCGAAGCAGAATGCAAATCGGACGGGCAGATTGAGAGATGGGACGGACGCCCAAGATCTATCCGCAACGACTGCAAGAAACGTAAATGTTCGGGATGGAGGTATTCCGCACATTTCCAAGCAACTATGTGGAAGCTCAGAAACATGGAAATGAGAGAAGGATTAAAATAGGAGATTTTAATTCTCAAGCACGACGGGGACGAAACCCTCCAGGACAGGGAAACGTACGAAACCCTCTGGACGAGGAAACGTACATTTGGAGCAATCTTGTTCTAAGCCAATCAAGTGGTGACACCAGCTACTTGGAGAAGATAAGGATGATCTAACCAATATGGAGAAGACACTCAGCTACTACAATGGAGCCAAAACCGTACAGCCAATCATGTAGCAACATCCAGCTACCGAATGAAGACGAAGCAAGCCTAAACCAATTGGGCAACGACACCAGCTGCTAAAGAGGAGAGAGGGCGTGGATAAGCTCCAAGAAGACCTAATGCTATCAGGGAGAGACACCCAGCTGCTCATGAGAGACAAGAATCGTCCAAACCAATCAGACGGAGACATTGAGTGATCAATGGAGACGAAATGACTTGGACGAATCAGGATGCAACACCAACTACTGAGAGAGTAAAGCTTCAGGAGTGGATGAGAAGCAAGTGTAGAGAGAAGAAACGGATTGGATCAAGAGCTGACCAATCAGACAGAAGCACCCAGCATCTTAATGGATAAGATGAGTTATATCCAATGGCACGACCACACCACATGCTTGGGGGAAGTCGGCCTATTGGATGAGCATTGAGAGGGGATAGGAATGACGTGTGTCATGTCCTGAGACGCCCTAGAGGCCACCAATCAAAGCTACCTAGCCTAGACCGCCTGGATGTCGCGTTCTGAGGCAGTGTAGGTCGCCACCAAGCAAAGCTATGCTAGGCCTAGGTCTCCATGTGTCTGCGCATGACTGGAGACGTCCCAAGAAGCCAGGCAGCCTCCTGAACTCCTATAAATACGCTCCTCCACCCCAAGTCCAAACCATTCCATTCCCAAAGCTAGAGAGCACCTGAAAAGTGATTAGAGAGTAATTAAGAAAGTTTTCTTAATTAAGTGAGGTTAGTGGAAGATTAGAGTAGGTCAAGATCAAAGCTTAAGGAAAGCTAGGAGGATCTTGAAGTCTTCTTAAAGTGGTGAGTCTTGGTGTTATAGTTTTAGTATTTTGGATCTTTGTGTGTGTATGCAGGTTGTATGAACACCAAAGCATAGGAGATGCTTTCTGTTCATATTGGTTATTGGTTCTGTAGTATAACTCTCTAAACAATAAGGTTTAGTAAAAATTGTGGAGAGTTATGCTGCAGAAATTTATATAATGTGTTGTGAGGTTGTGATGGGTAATCTTCTAGGAGAGAAGTTATGCCGTCAAATCTCTTGTGTGTTTATATGCAGGTTTGCATTGTTGTGAGGTTGTGATGGGTAATCTTCTAGGGAGAGAAGTTATGCCGTCAGATCTCTTGTGTTGTGAGGTTGTGTCGGGTAACCTTCGGGGAAGGTTAGGCCGCCAGATCTCTTTTGTGTGTGAGGTTGTGTTGGGTAACCTTCGGGGAAGGATATGCCAACAGATCTCTTTTCTGTGTAAGATTGTGATGGGTACCTTCGGGGAAGGTTATGCCGTCAGATCTTGTTAGTGTAGATGCATATCTATACATTAGGTGATGTGAGATTGTGGATGGCTATGCCGCCAAATCTCATAGATGCATCGGTTGTGGGGTTATAGCATGGCTATGCCGCTAAACCTCGAGTGCATACTAACATGGTGGTGCGTGAGGCCCATATGTTGAGTATGACTCCGATGTGGAAAGATCACGGACGGCTGAGCCGCCAGATCTTTCGAGGTTCGTGTGGGTACTCTTCCGAGGCAAGGGAAGCTCTGCCGCAGAACCGGTGGTATGAGGCATAGTGGTGCGTAAAGGCCCATATGCTAAGTACTGAGAACATGTGGCGTGTCTAACCACATGTTGTCTAGGAAGGTGTAGTCAAGCGCATTCTCGCACGTCAGAGCCCAACCGGATTGGCAGCGTGGAGGCTGTGCATGAAGGGAGGAAGACTCGGAGGATAACCTGGTCAGCTGCCTTGGCCGAGTATGGTACCATATGACGATATGGGATCCAACCAGACATTGGCATGGTGCGCCAGTAAGGCCAATAGATGGAAGGATGAACCGGGTACCGCGATGGACTGTAGTGCCCGGGTGAAGGCGTTCATCTAGTTTCTGTGTGATTCCGGATGAGCGTGAACCTTCACAGGCGTGGGCAGAGAATGTGGCTAATGCACCTAGGCGCCTTATTGCATATAGAAAACAAGTATTAGATACTTGTCTAGGTTTGCATGGGCATTGCATATAGATTGTTTGATTGTTGTTATAGTCTTGGGTTGATCGTACCTGTTCTTGTTTGATTGGGGTACGGTTAGTCTTAAGACTATGGCATCAATATGCATGTGATTGCATATGTTGTGTTGTGCTAACCTCATTGCAGGTGCAGGCGGGGTTACAAGCCCGCGGCGTTTGTGTTTGGAGTTTAGGGAATCCCCCTTGTATAGAGGTCCTAGACTCACTGAGTAATATTAGATTACTCATTCCTTTTGTTTAATGTTTTCAGGTGACCGTAGAGGTGTGAAGTAGAGCGGACCGCTGCAGGCAGTAGGCGCCAGAATAGTTTTGTGGTATGTTTTTGTAAAATTATGGTTTGTTGTTTGGTTTGGAACTAAGGATCGATCCGCATGTTTTTAAATAAGTCGGATTTTGTAAGCACTCTGATATTTTAATAAAGGAAAGTTTTATGTAAAGACCTTATGTTCCAATGATATTAGCTTGGTCCGGGCTAACACAACTCCTGACCGAAGTACGGGTTGGCAAGCCTTAGGCTTTGGTCAAGAGGGTCGAGTTCGTGGAACGGGCTGACCTGGGCTCTGATTTGTTCTTAGTCTGGGATGGCCTATTCGGCGAACATCGACATTTTGTGGCGCTTCTCGGAACGTCTGTGCCTAGGACGGTTCGGGGGTGTTACAAATGGTGGTATCAGAGCATGGTTCATGATCATGCTCGGGAACAAGGATTTTTAAAACGTTTTATCGAGTCAAATTGAGTCGCAAAAACTACCTTAGGTAATCTGGTCTGTCTGCAGCATATAGGTAGAATGTTTAGGTTGTGGTTAAGCATTGCTTGATGTTGCTTATAATTTCTGATTGATCATGCATGTTCTTGTTTGATTGTTGCATGGTCAGTATAGAGGTTATGGTAACATTGTGCAATGTGTAAGCCACATTTGAGGTGTCTATGGGTGTTGATCATCCATAGAATAGATGGATGCGGATCATCCATGGGATAGATTGTGTTGAATAGGAACCCTAATGTTTGCTTTGTGGTGATAGCTTGAAGTCATGAGTGACTGGTTTGTGGATGATGAGGGGTCGTGGTTTAGTACTGGGCAAGAGTGGACAGTGGAGTCTGGATCGTCGAGCTCAGAACCGTCGAGCAATTCGGAGCACTGGATCGTAGTGACGGACTTGGAACAGCAGACACTAACAGATCATGATAGCAGCAGTGATTGGGACGAGGACGTATATCTCATGCCGAGAGACAACGTGCAGCCCAGCACAATGGTGAATGAGTATGGCGAACACATGACATGGCCAGTACATTACCCTGAGGAGGAGAGAGTAGTGCCATCTACTCAGATCATAGAGATCAGTTCAGGCGAGACTACACCAAACTCTTGGGATAGAGATAGTCCACCAAGTGTTCTACCGCATATACCAATGCCGCATGTATTTGCACCAGGAGGTGGAGTATATCCGTACATGCCAACGGAGGAGAATCCAACGGACTACGTATACCCGTTCATTACCACGGGTGTAGAAAGCAATGATCCAGCCATCGCAACTCAAGTCAATAGAAGTCTTCACAAACCAACCTGAAGAACCGGATACGCCGGAACCAACATGGGAGGATTATCTTGGACACCAGAACGTATCACCCACGTACTGGACAAGGAAACTCAACGAGATCGCTGGATACACATCATCAATGGAGCATGGAGAAGGAAGCATACCTCAAGATCAAGGAGAAGCTAATGCAATGTGGTGTACAATGTATGGAGAACAAGATGCACCGAACTCGGTGGCAGGCATTGGAGCTCAACATCAAATACCGGATCTTAACCAAACCACGGAGGAAGGTACCGGAGAGAATGAATGGCTACAAGATGATGAAGGTCTTAACCTAGCAAGAAGGTGGGATGAGATAATCGCCACAGAATTGGAGAATCTCAGAACAGAGGGTAATGGCCAAGAGCAAACTGTGTCACGCCAAAGGGGAAGGCCTCCCAGAAGACTCGCGAGGATGAGAGTCCCAGCACCGTCTCAAGTCACGCTACCATGCGATCAATGTGGAAGGACGGGACATCAAAATTTTAATTAATGTTCAATCCTAACAAACGACTAGACACAGAGGCAGCATGTCTGTAATATAATCGATAAGTACATCAATGATCTTCTGATCTTGAAAGCTAATGATCATTGGCACAGTTGTTTTTTTTTTCATTGGCAAAGTTACTAGTAAACTAATTATGTATCTTGTTTTTTTTTTCGAATTGAATGTAAAATTTATTCAAACCAAAATAAAAAAACTTTTTTACAACAAATGCATCATTGTTTTTGAAACTCTATCAAACTCGAAAAAGGAAAAAGAAAATCTAGAGAGAAAAAGTTTAGCGTGAACCAAACCACATCTCGAGACCTCCATCATATAGAGTGTCACCTGAACTTCTAGTAGATGAAAGTCTATTACGGACTTGTTTGTCGATGTTGTGAGCTAAGCGAAGAGGAGGAGATGGATCTTCTCCGAGTCTTCTCCCATTCCGTTCCCTCCATATGGTGTGAACCGTCGTTTGAAATACATATCGCAGGAGAAACAAAAGAAGATAATCTTGCGTCCTATCTGAGATTAACTCCAGGAGCCGGTCCCAGTCTGTAGTGTAACTGGATGCGAGAAGCTTGCTTGTGAGGTCTGACCAGATTTTTTCCGAATAGGTGCAACTGAAAAATAGATGGTTTCGTGTTTCGAGGGAGCCTTGATCGCGGGATCAGGTCTTCCCCTTTCCTATCCCTGATTCTGCAAGTGCACAGGTCAGAAGTAGTAAACGGGTATCGAACACAAGGACCAGATTGCACACTACAAGTTATGAGTTCAGATCAAGCTAGGGCAAAAGTATAAGTTGGTTGAGTGCAGAGAAAGTAAAGCATGCAAGTAATAAAAAGTGAGAATTCAATAGGAGAGAAAGGCTAAGCAATAGGATAGTCTTGAGATAAGCAATTCAAGAAGCATGAAATCAATCAATTAGGGTTACCACACTTAGGTGCTAATCTAGAACTTGAAACACTATGGTATGATCATTCCACTGTCGAGGCTCCGACCCCTTTGTTAATCTACCTAGTCGCTAAACTTTTGGTATGTCCCTAGGTGATTAAATCAAGCATTAGTTCGATCAAGATCAATTGTTCACAACCTACAAGTAGATCAACTGTCGCAGTCTAAAAGAGATTGCCCACCAAATACTAGTTCAGGCGAATGATACAGCACTGTCGAGGCTCAAATCAACCTAAAGGCATATGCTAATTGGCCAGATTAACAACAAGCATTAAGTATAAGCAAAGATGGAGATTATAAGTAAAACCCTAATTGTGATCAATCATCAAGCATTCATGAATGCTATCCTTTGACTTCCTATCACTTAACAAGTAAACTACTCAGACATAGAGAAGGAACACGAATTCATATTCATAAGAACAGAGATTCGAATCCTCTCTAGAAAGAGTAACAAGCAAGAACAAAGTAAAAGCAAGCAAAACTTTATTAAAGATGTAAAATAGATTGTGGTCTCTCTCCTTCTTGAGTTACAAGGCTAAAAAGAAGTATTTATAATGCTCTAAGTATAAGAAGCGGCTAAACCTAATCTAGCTAGGTCGGCGCCGGCTTTGGGCTTGAATTGTGCGGATTGGGCTTCAAAAACGGCTTCGGGTCGACCGCGGCGTTCGGACGGTCGGTCGGGACGATCGGCCGGACAGTCGGGTCTTGGGCCGAGTCGGAACGGTCGTGGCCGGATGGTTTCATGGTCGGCCGGCGTGGTCGGACGGATGAAGATTTGGCCGATGGTTTCTCGGCCGGACGTGGGACGTTCTTTCCCGGCTCGGACGGATGCATCGGCCGTGGTACGCGAAACGGGTTGCGCGGCCGCGAGGCTTGTTTCCCGGCTCGCGCGGCATGGTCGTGCGCGGCGTGGCGTGAAACGCTTGAAGCTTGGCCGACCGCGGGACAATGTTTCCCGGGTCGTGTTGCGTGATCGGCCGGTCGGTTTGAACTTTGGCCGAGACTTCAGTCGGACGGATACGGTTTTGGCCGAGCGCGGAACATGCGTTCCTCGGCCAGCCGGACTGCGCGTTCGGGCGCTGATTCTCGATATGGCCGTCTGGAGCAGTCTTCACTCTTTTGGCTATAACTCCTTTTCTACTCATCCAAATGAAGCCATTCCAGTTGCGTTGGAAAGTTAACTCAATCAGAGCACGCAGGGAACTGGTCTTGATGAAATCCATTGAGTAGATCTTTTTCTAGCTCCATCCAAAGTTGATGCAGGGGCATTGAACTGGTTTAGAGTCCAAATCTCCTGTTTTGCTCCATAATGCACCTTTTTACCTAAAATGACTCTTTGCACTATAAATCCATAAAAACTACCTTTTAACACAAGAATCCACTAGAAAACCATTAGAAAACCATAGTAAAATAGCATAAAAAGTAGGTAAAATAGAGGTATATCAAGCCTTTACAGAGGATGCACGCAGGGGAAGCTCCTACATTCCAGCTTTGTAAGCGTAGAAAGTCGATTGCGTATAGCAAGCCATGTAAGAAAAGAGTACTTAGGAGTGGCATATGAGAACCAAATGCCTTGGTACCATTCTTTTATAGGCTGTGCTGTACGAGTTAAAAGCCATGTGCTATTTGTACTGAAAACTCGTTTGAACTTGTTCCCTTTTTTGCGCCACAAAAAAACATCTTCTCCTTCTAGAGTTCCTTGTTGCCGTTGGTTTTCTATAACATCCTCAATGGAGTTTAAAACAGCTACTCTATGGCGTCTACGTCTATGCGTTAGCAAAGCTGCTTTGACAGATGCATGAAGCGGAATGCCAAAGTCGATGGAGCCTCGGGTACCTGTGAGATCAATGAGCTTGCCTAACGGGTGCCACACATATTGAGATATTGTAGAGGTTAATGGGCCATGAGGCCTTAATATCTAGAGGGTGTGCAAGATAAAGTCCCACATCGGAAGTGGGAAGGGACCTTGAGCGATATATAAGAGACTGAGGCTTCTCCACCTATTGCCAATTGGTTTTAGATTGGATGCCTAGGAAATTTAACATGGTATCAGAGCAGTCGATTCTGGGCCACCCGTGGATGTTGTTCCCACAATTTGCCCACGCTTTAGATGATGACCTCTGAGCGATGAAAGTCCCACATCGGAAGTTAGATAAATAATTAACTAATATATAAAGGGTTAGGGCCTCTCCACCTATTGCCAATTGGTTTTAGGTTGGATGCCCATGTTTAACCCAGATTTGACATGGTATCAGAGCATGGTATCAGAAGTTAGAGATATATAAGAAAACTTAACATGGTATCAGAGCAATGATCCCACACTCTCATGACTCGGCCCAGAAAGGGCCCGACCCTAGGATTGATGGTCTACGAGATTAATGGCTAGAAGGGCCATTATCTCGAGGGAGGGTATTGGGATATTGTAGAGGTTAATGGGCCATGAGGCCTTAGTCTCTAGAGAGTGTGCAAATAAAGTCCCACATCGGAAGTGGGAAGGGACCTTGAGCGATATATAAGGGACTGAGGCCTCTACACCTATTGCCAATTGGTTTTAGGTTGGATGCCAAGAAAACTTAACAACACGTCATACCAAAAAGAAGTTGAGGCTCCGTTGCGAATCTCCGATTTTGTAATAGAGGCTGCCACCTCTCTGTACTTAACAAGCTTTTTCCACATCCAGGAGCCAAGAGATGATGATTCATTAACTGACCAGAATGAACCTTTCCGGATTAAAAAGTGATGGACCCAATTGACCCATAAAGAAGATCGTGCGGACAAGATTCTCCATATTAGTTTCAAACATCTCACATTATCCGCTTCAGTAATAGATCTCAAACCCAAACCACCTTCTGCCTTTGGTTTACATACATCAGTCCAAGCTATTTTTGCTTTCTTTGCGTTCAAATCAGGACCTGACCAAAGAAAAGCAGCACAAAGCCTGTCGTAACCCCCTTTCCTTCTGAAAAACCCTGCAAGCTCACCGTTTACCTGAACCGAGAAAGATGCTATTGTAACACAAAGTTTGATCCAATGAATAAATCTTTCTGGTATTTTTAGTGCTGATAGGGTGGCAAGCAGAAAAGGCCATTGCACCGAGTCAAATGCTTTTGAGATATTAATCTTAACTGCGCAACGAGAAGATATTGTTGCTTTGAGATAACATGTCACCAACTCTGAAGCAAGCAAGACGTTTTCCATCAACAAACGGAACTACGATGAGTTTCAAATCAGTCAATGGAAACATGCAGATACACTATCTCCACTTGTAATTAAGTGGTGAGATTGGTATGTGGTATGTGACTTTTGTATGCATAAAGACTAAGTGTGAGGTGGGACATGATGAAATGTGTGTGTTCGGACTTCGGGCGAGGTCAGGAGTTTTGTAAGTAAAAGTGAGTTGACTTCGGAAGAAATGATGGAGTTCGGAGAAAGAAAATGATTGGAAAGGAAAGAAGGAATCAAATCAGGAAGCGGCGACACTATGATTGGTTGATTATTATTAATTCCAGTCAGAAGTACATATTCAGATATTAATCCTCCTTGCATTATGTTTACTGTTGCTCTTATATAATATAAATAATAAGGGTAGTTCCCAAAAAATACATGTGACATGTCAGTGGGGCCTGTCCTTCCTTCTCTGGTGAAGAATTTTTAGAATATGATATTGGGTCCTGCTATTAGGCTTTGGTCGGATAGGGGCCAGCCCAATAAGAGCATCTCCAACCACCCCCATATTTCACCTTTATTGCCATTTTGGAGTTAATTTTGCTCCAACCCAACCTCATTTTCAATCTCAAAATGGCAAAATGCCAGATTTTTTCCCAAAATGAGGTTGATCCCATTTTCATTTCCATTTTGGAGTTGAAGTTTTTAATTTATACAAGAGTCCTTGAAGTTTAAATTATTTCAGTTTAAGATATATAATTAATTATTTTGATGTTTATTTTTATTCTAAAATACAAATAACACATATTTATTAGGAGATTTAATTGTTTAAGCTAATAATAAATGGGTAAATTTAACTAATATACACAAATAATCTGACAATTAGGTATTTGGCAAAATAAGATGATAATTAGTTTTTTAGGAGAGAGAATATGTTCTTTAAACCAAAACTATCCTTTTAATTCCAACATATTTACATAAGTTGCCATTGACCTATCTGATGCCATTAACATATTTAGTTAACATAATATTATTAGTTAACGTGATAATCAAATAGTTATCATAATATCATATAAGTTAGCATGATAATCAATATTGTTATCACAATATGTTATATTAAATTAACATGATAATACAAAAGTTATCTGTTAAATTAAAAAGTTATCATGATATCACATTAGTTAGTATGATAATCAAATAGTTATCATAATATTATATAATTTAGCATGATAATCAATATTGTTATCATAATATCACCAGGTGATAACTTATTTGATTATCGTGCTAACTAAAATTGTATTATGATAACTATTTAACTTACTTGTTAGCAGATATGTTAGCATGTTACTTGGAATTCGCTAACACTTTAAAAATATTTTGAAGAGTCAGAGTGTTTGAAGTCTTTGGCCAATGAACAGTATATGAATAGTCCCACAATAAAGTTGTTAGTGTCACCCATTTAATTATGGAATTATTGATGTATATTTCTTGCAATTTCCCATAATAAATTTAAAAAGAAAGGAGAAATACTTATATTAGAAATAACATCAAACAGAAAATTTATTAAAACAACTATTACTGATTTATTAAAAAAATCATGAACAATTTGTAATATATATATATATATATAAATATACAATGTATAGTAATTAATAAAAAGTTTTTCAAAAAGAATATACTTATAATATTTTTTTTGAAGTAAAAAATGAGGTAATACATTGGAGCAAAACCCAACTCTTGGAAATGCTCTAAGGAGGTAATAAGCCCACTATAACACCACACTTACATCAACTTACCCAACATCTTAGACTGCTATAGTTTGTTAACATTTCTGTTTGTGTTTCTGTTTCCATGTCAATAATATATTAATCTTCGTACCATGGAAACAGATATGTAAATCAGTACTATTTGTAAGATACAAAAACCAAACAAAAATAAATAAATAAATAAAAATTGCATTGACTTAGGAATGTAACACATTGAAATATTCTGAGTTGAAACACAAATCTTATATATAATGAGGAGATATCACTCTCCCGTTGAGTGACACCTGTCACATCCTCTTTTAAAAAAAAAAAATCAGACCAAATATTTCGCATAGAGTCCTTAGACATTATTTTGTTTACAAAATAACCCCAAACACTGAAAAAATTGCCTCATTGGTTTTCTCTCACTCACCTAATCGTAAACCCAACGCCGACACAAGCTCCTGTCCGCCGGATCGCTTGATTGTCTCGGATCTCGCCGTTCGCACACACAACTGCCTCCTCGACTCACCATGAGATTTGCCGTCTCCGGTTTCTCCATCCATGGCAGACTCGCCAAATCAAATGCTCCTAAATGGATCTCCACTGCGCGGCGCAAAAAATTCTCCGCTGTCTCTGTCTCGAAGCCTCTCTTGCTCAGTCAACGCGCATCAACCATCCACCAACCTCCGCCGACAATAGATTCACCCCTAATCGTCCGCGCTCACTCACTGAGTCAAGAGAAGGTCTTGACACGTTCTCCGATTTCGCATGCGGGATTGAATTATCCAGGGACCGTGTAGCGTCAAGAGATCGCCGGAGAATAAGGGGTCTGGTAATCAGGGATAATGTTTTGCAGGTTTGAGAGAAGGCGGAGATATCTTGAGGGTTTAGCCATGGGATAGTCAAATCCGCACACCGGAGCAATGGATTGGTGGCCGGGATAATGAATAGACTCTCTCCGACTCCGAGACGAGGCTTCTTCAATGGCGGCTGTTGCTACATTTTTGGTTTCTATTCAGTCGAGAGATAAATTTGGTTCAATATCTAAAATCCGGTTTGTTTCATTAGTGCTTCATAATTTTTCGGTTTGTTCTGCTAATTTATTAGTATTAATTAACTTTGTTATTACACAAGTTACAACAGTTACGCGGCGTTGAAAAGTCTCACTCTCTCATATTATCCCAGGCAAAAATTAGAAAAACTCATAAAAGAATCCGTCTGAGATTTTTCACGAGAAAAAACAGAAGAAGAAAAAAGGCAGAGAGTTTCGAAAAATGACGTCGCCACCGACGACGACTTCTCTCTCGGTTAGACAAACAATAAACGGATCGCACAGCTTCACAATCAAGGGGTATTCGCTAGCCAAAGGAATCGGGATCGGAAACACATCAAGGGACACATTCACCGTCAGTGGATACCAGTGGGCAATCTATTTCTACCCCGACGGCAAGAACCCGGAGGACAATTCGGCTTACGTCTCCGTTTTCATCGCCTGATGTAAGAGCTCTCTTTGAGCTTTTGTTGTTTGAGAATAGTGGCAAAGGGAAGCATAAGGTTCATAGCCACTTCGACCCAGCGGTCCTTATACCCTTAAGTCCTTATACCCTCAAGTATCGCCGCAGCATCTGGTTTGTCTTCCTTAAATCAAGTCTCTGTTTTTCTGTTCCTCTTCTTAGCTCTCTTGCTAGGGTTTGATAAATTTAGGTAATTTTAGATAAAAACCGTTTATTTGTTAGAGAATTGATGTTGGAAGCTGTTGATTCAGGGGATACAAAAGGTCCTTCAGAAGAAAAATGTTGGAAGAATATGATTTTCTCAAGAACGATTGTTTGAAAATCAATTGTACAGTGGGAGTTGTGGTCTCGGAGATACATTGTCCTCGGTTACATTCATTTCATGTCCGTGCTCACAGGTTGGTGCTAGCCGCTCGGTCTCCTGTCTTCGAAAGCCAGTTCGACGGAGTTGAAGAAGATCGTGATATCGAAGTTACTCACATGGAGCCTAAAGTTTTCAAGGTAAAAACTTTTTTTTTTACACTTGTGTCTGATTTGCTAATTGTTGTTCTTGATGTATATTTTTATTTTGGTTTAAGGCTTTGCTACATTACATATACAAAGATGCTCTCCTCGAAGATGCAGAGTCGTCATCGTTTTCACTTTTGAGATTACCATCCCCATTCTATTAATAAGATGTGTTCGGCACATCATTCACAATATCAAATAATACGTTACATATCGTAACAGAGAGACAACAAGGCAAGCAAGGAAAATCAGAATGGGGATTCTAAGGACTAAAAGAGAAGGTAAAAAATCTTCAGTATCAACATTTAGCCAACTTATTATTACACATATATTTAAAAGAAGAAATGTACTTTTGGATACTGGGGCCTAAAGGAGGATTGGCAGAGAAGGTCGCGGACGAGGTCGATGGTATTTGCGAACCAAATGGATACAAATGAAGAAGAGGATGCTATCTACTTCAACGATAGCAGCGACACCTACCATTTCGGGTATTATAACTTCACCTCTCTATTTACTTCTTTTCAAAATTCAGAAATCTTCTTTTTGGTTGAAGGGCTTTCAAAATTCAGAAATCAACATTGTTTGCTTCTTTTCAAGATTTTAAAACTTTTTTCGTCGTTGTTTGGATTAGGGATGTATTCTATGCGTTTCTGTGCGGCGAGAAGACGGGAAGAGCGATTCGATACGATAAGAAAACGAAAAAGGCCAAAGTTGTAATGGACCATCTTCATTTCCCTAATGGTCTTGCCTTAAGCAAAGATGGTTCGTTCGTGCTTTCCTGTGAGGTCCCAACGCAATTTGTGCATCGATATTGGGCCAAGGGACCAAAAGCCGGTACCCGAGACATATTTGCAAAGCTCCCTGGCTACGCTGATAACATCAGAAGAACCGAGACATGGGATTTTTGGGTTGCCTTGCATTCCAAGAAAACTCCATTTTCTAGGTTTTCTTGATGCATCCGTCATCGAAAATTCTTCATGAAGACGTTTAAAATGGAGCTGTTGGTTTTCCTCTTTGAAGGCGGCCGCATGCCGTCGCCGTGAAACTATGCGGCGAGACCGGTGAGGTCTTGGAGATTCTTGAGGATAGTGAACGGAAGAATATGAAGTTCGTAAGTGAGGTTCAAGAGAGAGATGTAAGCTCTGGTTTGGCCGTTTGGGTCTGTGTTTCTGCCTTTCGTTTGGATTCTCGATCGTTGGTGATTTCTACGATTAGTTTTTAAATGTTTTGATTTTGATTGATTAGGACCGTGATTAAATGATCTTTCTTTTGCTTCTACATTGATATCACTTTCTCATGTGTGTGAATTTGATAATAATCAAAGGCTTTTTAAAGTATTTGCATTTTAAATATACAAGTCCTTCTCAAGACTCTTGATCTTACAATATACTTACAAATTTCTTTTTTTCGGTTAAAGTAAATCTTGGTTAAGAGAAATCTCTTAATCTTGGTTAAAGTAAATCTTGGTTAACAGATGCGTATGTTTGTAATCCATTCTTTAGTTTTCCTTTATGTTGTCAAATTCTCACTTTGTGAACTCCATTGTGTTCCACCCAAGAGCATCGTCTTAAGACTCTTAACTAAACTCATCTATTATACGCAAAATAGAAAGACCAAAACAAACTAATGAGAAATACACAATCGTAAGAGGTACGGTTTCACCGAATTTAAAAACCTTTAGCCGACAAAAGTTGGTATTGATCATGTAAAATCATTTATGTAACATATGCATAGTGTTTAAAAAGAATAAATAAATATATAAACATAAAATAAATATAATAATTATGATATATATAACAAATAGTTTTTATAATACACATAACCCGCGTATCGCGCGGCCAAGCCCTAGTCTTATATATAATTAGGGAGTTGCTCTCTCCATCTAGAGTGTCCACATCAGCACAAAAACATTAAATTGTATTTATTTTTTAAATATATGACTATTCATATTTCTTTACATTTATTCATATTTAATAAAAATATACAAATAAATTAATTAATTAATAGAAAGTATGTGATAATTTGATGTTAAAAGTTATCAAAAAGTTGGAATATAAAATAGAGATGGAGTAAAGAAATATTTAACTTCAAATAGTATATATTTACCTTTTTATTCAAAGGATTATCCTATTTAAAAATGTTATAATGTGTTTACAAGTTAAAAAGTTGAATATAAATTAATTAAGATAATAGAAAGCTAATGAAAAATTAGAGTTAGAGTTTGTTTTTCTAAACAAATAGAAATGAGTTTTATATGTAAATTTAATTGTAGTGAAAAACAAGAATATGTTTACAAATTTTAACCTTCAGTCAAATGCATATACATATTTATAAATTTTAACCTTCAATCAAATACATATACATGTTTACAGTCTAATAGAAGTAAAAAAAAAGTAAACAAACATAATATTTATAACATGATAAAATTTTAGAAATAGAAAACTCGAGATAAAGCGGGGTGTTAATATCCTAATAAATTAAAATAAAAAACAAATTATTCATATTTTTTAGTGTTAGTGGTTGAGTTAACTCAAAACATAACAAAAACATGAAAGTTAACACAAAACCATCATAATTCAAATCAACGAGTATAAATAAAATTAAACAGAAAAACTATCGCAAACAACCCCGCTTGCGCGGGGCTTCAAACCTAGTTGATGTAAATGTTCATTCATACTTGTTCAGATAGACCAGGAAACTAACGTCTGGCTAAGACAAAAAAATATTAAGCCTAGCAAAAAAAATTGGAGGTCATTATAACACAAATGTTTGCCGATTAATTACTTAATTCAAAGACCTTCACTTGATTTTACTTAATTCAAAGACCTTGACTTGTCTTACCATATACTATTCAAAGTAACGATAGCGATGACTCACTCAACGCATGTCACATGACTTTTCAGTGTGTTCATCACCAGTGAGACTTCGACTTATCCACATATAAAACACAATTATTTATTGTTGAATTTATATATAACCGTGGGGATTGAGCTCACAATCACACCTTCTGTTTTGGAGTTTATTTTAGTATTATCTTATTTGCAATGGAGGGGAAGTTTTTCTTAGAAAAACATTTGATATGGGTGATATTATTGTTGGGGCAGCTACATGGATACAAAAGCTGTATTCAGAAAGAAAGGAACGCTTTGTTCGAGCTCAAGCAATTCATAATCTCAAACAGTGAAGTATCGAATAATGCCTCTTTTCCCACAACAACCCATGTTCTCCCTACTTGGACTAATGGAACAACTGGCGATTGCTGCCGATTGAAGGAAATTAAGTGCAACCGTACAACCGGACGGGTGACTGGGATTGTCCTTGAAAATTTGTACTTCAAACAGAGCTCTCTCCTAAATCTTTCTTTGCTGCATCCCTTTGAAGAGGTTCGAAGATTGAAAATTTCAGCGCAAGGGGTAGGCTTGGCAGGCTTGTTCGATGATGTTGAAGGTATTTACCAGGTTTTTTCTTGTTGTTAGGTTAATCATCTTGTGTTTGCATTGGAGTTGTCATATATTTTTCCTGTTTTAGGGGTTTTAACACCAAGTTCACTTTCCCTGAAAATTTAATGAGTTTTAATGTGGTCTTCTATCGAATCAGTATGATTTTAGTTACAATTATCTATTAAAAGATAAAAGATCAATATCCCTTGAAGCATCTGTTTTGAAAATCTATGAAAAGAGAGTATGAAGGGAAGAAGGAAAATGTTACTGAATAAAACCATCGAACCATTTAGTTGACAATATCATGAGCCCATCTTTTGTTATACCTTCTATCTATTCTAACAACCTAATTTTTTATTTACAGTAATCTATCTCTGACATTTTGCTTTTTATCACTATATATATACGATTCAGTGAAACATTGTTTATTTTATAATTAAAACCATATTACATACATAAAGGACATTAAGATAAACCTAAATAGGTGGCCTAACAATAATATAGGCTTTCTATAAACCTAAACCACATTTATAAGTCATTAAACTTTCCCTATTAATTTCGATTTTTTCAATGACATAAATTTGCTAATGAAATTTTAGAGTTACTAATTTCTAATTATGCAGAAGGAGAAATTTATACCATGAATAAAACAAATACTTTCTTTACGTTGTGTTTTTAATCTGTAATTGTGAATTCTATGTGAAAGCAACGAATATGGCAATTTAAAGTTAAAACCTTAAAGTAAAATTTAGATTAAATTTTAAACATAAAGGAGCTACAAATATTGGATTATGAAAAAATAATAAAAAAATATGATAAGATAATAACAATAATAACCAAAATTTTTATAAATAATCATAATCCGCAACGCTTGGGCTCTCCCCTAATTTATATATATAAAGTACAATTTGCTTTTCTCTCGACATGCCACATCAGTAAACTCCCATCCTTAAAATATGCGACACATCAGCGTGCTTTTCCAAGTCCCTTTCTAAACTTTTGATTTATCCTTTAATCATAATAACTATTATTTATTAAATCAAAATATTCAAATAGAATTTAAAAAGTCATTTTGTATAAGAAAATAGTTTATATATTAATCTTTTTAATTTAATAATTTTAGTTTTATCAAATTGATTTAAATATTTTAATAAAAATAATGAAATAAGAAGAAAATAAACGCGATGAAATGGGATAGGAATGAATGGGACGAGGCGGAATAAGACGAGAAGAAACCAAACGAGATATAACGGAAAGGAAATGAATAAGACAAAGCAGAACGGGATGGGAATGAATGGGACAAGGTGGAACGAGATGAGAAGAAACAGAACGATGCATAACGGAGAGAAAATGAATAGGACGAGGCAAAAAGGGATGGGAATGAATGAGATGAGGCGGAACGAGACTGGAAGAAACAGAACGACACAAAATGGAAAGGAAATGAACAAGGTGATGAAAATGGGATAGGGCGGAACGAGACAGAAAGAAACAGGACGCAATGGAACAAGATCAATATTATGCCCAACCCTAATTTTATTTAACAAAGCGAGACAAGAATTATGCATATCTTTTCTATTTAATTATTATGTTTATGCAAATATGATTCTATGGTTTTTTATGTATTTTTAAGTATTATGGTTTACTATCTAAGTGACGAGATTTTTTGTAAGTATTTTAGGATGAAATGAGACTAAACCAAACAAGACGAGACAAAAAAATAGAACGGAAAAAGAGGGGAATTTGACTACTTCTTTTTATATTAAGTGACGAGACGGGATGTAAAAGAATGGAAGGGGATGAAATGAGACAGGACAATTATATTTAGAGATTAGATGGAAAAAAACAAAAAGAACATAATGAGACAAGATAAGACAAAAAAAAAAAAAAAAAAAAAAGATAATGAAATAGGATGAAACTGGATGGGACGAGATTAGGGACGGGATGACAATGGACATAATGAGACGAAATGAAAAGAGATAGAATGGGACTTGAATTTCACCTACCCCTAATTATATTTAGGAAATGGACAAGACAAGACAAAACGGAGAAGAACATAATAGGATATGAGACTGGACGGGGCGAACAGGACAAACGTGACGGGAAAGAACGGGACAAGATGAAAAGGAACGGAAAGGAACTGGACGAGAATTTTGCCTACCCTTAATCATGTTTGGGGATGAGAAGGGAAGAATCGGAAGTAACAGGATAGGGCATGATAAAACAAAAAGGAACATAATGGGATAGGATGAGATTAGACATGACATGACATACAGGACAAACGGGAGGGAAAGAACGGACATGATGAAAAGAAACGAAATGGGATAGCACATGGTCTCTACAAAATTGACACATCAGCACATTTTATTTGAGTTCTTATATTTTAGTTCTCATAATAATGATCATTCATTACTATAATAGGATTAACAACAACGCAAAAAGTCATTTAAAAAAAAAGGAATGCTTATTTATAGATCTACAAAAACTATTATTTAGTAATTTTAGTTTTGTCAGATTGTATAATTTACTTTCAAATAAATATAATAGCTAATGTCAAGATATTATAGAAATGACACTATTTTAAAAAGAAATATTTTTGGATGAAATAAGACGAGACTTGTGGGGATAGTCTGGGTTCGAGTCCCGGCCACAACGGATTTAACATCCCTTCCGTTGGGGCGCTGGACCCCACTTGTGGGGATAGTCGGGAATGTGGCTGCCCGGATACCAGAGTTATAAAAAAAAATAAGACGAGACCGGATAGGATGGGACGGAAAAAAAAAAAAAAAAAAAAAAAAAAAAAACAGAACGAGACAGTGGATAATTCTTCCTATCTTTATATTATTAAGCGAGAGAAGTACATTCTAATGTTTGGATACATGAATAATAACATCAAAAAACAAACCGATGATGGTTCAGAAAACAAAATACCAACATGAATTGCTTGGGTAATAGATCTGCACAATAACTTAAAACAAACTGGAAGATGGTTTAGTCAAACCAGAAACCGAATATGTTAATTGATCGGTTCACATACTCCTTCATAGGTTTATGGGTGATCGGTTTGGGTTTGGATAGGTACCAATCGATCCAGGTCTATTGGGTAGTTGGTGTTTGTACCCGAATAGTACCGAACGGATTTCGGTTCAGTATCGGGTTCGGTTATGTTCGTGCTCTAATCGAAAACTGAATAATCTACAATACCAATTTGGTTACTTGATCGGCTTGGATACCAGAACAAAATTAAACTAAAAATAAATAAAAAACATAAACTCTGCGCTACCGCTGCGCCGGTCGGCTACTAGTCTCTTATTATATTAAGTGACAAGACGGGATATAAATGAACGGAAGGGGGCGGGATGGGACAGGATGGGAAAAAACAAAAGAAACATGATGAGACAGGAAGAAACATAATGGGATAGGATGTGACTAGATGGGACAAGGCGGGTAAGAACAGAACGAGATGAAAATGAATGAAATGGGACGGATGGGACGGGACGACCCCTAATTATATTTAGGAACGTAACGGGAATAAACAAAAGAAACAAGATGAGACTGGACGTGACGGCACGGGACTGGGAAAGAACGGGACATGAAATTTGCCTACCCCTAATTATATTTAGGGATTGGATAGGAAAGGACAAGACGGGAAGGAAAATAATGGGATAGGATGGGACTGGACGTGACGAAACGGGACTGGACGGACAGGAAGGAACTCTCTTATGGTGCTGCCACGTCAGCAAATTCGAGCTCTAGAAAATTGACACATCAGCGCAGTCGATTGATTTATTATTTTTTCTCTTCTTCTATTTTATTTCTCATAATAATTATCATTCATTACTATAATGGCTCAACAAGAATATGAAAAGTCACTTAAAAAAGGGAAAAAACTTATGTATACATCTATAAAAATTATTATTTATAAATTTTAGTTTTGTTAGATTATATAGTTTAGCTTCAAATAAATTTATCAGCTATACTGATTTTTGAAAGTATTTTGGGATGAAATGAGAGGAGACCAGGGACGATAAAAAACAAAACCGGACAAGAGGGGAATTTTGCCTACCTCTTAGTATATTAAGTGACGAGACAAAATATAAAGGAACGCGATGAGACGGGATGGGAATGTCGCCTACTCCTAATTATATTTAGGGTCGGAACTGGAAAAAGTGAAAGGAACATGATGAGACAAGAATGAGCAGAATGAGATAGGATGGGACGGGACAAGACGGATGAAAAGGAACAAAATGGGATAGATGGGATGAGACGTGAATTTTGCCTGCCTCTAATTATATATGGACAGGACGGGACGGGAAGAAATGGAAGGAACAAGATGGCACAGAAGAAGATAGGAAAGAACAAAATGGATAGGATGGCACTTGATGTGAAGGAACAAAAAGGAACAGTTAGGGACGGGATGGGAAGAAATGAAAGTAACAGAATGTGACACGTCAAGACGAGATGAAACATAATAGAATAGTATGGGATTTGATGTGACTAAACGGGACAGGACAGACAGGACGGATAAGATGGAAAAGAACAGGACAAGATGAAAAGAAACCTAATGGGACGGGATGGGACAAGACGATATGAGAATTTTTCCTAGCCCTAATTATATTTAATTAATATGTGTATGAAATTTCGCAACACAAAATTTAAGATACTCAAATTTTCTTCTAACCAAATTAGTATTAACAACGTAAAACTTCGTGCGAAGCACCGGTTATCCCTTAGTTATATATAAGATAGTTAAATTCATGAAAGTTTATGTCTTTTTAATAATTATGGTGCTTGAGTTTTCTCTGTTTTCACACTTGACTTGCTCATCTCAGTGTACCATGTTGTGTATTACAGTCACATGTTGCAGGCCCATGCCATGTTGTGTGTTAACAGGTCCGGCTCTGGCCGTGTGATGGCAGTGCAAAAGCAGTAATGTAAAGTCCCACATCGGTAGTTGGAGAAATTATGAAGTAATATATAATAAAGTGTTAGGGCCTCTCCATTGTCAATTGGTTTTAGGTTAGATACCCAACTTAAACCCTAATTTGATATTGTATCGAGCTAGGTTGCGATGAGTGGTTTCATCCAAAGTATAAAAAGAATGTTGCATTATTTTCTTGGCATTGAGGTTGCCCGGAATGAGTCTGGTTTCTTTGTGTGTCAGAGGAAGTATGCTCTACATATTATAGCTAAGACAGGTCTCCTTGGTGCAAAGCCGGCTTCAACACCTATTGAGCTTAATCATAAGCTAGCTACTGCAACTGGCCCTCTTGCCAATGTTAAGCAATATCGACGTTACGTTGGGCGTCTCGTTAATACACGTCCAGAGCTTAGTTATACAGTTTATATCCTCACTCAGTTTATATAAAATCAGTTGCAATCTCATCTTGATGCATCTTGATGCTGCATTGAGAGCTTTTTGTGATCTTAAAGGCTATCTGGGACAAGGTGTTTTCTTGCGATCTCAAAGTGATCTCACCATTATTGCGTTTTGTGATTCCGATTGGGCAGCTTGTCCTCTTACTTTTCACTCTCTTAGTGTCTATGTTGTCTTTCTTAGACGTTCACCGTGTCTTGGAAGACAAAGAAGCAGCAAATTCCGCCGAAGCAGAGTATCGGTCGGATGGCGTTTACTTTGAAGGAACTGAAGTGGCTCAAAGAACTGTTTCTCTCATTTGGTGTGCCTCATTCTCTTCCAATGTGACTATTCTGTTACAGCAAGTCGGCCATACACATTGCTGCAAATCCAATTTTCTATGAGCGTACCAAACATATTGAAAATGATTGTCATGTGTACGTGAAGCGGTGGAAGAAAAGCTCATTGCAACAGAACATGTTACAACAAAGACTCAACTAGCGGACATACTTACAAAGGCGTTGCCAAAACCTCAATTTGAAGAACTTTTGTCCAAATTGGGGATTCGCAATCTCTCTTCTCCTACTTGATGGGGTATTGTGATAAGGACTATATTATTTAGATATACATTACATTGTTTAGATTTACATGGCTTTACCTTGTTCTACTCTTATTATGATTTATCTTTTTCTATAGTCTTGTATAAATAACTTCTCTTGTTATTCAATAAGATCAACATTTTTCTACTATTTCAAAAGTTTCTCGTAATTTGTAAGGTACAGAAGCCTACGGAAACTAAGAAAACTCGAGATTCTGGATCTCTCTGGAAATTCGTTCAACAACAGCATCTTTCCATATCTTAATGCTGCTACATCACTTACAACTCTTTTCCTTCGGGGAAACGACTTGGATGGCCCTTTTCCTGCTAAAGGTATATTTGTTTTTCTATTTATAAATGGAAAGTTGGAAACACATATGTCTCTCTACGTTAATTTATAATAATAACTATTGTAATGTAATAACATTTAATTCTTATTCTTATATATACAAATATATGTTGAAATTTTTTTCAGAACTTGAAGATTTCACAAACTTGGAACTGTTGGACCTAAGTAGAAACAGATTTCTTGGGTCCATACGTGTACAAGGTAGCTCAGAAATTTTAGTTGATTCAATGGCTGCATTACCCCTTCTTCTAATCGTTTCGTGCAATCTTTGAAATCATGATTACGTTTATGCTTAGCCAAGTTCCTCGTTTACAGGTTATAGAAGCTTAGGGAGATTAAGAAACCTCAAGATTCTAGATCTCTCTGAAAATTCGTTCAGTAACAGCATCCTTCCATTTCTTAATGCTGCTACATCACTTACATCTCTTTTCCTTCGGGGAAACAACTTGGATGGCTCTTTTCCTGTTAAAGGTAAGTTTTCTTTATTTGATTTACAACTCAGTGAAAACATATATGGCCCTATTACTCATGATGTCTCTGTACGTTAGTTCGATTCAGTAATTATAATTATTTTTGCAACTTTTAGGTCTTATATTTGTTGGATATCCTTTTCAGAACTTGCTGATTTGACAAACTTGGAACTGCTAGACCTGAGTAGTAACAAATATAATGGCTCCATAACATTACAAGGTAAATTATAGTTGATTCAATGGCTACATAACCCATTTTTTAAATTGGTTCGTCCAATCTTTGAAATCAAGATGTTCATGTAATAACAAATATAATGGCCTATCTTTGTTGTTGTTTGTCTTGTGGCAGATTCATCTGCTATGAGTAAGCTGAAAGCCCTGGATCTAAGTAGTAATGAATTTTCTAGCTCAATGGAACTGCAAGGCAAGTCTAAACATATCACTAAAAAGGTTTAAACTGGTGGCGAATTAACATTTAATCATGTGTATAAAATTTTCGCGTTTTGATTATCGTAGGGATTTGTGAAATGAAGAATATGCAAGAACTTGATCTCAGTCGAAACAATCTAGTAGGTCAGTTTCCATTATGCTTAACTAGCTTGAGTGGACTTAGAGTTCTTGATCTCTCATCAAACCAATTGACTGAGAATGTGCCATCTGCTCTCGGTAAACTTGAATCACTCAAGTACTTATCTTTGTCTGATAACAACTTTGAAGGCTTCTTCTCACTTGCTTCGCTTGCCAACCTCTCAGAGCTTAGGGTTTTGAAACTTAGTTCCAACTCCAAATCGCTTCAAGTAGTGTCTGGAAGTTCTTGGAAGCCAAAATTTCAACTGAGTGTTATTGAACTACCATCATGCAACTTGGTAAAGGTTCCCTATTTTCTCCAATATGAGAACGATTTAAGTCACATCGATCTTTCTGGGAATAATATTTTTGGAATTTTTCCTCATTGGCTATTGGCAAACAATACAAAACTCGAAGTGTTGCTGCTACAGAATAATTCATTTACGAGCTTTCAGCTACCAAAATCTGCTCATAAGCTGCTTTTCCTGGATGTGTCAGCTAATGAAATAGATCATCTCTTACCAGAGGACATTGGGTGGATACTTCCATTTCTACGGTATATGAAGCTCGCTTATAATGATTTTCGAGGAAATCTGCCATCTTCTTTGGGTAACATGAAGGGGATTACATATTTGGATATATCTCACAACAGCTTCCATGGAATTATACCAAGAAGTTTTATAATGGGTTGTTATTCTATGGAGTTCTTGATGCTGTCACATAACAAATTAAGTGGAGAGGTGTTTCCTGAATCAGCAAATTTTACCGGTATATCAGACCTGTATATGGATAACAATCAGTTTACAGGAAAGATTGGAAAAGGTTTGCGAAGCTTGAGATCATTGCTATTTCTTGACATTTCAAACAACAGCCTCACGGGCTTCATTCCAAGCTGGATTGGGGAACTATCTATAAGCATGCTATTGATGGCAAACAACTTGTTAGAAGGTGAGATACCCATTTCGTTGTTCAACATTCAGCTACTGGACCTCTCTGCAAACAGTTTATATGGGGCTATACCTCCACTTGTCAATGTCAATTCTGGGTATTCGGAAGGATTATTGGTTGCATTATTCCTTCAAGACAATAAGTTATCAGGGGTTATTCCAGAGACATTGCTAAGGAATGTCTATGTACTTGATCTGAGAAATAACCGATTGTCCGGAAACATACCGGAATTCTCCAACAACGAATACACCCATACTCTTCTCCTTCGAGGGAATAATTTAACAGGCAGTATTCCTAGCCAGTTGTGTGGCCTAAGAAACATCCAACTTCTTGATCTTTCAAACAACAGATTAAGTGGATCTATACCTTCATGCCTCTTCAATACATCATTTGGTTTGATGAAAGAGGATATAGGGATTGATTTTGATTACAGCCATGGTATTTTGTTTGGTGGTTTATCTTTGCCAAAAGACTTCACTGTAAGCGATCAGTCTAATGGTTTATTATGCAATACATCTCAAAAACCCTGATTCAAATTGAATTTGCAACAAAACACCGATACGATGCGTACGCGGGTGGAATTCTGCAGTTGTTGTTCGGGATAGATCTCTCAGAAAATGAGCTGTGGTGATATTCCATCAGAGCTTGGAGGTCTTTTGGAGCTACAAGGTCTCAATCTTTCTCACAATAAGTTATCAGGAGTGATACCAGAAAGCTTTTCACGTCTGAAGAATGTGGAAAGCCTTGATCTTTCTTTCAACAGATTACAAGGTCGGATCCCACCTGGGCTAACAAATCTGAGCAGCCTCGCTGTCTTCAATGTCTCATACAACAATTTATCAGGAATCATTCCACAGGGAAAGCAGTTTAACACATTCGACACGCAAAGCTACTTTAGGTAATCCTCTTCTCTGTGGACAACAAATCAACAGAAGCTGCGGCAGCAGTAACTTTCAAGAACCAGATAATGAAGTGAAGGACGATGAGAGCCAAATCGACATGGTATCTTTCTACTGGAGTTTTGCTGCAGCTTATGTGACTATACTTCTTGGACTGTTCGCATCTCTCGCTTTCGATTCTCCTTGGAGCAGGTTTTGGTTCTACCTCGTTGATGCTTTCATCCAAAAGGCGAGGAGTTTGTTGTGGTGAAACGAACGTTGTTGCCAAATCCATTAGTGTGCCCCATCTTTTGCTCTTGTTCTCCTTCTCAAAACCTTCTGCTTTGTTTCAAATAATGTTTGTTTAATTCGTCTGTATTGTCCATGTGTTTGAATAAATGTAATGCCCAGACATATCTTAAGATATCTTAAGAACCTTGCTTTCTTCTTTGTGTGATAGAACAACTACTGCATGTTTGATATGAAACTAATATAGGAAATCTATTGTTCAACTCTGAGTAATGGAGCATGCATCTACTGATTCAGTTCTCTTGTACAATTCTTCAGTCAATCTTTAGCAAAAGAGCGTGACAATCTTCTAGATGTAAGACCAAAGATATCCAAGACACAAAAAATTTATAGGTTGGTTATAGCTAGCTGTATAACATGGATAATAACTCGAAAACTGCAGCTGAGACGCAAGTTGAAAAACTTGTTCAGATCAACTGAAGATTCATGTCTAACTAAGGCAAAACCTTCAGGTTCACATTATCTAACAGACCCTATACCGAAAAACTCAACACAAAACATATCATCCAGCAGAAAAACTGCAGTCTCAACGTTATTTCACACCGTCATGTCAAAAGTAAGCTAACTGAGAGAAAACAGGACATAGTGCAATCCCAATAAAAGAAAGCCTCCTGCTATGTTCTTTAGAGTTTGTGAATTCTCTGGAGTTAACACTCCGTGCATGGATGCATGACACAGTGTGCATTCAGGCTCCGAGTCTAGCTCTGGAGAACTCACAAGCTTTTAAGAACACATCAGGACTGATTGAAACATATCTCGTCTATCTAGAATTCTCATTAATCCAGTACTTGATCTTTCTCTGATCGCAAACTTGTGATCTGTTTATCTTAAATACCAACAAAAAATGAAATATCCTAGAAACAACTTGCAAAACCAATAACTTCGCCAATATTGATGGATACTCAATATCATAGTGTGGATTGTATCAGCGATTATTGTGATTTCAGAAGGATCTGATTTCAAATCCTTTTTATCTTGACCAACGACAAAGGATCTCCACTTCACGATTCACCAAAACATATCAAAGATTAACAAACAAGTGGGAAAAAAAAAAAAAAAAAAAAAAAACAGAAAGAAACCCAGTGATTCTACACTCCTCATATCCTACAGTGATGGTCTAAACAACTAAAAAATTAGCCACTATGGAAGATAATCATCTTAAAGATGTGAAAAATAGTTATACTTCAAGGACTGATTGGATGCATTCACCTGCCTTGTAATTTGGACACTTAGGCAACACTTTACTTGTCAGAGTTAGTAAAGCCCACAGAATTACAAAATTAGTCAACAACAACAAAATCAGGTACTAACTCTAAAACAGAGCTATAACTTCTGAAAGCCACAGAGTTCTGTTACGTGTAGCTTATAGAAAGTGAAGATAACTCTTAATATTGATTATAGAAAATGAATTACAGAACTTGAGAGAAGTTAATGGCGTCTCTCATCACCCCTTAAGAGATATTAATGGAGTCTCTCACCTCCCCTGTGATCACTCAATCTCGTGATAAAAATCTCTCTCATACCTTAGAGCTAATATATAGATGAGACTAAGAGATAACCTAAACCCAACTGTGGTTACCATGAGAGTAACCTCAATTAACTCTAGTTACTTTGCAAAACTTGGTAAATAAACGTCACCGTTTAACCACTGCTCCTAACAAGTTCGTAAGAGAACGTGAAGACTAAAAGCATATACTATAATAGGAAATGTACAATCTTTAGCAAAACCTTCTAAAACCATCCCATTAGAATGCATATATGTAAACGGAGTTGTTCATTTAGATTTCAGGGGAGTAATAATGCACACAAGAGTCTTCTTTATGTTTACTTTTGTTCAAACAGGGAGCGTTAATCCTCAGCAAAAGACTCTTATATTATTAGGCAGTGGTGAAAAACGTAATGCATCTCTAAGGCAAAACTTTCTCTAAAACAAAAGAATTGTCAAAATTTCATGTATCTGATAGTCAACAACCTAGCTCTGATTGTTTGAAGGCAGGGCACTTACTTTCGTATCAAAATACCGTATTGATTCCATAAACACTCTAATATAGTAAAAATGAATAAACCATGTCTTGGTAATGTTACCAGTTCATACCAATGCAATCAGCAAATTCAACCAATAGAAAAGCATCCTCAAATGAAACGCAAAGCTCTTGTTAGTCTTGATTCATAGACTCATAGTGTATCAAGGCATTAACTTAGCATTGCAAACACATTCAACTATCCCAATTGAAACGCAAATTGATATACCTGTTCAAACTTGCTCAGATCAACCGGCAAGGCTAAGGCAAAACATTCAAATGCACTTGCTGTGCCACAAACTTATCTTGCAGATCCTAAACAGAACAACTAACCACATAAAAGAATATCATCCAACACAATTACTGCATTCTCAATCTGATTTCACAGGGTAATATTGAAAATCTAAGGTAACGAAGAGAGAGGACAAGAGACACAGTGCAGTCGCTGAGGTACCTTTTCAATAAGAAAATCATAAGTTTTTAAAAATCAAAAGACTAAATTCTATGGAGCTAACACTCCGTGCTTGGATACATGACTCTGTGTGCATTCAGGCTCGGAGTCTAGCTCCAGCGAACAAACAAGCTTTTAGAAACACATCAGGAGTGACTGAAACATATCTCATCCATCTAGAAATCTCATCCATGATGTTACCTTAGAGATAGAACTACGTTAAGTAAATTCAGTACCTAAAGAAGGAAAGAACTTTTGTTTTGAAGTCAGATACTAAATCCAATACAGAACTATAACTCGTGAAAGCCACACACACTCCGTATAAGAACTTAGCACATGCAATTTTTAGCAAAATCTTCTAAATGGAACACAATCCCAATACATAAACGTAAATACAGTTGTCTAAATTCTTCACTAAAGCTAGAACAGCATAATGAACACAAGGTTCTTCTTTTTGTTTTAAATTTTGCTCCAATCTACAAGGAGAGTCAACCCTCAGCCAAAGACTTAAATTACTTTCTCGCATCAAAATAACAAATTGAATTCAAAAACAGTCTAATATAGTAATAATGTAATCACCAAATCCAAACCAATAGATCAAGCATCCTTCAAATAAAAGGCAAAGGTAACTCAACTAGATCTTCTTAGCCTTGAAGATTCATAATGTATCTTCCAGCTTTTAAGTAGTCTAAAGACATTCTACAAACTTCATCCATCAAAGAAGTAGTTTTAGTGAGACTACTAACACATGGCCATCCTATAAGTTAGACTATCTTCATCAGGAACAAAAGTAACATTATGAATCACAAACTCGTCAAGAAATAGTGGTGGTGGTTTCCAAAGATTACACCTTTGGAGACAAATACGACCCATACCATCACAAAGACAAGAGATCTAAAACTTCCAAAACAAATCAAACAGAGAAAGTTGCATAGATTTGTACAAAGTAAAAAACTTCCATCGATACAAGTAGCAAATTTCACATTTAGTTGAATGTAAAATCCCTTTTCAGGTCTCTTCTGCTTTATCCGAGAAATACAAAGAACATATCCGAAGAACATCTCAAAGTAGAAAAGAGAAGCAAAACATTTCTTCATTCTCCTTTTTTATCCATCCCTAACTATATTCCTATAATCGTATCAACATTATTTCCTTCCTTATTCCTATTGCAAATGTGTTCCCATTACCCAGAAAGAGAAAATTTACGATATTTATAAGGTATCATCAAATCTGTACAAGCCGCTAATTATTATTACGATATTACCCTTTTTCGACCTTCGTCCATGCCAGATCTCAGCGAGTGAGAAGCATCATCCTCCTCTCTTGCTCGGTGAGTGAGTGACGGAAATGGCAGCGGTGGCCGTAAGGACACGTGGCTCCGTTGACGATCATTCTGCAGACCTCGGTTTTGTAGCGTGGGTGTCTAATCACCGGACGGAGCTCGTCGATTCCGTGAGCGAATTGGCAGTTATCGCCGTAAGGACAGTCTCCGGTCTCTTGCCATTTGTTGCAGAGCTCCGTCTTCGTCATCCCTTGACGGTAAACCTCAAGCTCCAACGCATCTTTCTCTCCTTTTGTTGGCACACACACCTTCTGCGACACCTTCACAGATCGGAAAATGAGAAGAAAGTGAGCAAAAACGCTGATTTCATTTTCAATTTCACAATTTGGCAGAATTTCAATTTTGGCGAGATATTTTTTTTTATTACTTTCTGTAAATTAATTAAAATAAAATAAAACGTTAATTATTACCGATTCGGAGCCGAGTTGACTCGGGAAGCTGAGCTGACTCGCTTGACGATCCGAACCGCCGCATCCATGGCTTCCCTGGTTCTTCATCTGGAGATATCCCGGCGAGCGAACGGAGATGCTCTTAGGCAACGAATTCCTCTCCGGATTGTTCCTCCTCGTCGAACGGAAATGCTTATCAGCGCCGCCGAAATCCGAGATCTGTTGGCGGTATTGGCGGTTATGAACAGCCGGTGGAGAGACGGAGGAAGAGGAGGACGAAGTGGAGATGTGGATAAGCTTGAGGAGATCGACGTTTTCGTTGCGAAGAGCGTCGTTTTCGTGGCGAAGCGAGTCGAGCTCCGTCATCAGGGATTGGAGTCGACGGAGGCAGAGCTCGTAATGCTCGTTGAGCTCGTCGTACTCGAGGATGAGCCGCGCTTGGTGGAGGCGGTGCTCTGTGGTGGTGTCGACGCGATTCGCGGGAGAGGAGGAGGACGGAGGAGAAGGAGAGAGGGATAACGAGCTCGGAAACTGAGATTCCGGCGAGAAGATCGAGTTGTAAAGCGACGCGAAGCTTGCGGCGAACTCCTCCTGGTGTTTGTTGGCGCTCTTGTCAGATTGCGGTGATATCGGAGGCGGCGACGAGTTTATCGCCGTCACACATGCCAGATCCGTTACCGTAGACGCGTCTTTCTCCATTTTCGATCGTCGAAAAGCTTCCTGAAGAAAAATTATTCAGAAAAACCGCTAAAATCAAATCGAAAGAGATGATAACACCGAAGCAATTTTCCGATCAAAACTAGTAGATCGATGAAATTAACAGCTCTGTAAACTCGATTGCAGAGGATAATCTGCGATTGAAACAGAGATACATATCGTAATGCGTACATCAACAATATTGAATCCGAAAGAAATCTCCAGCATTAGGCTCTGTTTTGATCGGAGAAGAAAAAAACAGAACGAACAAAACCTAGAGAGAAGGAGGAAGCGAGAGAGAGAGAGAGTACCTGAATATCGCTTTGCTTTGGAGAAGGAGAGAGAAAGAGCGGTGAAAGAAAGATGAACAATGGCTACGTAAATGTGTATATATACTGTTAAACAGATAACGAGAGTGGTGAGGATTGAGGAAGAAGAAGAGTAAAAAATCTTGTGCGGTGAAGACCACGAGAAGCTTGTTCCGACTCAATCTAGACCGTACAATGAGAAGATCTAAGGATCTGGCTGATACGTGGATTTATTTAATTGGCTTAGCTAAATGCTTCCCTATGGTTAAGTAAAGCACAGAACTTCGCTTTCCCGCCTACTTCAAAACCGTTAGAGATGTCTAACAGAATATTAATTCTCTTTTTTTTTTTAATTAAGAGAAAAACGTAGGTAACGTCAACAGCAAAATTTGTTTTTGATAATTCGCATACAGAGACAGTGAGAAAAATTATTTAATATATTCGGTTTGGTGTATAGTTTTTTAACGTAAGATTGTCACTAAGTTCACCATCAAATGTTCATCCACCACTTGTATCAATCTATAGTTAGTCAATAACATGGATTAATAGCACACAGTGATAATAACGCAGTAGTAGTTCCGATATTTGGATCATTATCAATGAACTATCTTTTTTTCTTTTTCCAAATCGATGAACTATCTTAACCATGAAAATTTGCTCTATATAGGAGTGGGAAAAATCATAATTAGGAAAATGGTAATGGGAGGTTTTGCCATGCTAAGCAAAATAGGTTAAAAAACAAAAAAAAAACATTTCAATTGTTTTATTCATCATGTCATTTAACTATAACGAGATGAATTGGTAGATTTCATAACATTTACGTTATCAAAAAATATATATATTCATAACATATGGGTGATATACTGATATCTAATGTGTTCAATAAATTTATATTTGTAGATGAATATGGGTGATCTATTATCTTGGGGGTCAATGATATTTATAGGATTATTAAACGAATGTGTTTTAACGATAATATACACCCTACATTTTAGTCCAAACGTTCATCGATATCATTTTCTCATTAGTAGTAACTTATGGAATTGTCATACCCATTGGCCATTGACAACAAAAATTGGCATACACTTAACTACATTAGTATTAAGGGGATTATTAATCTTCTCATTTACAAACTTTTTCCTTAAAAAGTGTAAGTAATGTATTCCAGTGAGCTACTAAAGATATCAACATCAAACTAAAAAAAATAAAAATTAAGTTTATCATGAAAATTTAGATGGAGACAAAAAAAGTTTGTTAAGGGAGAAGTTTTGCTTGTCACTAAAGGATTTTAATTTGTAGAATAAGAAGTATAATACAAACGTGTATGTGTTTGTAGAAGAAAAATATTAGATAATTAGCAATTCATTTTCAAAGTTTGGTTGGACCAATCATGAATAAGAATAGTTAATTCACTGTCTTTGTTTAGTTTCAGGTTGCACACGACCGTAGTAATAAGGTAAGGAATATAAAGTGGGTTTGCTTCAAGAACACAGCTTTAACTAACTATATGGTCCCTCTTCCTTATGTTATATACTTCAATCTAAATCTTTCGTTGTTGCTAACTAACTCGAAGATGTTTCCTTCCTTCAAACCCAACCACCTAAGCGAAATTACCTCCTTACCCTTTTCTAACGAATTTTCTCTGGAACATTTATATAACTGTTTCTGAATCAAATGCTAGATTTTGTCACATAATTATTGAATTGTGTCAATGATAGTGTCAACAAACCTAAATGGTTTAGCCAAAATTGTCCCAGTAATCAAAACCGACTGGGCCTATTAAAATAGTTTTAGGCCCATGACATACGTAGATTACTGTCCACATGTGTATTATACGTAAAAATACATATACATTCTTATCTGGTTTGGGTCACTCATAAATCCACAATCACAAAACCATGAGATCAGATAACCTCTGGACCAGATCACCAGTCGTGAAAACCGGGAAATCGGAGTTTCCGGTTACCAGATTCCTCCGAAGACACTTCGAGAACATGAAGGACAAAACCGGCGGTCCCGGAATCGGCGGCGGCATAGGATGCGGCGCAGGACTCGGCATTGGCCTCGCCGGCGGTCTCGGATTGGTAGCTTCTGAAGGGATTAACCATTCGAATGTGGTGTTTGGCATCGGAGTCGGTTGCGGTGTCGGGTTCGGGTTTGGGTACGGGTTTGGAGTTGGCGGCGGATATAATTTCGATGACATTGGAGATAAATTGACCTATGGGAAAAGCTCCGATTAGAGATTCCGGGTCGGGTAAATGATTTTTAATGGAGTATTAAAAACATCTCTGTTAATTATTCATTTTTAATCACAATGCTCTTCCTTTTTGCCTTTTATTTTCTTACATTGCTCAACGTAATATCACAATTATGAAGGATAAACATAAAAATAATTGTTGACAAAAAAAAAAAAAAAAAAAAAAAAAAAAAACATAAAAATAATTACGACTATTACATAAACTTTTATCAAATTCAAATCGAAGATACCAATTTTTCGAAGCTCTCTAAGACACTTCTCATGAACGGTCTTTTGTCTGGGATCTTGTGCACACAAGCTAAACCGATTTTAATCACTTGAACCATACTCTCCTCCATATCTCTATCTCGAACTAAAACCGGATCAAGAACATACCAAACTGGTTTATTCCTCTCACACGCCGATGCAATCCACATAACCAAATCCGTCTCCGAACTATTCGTCTGCAAAACCGGAGATTTCCCGGTTACCATTTCGAGTACCACTAAACCGAATGAATACACGTCCCATTTCTGCGACGGTTTACTCATCTTGGAAGCTTCAGGAGCTTGGTAATACGATTCTCTTGAGACGATTGGTGAACTTGTTTCCACCATCGGAGAGATCTGATCCGATCTGATCTCTGAAGAAGACATGTCGACAATGCGGCCTAAACCGAAACCGGAAATTTTCGGTTCAAGATTCGGTCCAAGAAGTATGTTGCTTGAGTTTATATGTCCATGGACGTATCTTTTGGGACTAAACTCGTGAATATAAGCCAATCCTTTCGCGATTCCTCTCAATATCTTTAACCGGACCGGCCATGTTAGTTGCTTGCAGGACAAGCTACCCGGTCTTCCTGTAATTACAGCTTGTATGAATCAGACTTTTAACATTCAAAAAATTTACGTGATATGATTCTAAAAAACTGACCTTGAATTGCAGAACCGAGATCTCCATTTGGTATGTAATCGTAGATCAAAAGCTTCTCTTCTTGAGACCAACAACAAGCTTGGAGATTCAAGACGTTAGGGTGTTTGATTTTCGCCATTGCTTCAACATCAGCAAGAAACTCTTTGAGCCTTAACCAACCTTTGTCTTCTAATCTTCTAACGGCTAACATTAAACCGTTTTCAAGAACAACCTTGTAGACAATCCCGATCCTGCTCTTCCCTAGAAGAAAGGCTGAAGCTTTCAGAAGCTGATCTAGGTCGAACTCGATCTCTGGATCCATTGGCATGAACACCTGTTGGGGTTTGTTCTCATCTTGTGCTTCGGAGTCTGAGTTTCCAGTCTTGAAACAGAGAAACTCATGCTTTACCTTCTTCTCTTGATGACATGTTTGATCTTTGTCAGCACGAGATGATGCTTTCCGGAGATAGTAGATGAATAACGAAGCAAGAAAGATGATTCCGGCGAGTGTGCATGCGGTGGCTATAAGGATGATGCAGAAGCTAGAATGATTGCTGGCTTTTCTTGAATATAGTTGAGAAGGAACTATTTGTGTGTTTCTTGTGGAGCAAGAAACCTTTAAGGGTAATCCACAGAGGAAAGGGTTTCCTTGAAAAGCATTTGGACCGGCGTTCAACAGAACGTTGGACTTCGGTATCGGACCGGTGAGATTGTTGTAAGAAAGATCGATGTAGAGAAGCTCCGAGAGATCTCCAAGACTTGTTGGAATCATACCTGAGAAGAGGTTATGAGAAAGATCAAGAGTACCTTTCAGATTCCTTAGACTTCCTACATCTTCAGGGATTGATCCAGTGAAGCCATTGAAAGAAAGATTCAATGTCTGAAGATGAACCAAGTTAGAACCGAACCCGGTTGGAAGATCTTTAGAGAAACCATTGTTGCTTAGAACAAGCGTTTTTAGCTTCTTGCATCGAATAACCGACAAAGGGATTGATCCGTTGAAAGAATTTTCTGAAAGATCCAAAGTTATTAGACTCTTCAACGTCCCTATCTCTTCAGGAACCGACCCGGAAAAAGAGTTTCCAGAAAGCACCAAGCTTTGAAGCCCTTTTGGTGCAAAGAGCTCAACAGGTAACTTCCCTTGAAAGTCATTGTCTCTGAGGTTAACGTGACGAAGGGACAAGAGGGTTCCAATAGAAGGATGAAGAGAACCTGAAAGGCGGTTGTTTGGAAGGCGAATGGAGACAACTCTCAGATCATCATTACATGTAATACCTTGCCAAGAACAAGGGTTTGGATCTGAAGAGTTCCAATTGGTAAAAACAGAGTCTTTAGGGTTTTCTAAGGATTGCTTAAAGGAAAGAAGAGCAAGACCTTGATCGTTTAGAGAAGTAGCAATGGAAATGAAATGGGTTAGAATGAAGCAGAGAATGAGAAATAATTGAGCCATCTCTAAAGAGAAACAATTGAGAAACTCTAAGTTTTGCTCCTAAATATCTCAAAAAGCTTTTAATCAATAGTGTTGCTATTCCATGGACTGGCCTAATTTTCCAAGTCAACAGTTGCAACTTATTTTCAACTCTAAAAATTTACATTTTTTGTTCTCTTGTTGAAGAAACTTACATGTATATACAATTTTCTCTAGAAAAATATTTTCTTAGGTGCATGACTTGGAAATTAGCGGCGATTGAGGCGATAATTGGAACAGTAGGGGGGCACGTAATGTAATGAGGAACAGCTTTCTAGTTTCTAGTTGTGTTAGTGGTGGGGAAAATTGTAGTTGAGTATTGACACTTTGCTTCTAGATCCTAAAGTCAAATCTCCACCAGAAAAAAAATATCGTGACCGTCAATTTTCTGTTGGATTTTTTGGTTACTCCACTTCCTTTAGATTTTATAATATTTATTTAGAGTCTGAAGACTGAAGCTAACAAATAACTCTAAACAAGTATAGATGTTGGCATGTTGCTCAGGTTATGTAAAGTACAGTAGAAACTCTATAAATTAATAATGTCGGGACTTTGATATTTATTAATTTATAGAATTATTAATATTTAGATTTTGACTAAAAAAAAATCAAAAATAATCTTTTAAATTTTCATTCAAATTAAATAAGGACTTTCATTTATATTTATAGTATTTTTTCTTAAAATTCTTTTTTGATGGTTCTATTTACTTTATTGTTTTTTTTACATCAAACACCATTTTATTGAAACCGTGAAACAGAGTAATCCTTATGGGGGCTTTACTTTATTATTTACATTTTTTCATACATGTCATATTGATTTCAATTCATTTTTTCTTTTCATTTCCAAATTTGTTTGGTGTGCGAGAGATTCATATTTTAGTAGCTAGATATCTTAGTTATATATATATATATATATATTTTTATATGATGAATATTAATTTATGATATTATTGGGACCATATTTTACATAGGAGTTTTAAAAACATTATTATCTTATTATTTTATCGAATTATGTCATATTTTACACCGGCCCAACTCGGGACCGGAAGATTTTATTAATTTATCGTGTTTATTAATTTATCGAGTATTAATTTATAGAGTTTCTACTGTAGATATTTCTAAAGTTGTGTAATGTCGATGTTGTTAAAGTTATACGTATCCAGCTGATGACTAAAAACTTTAATATTAAAGCTGCTGGTGGATCGGGGAAGCCGATCATAAAGAAGTTTGTGGTACACGTAACTAATAATAGTCTCAAAATAAGCTTGACCTGGGCTGGGAAAGGGACAACTTCACTTCCTATTAGAGGAGTCTATGGCCCAATGATCTCCGCTATTACAGTGGAACCTAGATGTTGTTATTACATCTTTGATGATGCTAAGGTTATGTAATGTAGAATTTTCTAATGTTATAAAATATAAATGTTGTTAAGGTTATGTAATGTAGAAATTCATAAGATCATGTTGTGTAGATATTCATAAGATTATGTGATGTAAATGTTGCTAAGGAAACATAGAGTAGAAATTGAATCGTGTGAAACACGTAGAAAATAAGAAGAGCCCGAGATAATTCTTAAAGTAGAAAAAAAAAAAAGAAAAAGCAAATGGATATTTGAGAGAGATAAAATAGATCCCAATAAGGATTACAATGTTGATCAACGCAATCAAATCAATAAACAAGACACAAGTACTTTGTATTGATCAACGCAATCAAAGCAATAAACAAGACATAAGTATTTTGGGCAAATTTTCTCTGCCTCTTTTTTGGCTTTTCTGATTTATAAAGGAAACAAATTGGACCATAACCGTTCCTTACAAACGTGGAAACAAAATGCAGAAGTGGGAAAACTAACGCGAGTACTCTGGTCCTAGAACTAAGGAGATTGAGTCCTACTTTGTTATTTGCAGAATTAGAAGAAAGAAATAAAACAATTACCAAACTGATTCATCCATGTATCGCCGCCGGTTTGGTGTCTTCTTGTGAATTGGTCTTTGTTTCTGTTGTTGACCAATTGCAGTCTCATCATAAAAGTACCATAAACTTTGATAAAAAGTTGTAAACCGCCATCGGTGTAAAAACCCTTTAACAAAAATAAAAGGTTAAATAATATATATGTTGCTAATATAAAATAAATGTTGATAAGGTTATGTAATGTAGATGTTGGCAAGGTTATGTAGCCTTTGATTGTTTGCAGTTTTTGAGATAGATTTTTGTTTTTGTTTTTCTGAAAACATTTTATATCCAATCAAGTTTTTTGTTAAAATGATTCTCTATTTTGTAGGGAAACTAGATTTTCAAAATAACTTTTCATTTGTTAGCAAAAACCCAGAATCCACATCTTTGGGGTTTTCAGTCCCAAATATACCGGAGAAACAGTTTATTTATTCTAAATATTTTGTTTTAAATTTTTCTTTTTACTCATCAATATTATTTACTTAACATCACCACCAATAATAGAGAGAACATTGTTAAGGTTATCTGGTTATGTAATATAAATGTTGCTAAGGTTATGTTAAGTAGATGTTCCTAAAGTTGTGTAATGTAGATGTTGGTAAAGTTAGATGTTGCTGAGGCTATGTAATATAGATGCTGTTAAGGTTACGTAAAGTAGATGTTTTTAAGTTGTGTAATCAAGATGTTGCTAAAGTTACCAAATCTAGATGGTGCTAATGTTATGTAATGTTGATCTTGTTAAGGTAATGTAATAAGGTAATCTAATGCATCGTTTAATAATGTTATGTAATATAGATGTTGCTAAGGTTATGTAATGTATATATTTATGAGGGTATGTAAAATATATGTTGTTAAGGTTATGTAATTTAGTGTATATAATTATTTAATTAGATACTGATGTATTTCCAGAAAACTTAAATTGGATGAGAATTGACAAAGAGGAATCAAAATTTAACCACTGAAACTTTTGAAAATGCATTTTCTAAAACTTCCAATTTGAAAAGACATGAAACCACAAATTTCCATATTTAGATCGCGACATAAACTTACCCTTTATGGTTTGTAATCCCTAATATATTAAAAGAGAAAACACTAACTAAATAACCTTTGTCTAATGTGTTATTAACAAGAATGTCATTGCTTAGGTGTCATCACTAGGTTCACTCTTAGAGCAATTTCTAATTAAGACAAGCTTTACTAGACAAATTACAATATATGCCATTGCATATTATGCTTACAACCAAATAATGAAATTAAATTTATCATTCTCTTTCCTTAATTGGCAACTACGAAAATTAGTAAATAAGGAAGATATGAGATTCAATTTAATTCATCATAATAATTTCTTTTAAAATCAGTATACATCTTCTATCATCTTTGTTTAAATTTATTTAATAAAATAATTTGAATCACAATATAAAAAATCTATCAAAAAAAATCTAAAACTTTTTCTGTACATGTTATGATTTGAATTTTTAAAAACAAAATAATATAAATTGTTTCGTATATAACCTCATTTAGTAGGTATCCAAAGGTAATTTTTTTTTTCATTTAATATGGTTTTTTAATTAAAATCTATAATTAAATCGAATAAAAAAGTTCTTTTTATAAATATTTTATTTTGATTAAACTTTTGAATATTACTCTATCTGTTTCAACTTTCTATACAAAATTAATTATATTTTTGCTGTTTTGACAATTTGGATTCTGCATATTATTTTCTGATTGGTTGGATTGTTTTGAAATTATAATAAAGCATGTTTTAGTTTTGAAAGAAAGAAAAAAATTAGTTCTAATCCGTGTCCACACAGCTAAAACTTTTTATCTTATGAAATACATGATGTATAATTTTTCTAAAGAATAATGTTTTATTTTCAATTTTTTTCTTTAAACTATCTTATTATATTATAGTTATTTGAGTTTTATGTATCTCGGTTAAATCTATCATATTTAATATGTGGTTACGATCAATGCTTTAATTTATTTCTTTTTTTTAAATGGATTAAAATGCCTAATTTCCATACTATAAACGAATAACAAAGGTTAAAAATCTCTCGCATAAAATGTCGAAATATTTAAATAAACATTTTTAATAAAAATACAAATTCAGAAACTATCACCCCGTGCAGGGCACGGGTCAAACCCTAGTAGGTAAATTATTAAGAAACAATAGTTGAACACTACCTAATCAATTTGATTCATTAGAATAAGTTAGTGTTCAATTTGATTAAATATATGATATCAATCTTAATATTATTGAGTTTGAAGATTTTTTGTTTGAACTAGAACTATAGATTAATTTTCAGTGATGGAACTTATGAAATCAATAATAAAAATGATCTTTTAAATCTTTGACTTATTGGTTTTATCTTCCATGAAACATGTAGGTTCAGTCTAGTGAGAACTAATAAGAGCATGTTTAGCGCTGAGATGAATAGAGTATTAGAACATTAAAAATAAATAAAAATAATGATAAAAGAAGAGAGAGAGAAATGATAAATGTCTCATGAGTCTCTTGGGGGAGAGACGTATCAGTTAATTTTTTAGACACCTTCATAAGACATGTCCTTTTCTAATTGGTTTACTTTCTTTTATAATTAAAATTTAATTATACTATTAAATTATATTAATATATTATGTATTAGAGATTCTTGAGAAAGAGATTACAACTGGACATGCTCTAAGATTACTAGACTTTTATAAAATACAATATTTTATCTTGATTAATATACACCTAAGTATACACACAAATACATTAAGATTCGCAAAACAAATAAACAAATTACAAGTTACAAACAATGTGAAACTTAACAAAAAAACTCTCAGTCACACTACAACAAAGATCATAGAACTAAAAACTTCTTCTAAGAGCTCTTATCTCTCTTCCGGCTAAAGAATTTCACCAAGTTGGGAACTTTCTTCTTCTTCTTGATCACAAAGTAACTCGGAGTCCCTCTGTTCCCTGATGAGTACCTTCTCGACTTCCCTCCCTGAACCGGAGTAAACTTCCCACTCAACCTAACCGATCTTCTCACCGGTTTAGGAGACATCACCAAGCCCCTGTCTTCTTCAGATCCCTCTTTATACTTCTCAATCTCATTCTGCACAAGTCTCTTTATCGACAACGACCTCTGCATCCTAAACGATTCCCTCTCTTCTTCCACCATCGTTTTCCCACTCTCTCTCTTCAAAGTCTCAGTCTTTATCACAATCGCCTTAGTGCTTGCCCTAAGTGCTTCCACCCACGCCATTGCCGCTTCCACTTTCTTCTCTGCAGTTTCTTCAGCATCACGAGCTCCTCCACTCAAGTACTCGTACTCAAATCTCGAGATAGTGATCGTCGAACTCCTCTGAGACTCCATCTCTCTAGCTTCCATTGTCTTCTCCACCATTCTTTCAAGCTTCTCCATAGCTAAAACCTCTGCTTCCTTGGCTTTCTCAAGCTCATCTAACTTAAAAACCAACTCTTTCTCCTTCCCACCAAACCCTAATTCCGTTTTCTTGACAAACACGGCTTCTTCTTTAAGCTTAACCTCTTCTCTCTTTGCAGCTTCTCTATCGTTCTTTAGCTTCTCAAACGAACAAGTTAGGTTATCAGCAAGAGAACTGATTCTTGCTTCAGCTGCAGACACAGATTCCAACCTCGCTTTCCCCACAAGCAGCTTCGCATTGAGCTTCTCGATCATCGCATCATCCTTACGTATCATCTTATCGAACCGAGCTGTTTCTTGCTTGGCTTCCTCAAGCTCTTGCCTCAACGCATCCATTATTTGAACTAAACAAAACATCTCTGCGTTAACAGAAGCGAGCTCTTCCTTCTTCGCTTCCGTTGCTTCTGTAACTTCTTTCAAAACCGACAAATTGTCTTTCCCTCTCTCGAAAGAACGGTTCTTGGACCTCGACATGCTATCATTCCTCTGCACCTTCCTCTCCATCGCCTTCACAAGCATCAGCTGAGTCTCCAACATTTCGATATCTGCTAAAGTCTCTGCTAACACACTCTCAACCTCCTTAGATCTTTCAATCTCTTTCACCATTTCTTTCATTCTCTTCTTCCGTTTCTCCAACGAATCAACCACTTCTCTTCTTTCTCTATCTCTCTCTTCTTCAACCTCTTTACATTCTTTCAAAGCTTCGATCTTTGCCAATTCAACCAAAACATGTTCCTCGTTCGCAACATCAACCTCTAATTTAAGACTCTCAAGCAACTTCAAATCATCTTCCATCTTAATCCCTAACTCAATCACTTCCTTCTCTGCTACAATCTTCTCTCTCAAAACATATGCTAAATCAAGCTTAACCTTACTCAGTTCTTGCTTCACATCCTCTAACTCTCTCATGATTTGAGCGTATTTTCCATTTCCATCATCAATCTTTAACTTCTTCACAGCTTTCGAAGACTTTAACCTGCGATTCGACTCTTCTATTAGCAATGTTAGCTCTTGTACCGTCTTTTTGGCCTTGCAGAGTTCGGTTTCCGCTTTTGCCTTTACAGAGTCGGAAGCTCTTCTGCTTTCTCTGTAGATTCCAAGCTCTCTTCCTGACTTATGCAAGTCCTCCGCAACAGAAGGAGATGACTGTTAAACAAAACAGAGTACAAAGATCTCAAAAATCAAAACTTTAGCAAACTAATCACACTCTTTGCACAATTATGAAAGAAATTACACACTTTTGGATAAGTTTAATCTAAAAAAAAACAAAACTTTAGCAAACTAACATTGTTCTGTGCACAATTATGAAGAAATTAGGCACTATTGTATCTAAAGTTCTGATCTTTGGTTTGTACCTTAACTTCTGGCGAATCAAGCAGAGGAGAGACGCTTCGAGTAGCTTTTTGTCCGTACATGTTAATGGCGGCTTTGACTGTTCCGATTCTTCTTCCTCCGCTTAAATTATCTTCGTCCATTGATTTGTTCTTCCTGGGTTTCTACTAAAACATAGAAGAATTCGACTAGAATCTCAATTCGAAGATAAACCCAGAAAGAAAACCCTAAAATTGGCAAAGAAAATTCAGTCTTTACTTAGGAAATGAAAGTTACAGAAACAGAGTGACTACAAAATTCTCCAGAAACTGGGAATTGTTAAATGAGAACTTACAGGTGAGTGAGATGCTGGATGAAAAGAAAGATTGTTGTTATGTGTAGCAGAAGAGAATAAACGGAAGAGAAGGAGATGATTGGCTCACATCGTGTTTGCTTTCTTATCATTTTTTTTGGGTTTTTGTTCTATCTGGAAAAATTAGGGAGAATTTATGAAACTTTGTTTCTTCTGGACAGTGATCTGAGGCCAAGGATTCCACAAGTAGCACAAACATATATGACATGTGAAAGAGCCCGAAATAATTTTAAAACATAATTCAGAATACGCAAATATTAAATCTTTGACAAATAAGTAAATAATTGAAAATCTATCTTTTTATATAATAAAGCTGAATGCGCGCGATGTGGTTGCGACACGTAGGATTTTTATAAAATATAGAATTGCGACATGTGTCACTTTTAATGTTATATCCGTAAGATCGTGACACATGTTTGGGAAAAAGGAAAATTTTAATATCTTATAATAAAAACGAAATTTTATATAATAAAATGAAAATAATGTAATAAAAAATTCCTATTAGTATATGTAATAGGTATGTAAACTAAATATCCTAAAATAAACTATATGAAATTGGTTACATGAACCCCCTATAAAAAGAGAGCTATTGTAGTCTTTTTTCTCATTCACAAACTCATCAAAGCAAATTCAGAAAATCTCTTTGATTCTCTTTCTCTAATTTCAAAATCATGTCTTTGAAAGTTCAAGAGAACAGTGGAGATTATTTGACTCTAGGTCAATTGGATCGAAATTAAAATTATTTGAATAAAATCCTATTAGTACATTAGGAAAAATCAGAAAACAGGAAACAAACAATTAAAAAGAAAAAATATTACATCCATTATGAGAAGTAAAGAAAAAACATAATTCTATTACGAAAAGGAAAAAAAACGAAAATCAGAAAAACATGAAGAAATAATTAAAAAATGTTACATCCAATAAGAAAAGGAATAAAAAACATATTCCCATTACGAAAATGAAAAAAAAAACAATATATAACAAGCTATATTTTTTAAGTTTCTTTCTCATTAAGAAATAAAATTCATGTCTTTAAAAGTTAAAGATATCAATGAAGAATACTTAACTTTAGATCGATACATGTGTCTAATATTTGATGAAGTGATGACATGTGTCAACACAAGAAAATTGGAAAAATGTAGTAACATAAATAAATAAACTAACAAAATAATATTAAAACAACTAACTAATAATGAAAATGAAAATTTATAATGGTCAGAGGCAAAAACGAAATTGAAAAAGAAACAATATAAATAGAAAACTAACAAAATAATTATTAAGGAACTAAATAATATTAAAAAAGAAAATTTTATAATGGACTGATCTTCTAATATTAAATAGTTTAATTTTCCATGTTTTGTTAGGTAAAAAAATATTAAAAATAAAGATTTCATCATGGAATAATCAAAGTTTCATAAAATAATGAGTCGATTAGATTTAGACACATGTAAATCTTTCTATTTCATATCATGAATTCAAAATAAAAATGTAAAAGACTACATATCTTTATTTAGAGATTTGTTATCGGGTTTTTAATATTATTTTCTTATTTTTAAAATTGATCAAATTTTGTTTAATATTCTTCCGTGATTTAAAAAATAAAAAATAAATAAACCCGCGTATACGCGGGGCCTAATCTAGTACTATATAAAAGTTGAGGCTATAAGCCTCTAAGAGCGTCCACATAGGATTTTAACGGACCAATTAAAATTCGCCAAATCAGCATTTCTAAATTTAAAAACGAAAATTAAATATTTTTTTTCGAGAAAAATTAATGAAAATTGTACTATTTTGAATTTTAATACTTACATTACGACACCAATTACCTTAACCCATTATTTTAAATAGTTTAATGGAAATTCAACATAAAAAAAGTTAAACTAACAAAAAGAACATATATTGGAAAAGCTAAACTAACTAATTAAAATAAAAAGGAAATTAACAATTTAGCTATTTCAATGTTTGGCATTGGCTATAAATAGTCCTCTAAACTTTAGAATACACATACAGTAGAACCTCTATAAAACAATACTCGATAAAACAATAAACACTATAAGACAATAATTTTCTCCGGTCCCAACTCGGGCCAATGTAAAAAATAGCATAATGCGATAAGATGATAAGACAATAATATTTTTGAAACTCCTATGTAAAAATATAGTCCCAACAATAATCTAAGATAATAATTATAAAACTAAGGCATATATATCTAAGACAATTTAGTAAAATATGACTCCAATGTAGTTTGTCTTTTCTGAAAGTTGGATTCCCGTTGGAGCTCATCTCGAATTTTTCTTATTGCATCTACAATTTCTGGTGATGTATTCTCAACTTGCAGCCAAAAGTTGTGAAGAGTTCTCGAAGCCACAATTGCTTAACTACTTGCACATGTCTTTCCTCATCATCTTCAACTTCATCTTCACCATTAAGAACAGTAGACATAATTTCTTCTAGATTTTGAACTTCTGAGCATGAAATATGTAAATAACAAAGTATAAGGAAAATTTGAATAAAAAAGTGAAAAAATATATGTCTATAAAGTTTCTTGTTTTTGATAGAATATTTCTATAAAATAATAATTATTGTTTTATCGATAAAATAATAACTCTATAAGATAATAAAATTTCAAAGTCCCAACATTATTGTTTTATAGAGGTTTTACTGTACAAGAGTTCTAAAGACAACCATATTCTTCAAGAGAAGTTTATTAAAATAGCTATGTCTTCTTCCAACTCTTCTGTTTCTGATCAGTTATGGCGTCCTTTTGTTTTGGATGAACTCACTAAAGATTTTGTAAGAAAGAGCTGTTGCTAGAGACATCCACTTCTGGGAGGCAAGGAACCCTAAAAAAGGAGGTCTGCTTATGGATATGAACTGCTTCTAATCGATCAAAAGGTAACGACACCAACATTATTTACCAATTACCAATAGAAAGTTAAATCATCATCAGATTATAATACTCTTTTCTACCATAATTTAATACAGGGAACTACAATCCAAGCATTCATACCAGCTTATCGACTAGGAGACTATGAGGAAAAATTAAAGGCTGGTGAAGTTTACAAGTTTAATAGCTTTCTGGTCATCAACAACGAAAAAGGCGGGAGAAGTCTACAACATTGGTAGTTTTTTGGTCATCATCAACAAAACGAGCTACAAGTTCTCCTCACACAGATTTCTCATCCAATTCATTCCGGAAACAACAATGGTGCAAGCCGACCATGATGACTACACTATTGAGGGTCAAAACTTTGGGATGAATCTGTTGACAAGAACGAGGACCTTTATGGTAATAACTCTTTCATTATGAGTAGAGTTCAATCAAAGGAAGACATTGAGAAAAGTATGTTTAGACGATGGATGGAGAGAAACGAAGAATCAGAAGAGGCTCATCAGATAACTTATTCGGAATTTCTGAAAAAAATTACATGGAACAGCGATAGAAGTCTATGGTCAAAAGTGGAAAGTTTTGAAGAGATTCAAAGTGCTGGGGACACGAAATATGATGATTACAAATCAGTATCCTATGATAGAGGTCTCCTAGATTCAGACTCGAGTGGCATGACGTGATGGACGAAGCAACTCAATGGTCTACACCTTATCAACTACGAAGACTATTTGTTTGCTTGCTGATATATTGTCAAGTTGGGAGTCCTCTAAATTTGTGGAATCGCTATTGGAAATCACTAGAAGACATGCTTCACAAGACTTTCAACTTCCCAAGCCTACGTCTAAATGAAAATCAGCTAAAGCAATACACTTTGATGGAGATAGAGAAACTTATGAACCAGGACGATCAATAGCTGAGTTCAAAGACATGCCGTGCTATAATAGATAGACTAGATCTAATGTTCGATTAAAAGACTATTATCTAATGCTTATCCTTTTACTTTTTATCTAAAGACTATTATCTAATGTTGCTAAGTACTTGGTGGAACAGAGAGAAAGTTTACCAACCTTGACAATCTCTGGCTGTGATTCAAACTTTTGTTTCAAGAAATACTCCACAGCTTTCACATCATCATATGCTACTCTCTCGACCTTATTAACTTCCAACGTATCATCAATGCTAAACACAGCGAATATGAATTGCAAGTAGACATCACCATCTTTTGAAAAGCATGGAACTTCGGTGACTTGAGGGACTTTTGAAAGATACAGAGGCAATTTAATCTACCAAATATATATATAAAAAAAACAAGAGCATTAGACAACTAAAGAACTCGCAAATACTTAGTCAACACAAAAATGAAAAGAACAAAATCATAAATTAGATAATAAACATTCACTTGGGTGAGAAACAAGTACCCGGACAAGTACTCGGAAATTGATAAAAGAGGCAAAGTCATTAGCTTTACCCCAGTAACGTCCATCGAAAGGCGACAATTTTGAAAAATTAGATATCTCTGAGTCTCTGGAACTTGGCGGAGCAGTTGGCATCACCTAGAGTTATAGATTTATCACAAATTCGGATCGGAAGAAATAGATTAAACGCTAAACACATAATCTCAACATCAACAAAACTGGCTTCAAAATAGGAAAATTCAAACCTTTCACGAAGTGATTAGCTTGAGAGAATCAGTAGAAGAAACAGAGAAATAAAGTCTCGGAAGAGGGATTAAAGCAGAAACTGTTCCCTCAATCAATTGATCAAATTAGTTTTGACAGGTCTCAATCGCTCAGAGGGATTAAGGCAAATAACCAAGATGAGAAACAAAGAAGAGGGATCTCGATGATGAGATTAACAATGTTCCGGTGGGAATAAGGTAGAAACATTGTTCGATTTTGTTGTCGGCAAATGAAGAAAACAACGAATCATTTCTAATTTCAATGTGATAGCAAAACCGAACCGTAAAAAACCAAAACAATGGAACCGGGAATTGGAAACGCGGTTATTAATTAAACAGGATACGAAAAAGAAAAGTTTGGAATATATGAGACTTTTTAACTATCAAAACAGTGATTTAAAAATAAAGAGATGAATTTATTAAATGGAATTGAATGCAAAATAATTAAACTAAAAAAATATATAAATAAATTAAGTATAAATCATAAACTCAGAGCTGGAAAAGCTAAACTAATAAATAAAATTAAAAAGGAAATTAACAACTAAAATATGTATTAGACTAATATTGGATTGTACAAAAGCTTGCCGAATGACCTTTAATGGATATAAAAAATTAAAAAGTGTCTAATGAATAGTAAAATTAAGGGATTAATTTAAGAAATGTGAGGATAGGCTGTTGTATGTTTTTACAGAAAATATGTTTTTAAAAAGTACCTTACTTATTATGACTAATTATAAAATAATTAAATTGGTTAAGTAAAAAAATAATTAAAAAGTATATTACAAAGAAAAGTTTATAAAAAAAAAACAGAAAAAAATAAAAAAATGTGAAGCGTTTGAAAAAAAAAAAAAATTAAATATAACAGTTTAAAATTTCATTAGAACAGACCCGCGCGTGCGCGGGTCAAAAACCTAGTCATACAAAAAATTTCATAACATTCTTCAATGTATTTATTACTCATTGTAAGAAAATATTTTAGTTATTTAAAATAAGTTAATTATTTCAAAAAATAAATATACAGTTTATGTATATGTCCGCTGTTTACAGCTTATGTATCAATTTCAAGGCTGAATATTAATTGGCCTTGAGACAGTTATTAACTTATTATTATTGCTAGGAACAATGCTTGATTTTTCTAATGCTATGCTTTACAAAACGGCAAGTACATTTGTCTCGGAGCTGCTCCACTTACTTATTGAGCAAGAATGAATGAAGATGGGAACAATATTGTAATTATCAGCAGAGAGGTATAATAAACTTTGGTGATGACAAAAACTGGATTAATCTGTAGTAAAAAAAAAAGACTGCGAATTTTTTGTAGCTAAGAACTAGCTAGCGAGAGCGAGACCATGTAGGGAAAAGACTGCGAATTTTCTATAGTGAAAAAAAAAAAAAAGACAACGTACGTGACCAAAGTCCAAAACAACTACAATTCTGCAACTAGAGTAACAGAGGAAATGTTAATACTTCCAAGGAAGTTGATAGGCATATAGTTTTTCATAACAAATATAATTTTACAAAATTATATGGATCTTATGTATTCAAATAAAATCTCATAAAATCCAATATAACTATTTTTATGTCGAATTCGTACCAAACATAAAAATTCGTACTATGCTCCTTGAGGCTCGAGGCTTGAGCTATGCATTGGAAAACACCCCCTTTTACCAAAGATATGTATATATTTAAAAACAAAATATCAAAGCATATTAAACTGGATTCAATCAATTTTCTCTTAATCGTCGACGCCACACATTCATAAACTGATGTATATCTAACTTAACTAGTAAGCCCAAATTTAATACGTGTGTCACTATTACTTGTTCTCGACCTTTAGTTTTAAGGTTCCTTTTGCATGACGACAACTTACGTTCACGTTATTTAACGATGCAAGAGCCACGCATTTTGCATTATGCAACGCAATGTGAACTTATACCCAATAAATACCAAAACAAGACCTCAAATGCTCCTTAGAAAATCCAAACAGTTTATCATAGAGGTAAAGCAGCTAACTAATTATTTAGACATGAAGATCTTCGCATTGATACTCGTCGTCTTCGTCATACTTTCGACATTGTTACCGGCTCCAATGGAAGCGGCAGACACCGACGTTGGAGCGGCATGTGACGCAAGGCAGCTTCAGCCCTGCCTGGCGGCGATTACTGGAGGAGGACAGCCATCAGATGATTGCTGTGCAAAGCTGAAAGATCAACAATCATGCCTGTGTGGTTTTGCTAAGAACCCTGCGTTTGCCCAATACATTAGCTCTCCGAACTCTCGCAAAGTCCTAGCCGCGTGTGGTGTTGCTTATCCAAGTTGTTAAAACTGATCTAGAGATTCTATAAACAAATAATAACGAGTAAGGAAAATAAATAACATTGTATCAAACTGTTTCATGAAACAATATAACCGTTTGTATTAATGTAATGGTTTTATATGGTAAAACAACGTTTACTTATGTTTTTTTATATGTTTTTTTTTCCGGGTAAACGGATAGCCAAATGCCAAAATATCAATTTTTTAAAAATAATGTAAAAATAGTAAAGGTCTATTTTGGCGGCTAAATTGATGAGCTAAAATTTTAATGTTGGAATAATTGACTAACAGAAACAAATAAAAATTATGGAATATAGGTAATGGATTACATAGTATAAACAGTATATACATAAAACATTCATGATATATTTTTTTTTTCATATAGAATTATACTAATTGTTGAAACTTCCTGAAGAAGTTTGATTTTAATTTCAGTGACTAATTTCAACTCAATTTAAAAAAAAAGGTTTAGGTCATGGAGTATTTAATAGAAATATTATCATTAGAGATATTTTTTTGTTTTCATATTTTTAAATAATCGAGTGATTTACTAATGCAGAAACAAGTTGAATATGACTGATCTATTACACTCAAATAAATAATTAGCTACCAACTCTGTTAGTTCTCACAATTTTTAAATTATCAAATTTTCTTTTACTAATCTCATAATTTAAAAATATCTAATTTGTTTAAGTGTAAGATGAAATAATTTGTGAGAAGGTTAGATCATGAATATGTTTTGGAAATAAGAAATGTTTTTTTGGCATTTGATTATTTTGTAAGTTCTAAAGTTTTAAATTTGATTTCAATGACTAATTTCAATAAAAGTTTTAAAAGTGATTTATAGGTCATCAATAAGTTGAAGTTTTAATTATGAATCTTTCAACAATATATTTTTGTTGTCAAATTAATCTGGAAAACCAGTTGACTTGCTAATGCAAAAATAAATTGAATATAATTGACTCTTATGATCAAATAAATGACTCTTATGATCAAATAAACAAATAAATAGAGATGTTTTTTATTGTCAAATTAATCTAGAAAACTGATTGACTTATTAATGCAAAACCAAGTTTAGTATGATTGACTCATACGATCAAATAAATGATTGGCCGCCAACTCGATCAGTTGTCAGATTTCATAAATCATCCGGTTTTCTTTAACTAATTTGACAATTTAAACAATTTAAAATCTCTATTTGGTTTAAGTCTAGGATGAGATAAGTATTGGAAACATTTTATTATTATTTTTTGGTATTTGATTAATAAGTACTGGAAATAAGAAACATTTTTTTGGTATTTGATTATTTTGCAAGTTCTATAGTTTTGATTTTGATTTTCATTTCAAAATTTCAGTTAAAGTTTTTAAAGAAGTTAAGGTCATGAATAAGTTGGAGTATTTTTTAGTTTTTTTTCAAATAGAAATATTTTTGTTGTCAAGTTAACCTGGAAAACCGATTGACTTACTAATGCAAAAACAAGTTAAATATGGCTGACTCTTACGATCAAATAAATGACTGGCCGCCAACTCTGTCAGTTCTCGCAATTCGTAAATCATCCGGTTTTCTTTAACTAATATGACAACTTAAAATCTCTATTTGGTTTAATTCTAGGATGATATATTTTGTGAAAGGATTGAATCATGAATAATAAGTTTTGGAAATAAGATATATTATTTTGGTATAAAGTTTTTAAAGAAGATCATAAATAAGCTGGAGTATTTTTAAGGATTTTTTTTAAATAGAGATATTTTAGTTGTCAAATTAATAGGGAAAACCGATTGACTTACTAATGCAAAAACAAGTTGAATATGGCCAACTCTTACGATCAAATAAATGACTGGCTGCCAACTCTTTCAGTTCTTACAATTCGTAAATCATCCGGTTTTCTTTAACTAATCTGACCACTTAAAATCTCTATTTGGTTTAATTCTAGGATAATATATTTTGGGAAAGGATTGGATCATGAATGATAAGTTTTGGAAATAATATATTTTTTTTTGGTATAAAGTTTTTAAAGAAGTTTAGGTGATGAATAAGTTAGAGTATTAATTAGTAGTTTTGTTAATAATAGAGATATTTTAGTTGTCAAATTAATATGAAAAACCGATTGACTTACTAATGCAAAAACAAATTGAATATGACAAACTCTTACGATCAAATAAATGACTGACCGCCAACTCTTTCAGTTCTCACAATTCGTAAATCATCCGGTTTTCTTAACTAATCTAACAACCTAAAATCTCTCTATTTGGTTTAGGTCTAGGATTAGATAATTTGGGAGAGGTTTGGATCATGAATAAGTTTTGGAAATAAGAAATGTATTTTGGTATTTGATTATTTTGTTAATTCTAAAATTTTGATTTTTATTTCAGAAAATAATCAATATAGTTTTCAAGAATTATAGAAGTTAAAGAGAAAGAAAAGAAACTAACCTTTGTAACGTTCTAGTTACGGAAGAAAGGTGAAGAAGCATCGACAAAGACATCATCATCACCTGAAACATCAATAAAGAAACTTTGTTAATGATTAATTAGTTTTCACGTCTTTATATACTTCATTAATGATCTAAACTTATGCTCAAAATCCTTAACCTTATCTGTTGCAAAACACAAGAGAGTTTCCTTCAGATTATTTCAACTTCATTCTCAAGATCCTTAACCTGCATATGCATCATTTTAAGCGCAGTTTGGTAACTCTCAACAGAACATTCGGAGATTTTAATGTAACAAACCAATATTGATCTCTTTAAAAAACCTGTTGGTGGTAAGTTACAGAGTTTGATTGTTGTCTCTCCCGGATCTTTTCCAATTGAAGCTCTCTCCATGACAATCTTCACAACTGTCAAAACGCAATCATTTCCAGTTTAAAAACGAAACTTTGAAAAAGATTGGATCTTTCTAAGTTCCCATCAACCTAGAGACAAGAAAGATTGATGATATAGCTGAATATGCTCTGAGGAATCTCCAAGACACCAGAGAGAACAACGAACCACTCACACATATTTATCAGTTGAGTGAATTGGGGACAGTCCCATTCAGGTTTGTTCCTACTCAGGGTTCTGGTTAAATTAGCCAAACAGAGGAATTAGTAATGGTGCGAATTTTCAGTTTCTATAGGTCAAAGTTGAACAAAAGAAGAACATGACCAACTTATGTTATGTTGAGTGGTTAACATATTCATTTCAACTTATCATTAATGTAGATACATCACAGAGAATGAGAAGTAGAACATAACTTTGGGTTAATGGGTTTGTTGTTACCTGACCAATCATGAGCATTAAACCAATATCACAGGCGCGGAGGAGGAACGATCCAGTTACCACAGGCTCCTGCACAACAGTCATCAATCATCTCAAGTTGGTTATTTCACAGTCTGTTTATGTCAAGTTTGCATATAACAATTGAACATGATGCTAAGAAGAGGCTAAAGAATCGACCTGCATCAGAACCAGGACATCTATTGGATCACTGTCCTCACAAATGGTTCGAGGAATGAAAATGGATGAATAGAGAACACGACCAACCTACACAGCACAACAATTCAGTGATCAGATTTTTTTCTTCTTTCCCAAATCTTATAACGAATGCATAAACTGCGACTTGTGCATAAGGGATCAGAAGGCATCTCTACTCTGTTCTTGTGCATATCAGAAGGTAAATACACTGTTCTTGTCTAGCTCGTACTTCACCTTGCCACCACCTTTGCTAATTTCAACAACCTGATAAACATACTTCCAAATTCGTTTAAACACTCTCAAAATGATGTAAATTTCTGCAACTCATTAGGAGCCAAAGCTTACACAGTTGAAAACAGCAGGATCTTCCGGACCTACAAGTTTAAACAAAAAAACAAACACTCCTCTTAAAAGGATGAACATTTAGCCATCCAAGCAAAACTCTAATTGCACACGAACAAGGATACATGTCTATATGAATTAGCGTACCAATCTCCAAGTCATGTCAAGGATGAGCAGAAGCTGATCTGTGTGTGAAGGCTGCAAACTTCAGACTAACATTAGAGGAGAGGTATAGCTCTTGGCGCTTCCTTCATTGTTCTTCTCTGCCATGTCGAATGCTCACTACAACTCAATTTGTACAATGCTCAGAACAAGCCATATAACTTATTCTCACCACTGAACAATTTGTACAATTAACCACAAGAAAAATTAACCAATTTGAATCCAATCTTCAAAAACAAAAGATTTCAAATTCCACCTCCAATTTCAAACTGGAGCCCGAGAAATGAAACACCCATACCAATCTACGATTTTCACTGTTCTGATGCGACTCGATATCATCTAAAAGAACAATCCTACAACCTGAGAGTATCATAGATAACGGGAAAAACGAAGATCCACCCTCGATTTCATGTAATTACAAATCAAAATACTCAAAATCATCACTTCTCAAAGCGAAACAAAATAAATCCGACGAACAACAAAAACCCAAACCCTATGGGATTTAAAACTAGTAGTCATGGAAACGAATCAGGAACTAGAAACCGAAATTGAATGATTCGCGGACGGAAAAATGAAGAAACCCCAAACTCAAGCCCTAGGGCTTTGAACAAGCAATTCGAGTTTGTAAAAATGAAATCGAAGGTCATAGATAGGATCATACCTTCGCGAATCAGTGTACGGATCACACGAGTTGAAATTCCAACGAAGGATCTTCACGCACATCCACGGAAGTCTCGTCGATCTCTTGATTTTTCAGTTGCGTCACCAACAAGGTTCGGAATTAGGAATCTCCGGTGAAAAATGAAAACCAGGTTGGATTGGATTTTGGATTCCGGCGAGAAATGAAGCAATTTCTTGCGACGGAATAACGAAATCGGAAGAGAAATTTTAGTCTATGTTTCGGTTTCTCTCTTCGGAAAATTGAAATGCGAGAGCTGCAAAAGAAAGAAAACAGAGAGAGAGAGAGAGAGAGAGACTAGATTTTGAATCTGAGACTACCGTTGAAGACAAGTAAGTCGGCTATATGCATGATTCGGCCCAAATTTTATAATTATGGGCTTTCATGTAAAACATGTGGGTCAAGTTGATTGCTAACATATAATTCGTAAGCATAAACAATAACAACGGTTTGAAGAGTAAAATATTAAATTAACCCCTTTTTTTTTGCTAAAGGTTTAAGTCCTTTTTTGGAAACATTTTAGTTAAGGCAGTTTGATATTTTAGCTATTGCCAAAGGTTTAAATTGCATCAGTTTCTCGTCGTAACATTTTATGTTTCAGTTTAGAGAGCAAAAGGTTTAAATGTGTTTGAGTTTTAATATCATAAAATTTTAGAAATTTTTCATTTACATTCCTATATATTGCCCAGACTCATAACGATCTAACTAATGCAAATGAAATCTTCAGAAATGAGAATTGCCACTGAGTGAAATGTGATTTTGATGTAAGCATGAAACCACAAACATACAATACCAGATTGGTGCATACTAGGTTACAAGAGATGACAACAGATCTAGAATATGAAGAAAAATAATTGTATGCCAAAGCTAAGAAAAAAAGAAAGCAATTATTTGGGAAATGAAAATGTTCTGCAATGTTTTGGTTGATTACAAAAAAAAAAACAAAAACAAAATAGCAATGCAAAAAAGAAATATAAATTTTTGGATGTAAATTTATCATACGTACCATGCATGCATTTTACAAATAATCAGTCAAATGTTTCTACGATTCATAAACACAATCACCATAACTTGGATCAGTAATAATGATTGCCCTAGTATTTTTGAAATCACACACTTCTTCGGTGCGGTCGTGAATTTGATAATAAGCGTTTCATCACAAACGATGTATGGTTCATGATTCATCAGAGTATTTAGGTCAAAGCAGGCTCCACCAGATTGGATTGGTTTCTTACAGTTAACTTTTTTTCCGTTGCTGCTAATCCAACCAATGTTAACTTGTAATTGTGCATCTGTTGCATACAGAGATGCCACACACCATTCAGTGACCGTTAGGTTTCTTAGAGTGGAGACATGTAGTAGGAGGAAATTAAAGGAGCGTCAAAGGTGAAAACATTGTGGTGTTTGCTTGTAAAATGATTATTCAAATGATATTTGAAGAGTTAAAATTTTAAATTTATCTATGTGAGTATAATTAAGCATTTGTGTATACTATATACAAATTTAAGGATATACTGTTAGAGGAGAAATTAGCACATTTCCCTGAGCCCGTCATCATTAGTAAAGTCACAAAGCCCAATCCGATTTTAGGCCTAACATCTTCAAGAAAAAGGCAAGACTTGAAGAGAAAGGCACAATCCATGGAGAAATGTAAATAAATCTTCATGCCGACTTAAAGAATGGAGAAAGATCCAAAAACAAGAGGGAATTTTCCATATCGCAAAAGAGGAAGTTTTCCATCTCGCCTGAAGGAGAATATTCATCATTCGGCCGACTTATCAACCTATATATTGAAGACCCCCCATTGGGGAGAGGGATCCGAAATCATCTAGAATCACTAGGCTTTCACATTAGCTTTTACTCTATCCTCTTGTTCATCACCATAATCTCGCTAGGCTTGTTAGCGAGATTGCTCTCTTGTAACTTCTTGATAATCTAAGAGTCGAATTAAGCGTTCCAGTTTCCTAAACTCACATCTTAGATAGCCCGTCTTGACGAGTGCTATCTCGGATTCAACAATTGGCGCCCACCGTGGGGCTGGAAACGCTTCTCGCTATTCATCTCGAAGATATCTAGATTTTCACGAACTAGCAACGATGGTAACTCGAAAGAGAACACTCCCACCGGGAGCCCGTCTCCCTCAGAAGAAAACTTAAGCGACAGTCTACCACGCACGATAGACAAGTCGCTACCCGCTGAAGGCAGGGACAAGCCTGCTCCCTACAAGGAAACCCATCTTCTCGCCACAGAGATCCGTCTCGCCGCGAAGATCTCGCCGCGAAGATCTACTTCGCCGCAACGATCCCCTCCGCCAAGAAAGGACGAGAGCCCCCCTCCGTCCGCACCACGCCGCTCGAGAAAATCTTCCTCGAGCGACAAACCCCGCAGCTCGAAGAAATCCTCCTCGAGCGAGAAGATCCTCAAACTCATGGAGAATCTCGTCAAGCCACTCGCCGACGGTTTCGAGTCAATGCGAGCACAGCAGAAAAAGACTCAGGAACAGGTGGAAGCCCTAGCACGAGAAGACGATGAAGATCCGTCAAGTCCCCTGACGGAACAACCCCGTCCCGCGCACTTCAGGCGACTTACCACCAAGAACTCGAACGGATGAATCGTCGCCTCGACGAGGTCGATTCGAAAGTTCATCGCGCCACCAGCTCAGCTCCGGAATTGACGAAAGCACTCGCCGACACCCGAAGAAGCCCGCTCACCCGCAGGCTCCGCCAGATTGAGCTACACGAAAGAGTTCGACTCAAAATCGACTCTTACACCGGCGAAGAAGACCCCAAGAAGTGGCTAACCGCGTTCAACCTCGCCATGAGGAGGGAGAAATACAAATCTTACGATGAAAGGGAGGCCAACTACTGTCAAGTATTCGTCGAGCACATGGCGAAAGATGCCTTGACCTGGTTCTCTAACCTCCCCGCCGAGTCGATCGATAACTTCGACGACCTAACCAATGCTTTTCTGAAGCATTACTCCATGCACATGACCCGAATCACTCGGAACATGTTCACCACAACGCAAACCCAAGGCGAACCATTGCGCAGCTTTATGGAAAGGTTCAAACAAGCAGCTCGCGATACTGGCGACATGCCCGATAGCGTCCCGCTGGAAGCACTCCGCAACGGCCTCTGGTACGACTCCAAGTTTAAGGAGGATTTGTCACTAAAACCCCCTGCGACTCTGGAGGACGCGTTCCACCGCTCTCGGAACTACATCTTCCTCGAGGAAGACCAGCGCTTCTACGCCGAGAAACATGGAGATAGGAGGGCAACCTCGTCGAAACCCAGAGAGGAACCCATGGAGGCACGAAGAAGACACGATCCGAAGAGGTCTCTCCTCACAGCGTTCGCAGCAGCCGACGACGAGTTCGAGCAAGAACACGCAGCGGCCGTTTCGATGCCACAAGACATCAACTCGCTCGGAGATGACAACGATACCAAAGCTTTCTGCAAGTTCCACGGGAGAACTGGCCACGCCACTGAAAACTGCAAACACCTAATGAGCAACCTCATGCGCATGTACCATCGAGGAGAAATCCCGCCAATGGACGGTGATAGGTCCCAAGGAAAAAGCTTCCCGCCGAGACCACCAAAATCTGGGCAGCAGGAGAAGCGCGGACGACAAGCCCCGCTTGGGAAAAGGAATCGTGATGACCACGACGACCTACCTCCACCACCGAAGCGACAAGTCAGCATGATCATGGGAGGCCTCCTGGATAACGACGATTCCATATCGGCGATCAAGGAATACGAACGAAAGGCCGTCGCGGCACAACGCTACCCGTATATCCATAAAGGGATCCCTACATCTCCTTTACGGATAAGGATGCGAGCGGGCTGGACATCCCTCACCTCGACCCACTCGTAATCACTCTACAGATCCACGACTGTGACGTCGCGAAGGTCCTGGTTGATACCGGGAGCACGGTGAACCTCATCTTTCTGGAAACACTGAACCGCATGGGAGTGGAGGAAGGATCTATCAAACCTACATCCCGTCCCCTCACCGGTTTCACCGCCGAGCATGTTTACAGCTGTGGCACAGTCCGGCTCCCCGTTTATGTCGGCGGAATTTCAAAGCTCTTGAAGTTCATCGTCATGGACAAACCGGCCATCTATAACGCATCCTCGGCACCCCATGGCTCCATGAAATGAAAGCTGTCATCTCGACGTTCCACCAATGCGTGAAGTTTCCGATACCCTCTGGAATTTTCACCTTACGTGGAGATCAAAGAGTGACGAGATCATGCTTCCTTCGCGAGCGCAAGCTCCGCACCGCGTCGTCCTGTATGATAACCGAGCCAGTATCGACGACGAGACCAACGAGTCCAACGCAATAAAACGAGCCGCCACGACGCAGAATGCAGATCCCCCGATCCATCGGCAAAGGAACTCCGAGCCCGCCTGGAAATCCGACTTAAGGTCCAGCTTTAGCACTAAACACAAGGATCTCTCCGATCTATTCGAGATGGAGCAACTCGAGGACGAACCGCTACGAAGCTACCTGAACAGATTCAAGAGTGCGCTGCTCGACCTCAGGGACATTCCGGGAGCACCCCCAATCGCGGAACCGGTACTCGTCCAAGCCCTCGGAAACGGACTTCGATACGAATCCGGATTCTGGGAAGATATCCGCATCCGCCCCTCCCCAACTTTGAAGGACGCCTTCCTTCGCGCTGAGAATTACATCGCCTCGAGCAAGACATCCCGCAGCTACGGTTCGACCCCGAAGATCCTCGGTTCCGGCTAAGAAACAAGAGAAAGTCATCATCCTCTCGCCCGGAGAAGTCCACGCATAAAGCACCAAGGTGCCATCACGAATCTCTCCCTCGCCGAGACGACACCCCTGTCTACGATGACGAGACCAGGAGAAACATGGAGAATCGCGCGAAGACTGATCGCCATGCACCCCCGCAATGCTCGTTCTCCGATCAGGAGATATTCGAGATCATTGCCGATATTCGAAGAACTCCCCTGACAAGCCGCCTATCCGAGGTACCACTGAAGAAGCGCGCTTCACTACACCTAAACTTCTACGACGGCCGAGAAGATCCCAAGCAGTGGATCACATCCTTCATGACGGCCATGAGAAGACAGAAATACACATCGCCGGAAGAACAAAGCGCGCACTTCTGCCAAGCCCTCGCCGAACACTTGCGCGGCGACGCCCTAACATGGTTCAGCAACCTCTGTGCCGACTCCATCGACAGCTTCGACGATCTAGCAGCCGCTTTCCTAAAGCAACACCTCCGTTTCGCATTAGACGACCTCGTCTTTTGCAAAACCGATGATGATACGATCTATGGTCTCGGCAAATTCGGCTCCGACTGGGAAGGACCATTCCGCATCGCGAAAGTCGTCAAACCAGGAGTCTATCAGCTAGAAGACAACCTAGGCATCACGTCCGATCGCCTCTGGAGCTCGTCGGATCTGCGCAAGTTCCATGACTAGACGCGAAGCACCGCGCTAGCAAAAAAAAAAGACATGTCCATGGCATGAACATTTGTAACGAACTACGAATGGCTTGATCCCGGCACGGGTACGTAGGCAGCCTTTCTCACAAGGGCGCAGCTATAATACTTAATAAAATTTTAATTTTATTAAAACCTTTTCTCTCGACAAGCGCGCCTCATTCTGGCATAAGCTGAAACTTGTCGACACCCAGCACGCACCCGTTTGACGTCAAACCAAGTTATTGAGGCAAACTCAATAAGCACTTGCACTTTGCACCCTAAAAACATGGACTGATCACCCATTCATTAAGCCGAGAGCACGCACCTCGCACGGCTCTCAGTTCGTCGGACGAGCGAAAAACCGCTACCTCGTCACCCGCACGAAGCTTTGAAGTCGGAAGCATAAATCGAGTTTCTAGAGCTCGTCGCTGAAAGTAGGTTTAACATCCTAAGCACACAGACCTAATACGCGCCGGTCGGTGTCTCGAATGAGAAGTCATGACGAAACCCGAAAGCATCGCGTCCAGTCATGACGCACTAGCACCATCACGCGCACCATGTCGTGATACACTTAAAGGTAACGAGTCATCCCGATAATCGAATTTCCTACTCGGTGACGACCAAGTACTTAATTCATTTTATACGGTTGACGACACCATCGTCCTTTATTAAAAGACATAACCAAAAGCCGGATTACTTTCGTTGCGCTGCGAACTAATCAATTATGTCTAAAAGCCGTGACCGCATCACCACGCAAGCACGCAAGCAAAAAAAAAATCAATACTTAAACATCTTGAGTATCTACATAAATCTGAAGCACAAATCCTAAAGCATACGGATAAAAACCTTCCCAGGCAATGTTATTACAACAAAAAGGCCGCAGCCAGAAAAGTCTTAAAAAAATAAAATGGGGCCTAAGCAGACTTGGCCCCAGAAGTAGAGGGTCCCGCACCCGGATCCGCACCATCACCATCTCGACGAGAAGGAGATCCCGGCAGCACCAGCCGTTTAAGGCTACAAAAGCAGAGCAAACACATAAGCAAACATACGTTACGCAAAGCACGACATAACGAAGAGAAGCAAAAATCTCACCTGTTAGGCGGAGCGAAGTCATCATCATCGATAACAACTTCGTCAATCGCATCCCCATCCGCGATGCTCTTCGCCAGCTTAGCCGCGAGCTTCTCCTCCATCGCGTCGAAGTTCAGATCCACTCCCCGAATCTTCTTCACGAAGTTGAGGAGAGCTTCGTCGACTTGCCTCCTCCCCACAGCGGCTTCAACCATGTCCCGCTGCGCGACGAACTCCGACAAGCGATGGAGGCGAGGAGCATACCAGTCATTCACCGAGTCGAAGACCTGAGTCACAGCCGCCTCGACCGATTCTCGACGAGACCGTCGGAGACGCTCCATCTCAGCAGCAGAAGCCTCTGCATCCCGACGCGCCTTCTCCTCCAGATCACTCACTTGAGCCCTCAGCTTGTCTGCTACCTCCTGGAGTCCGAGAGTCTTCACTATCTCCCTGTTCAGCGCCGCGACCTTCGACTCAAGCACCAGTTTATCCTGCTGCAAATCAGCCACCATTGTATCGACATCCTTGGCCATCTCCCGCTCTCGCAACACAAAGGCTTCGTCCTTAGCTGCCCGAAGCGCCGTCTCGTACTTCTGGACCAACGCGGTGAACTTCCCGCCAGACATAATATGATGTTGAGCAGCTTCGTCGAAATCGGTCCTAAAGGTGAGCTCCTCACGCGGAATCCCCAAGCCGGGATGAACTTTAGACATCCAAGTCGCCCCTCCGCAAGCATCCTGGTCCTCCATAAGAGGACTCCCGCCATTCCACCACGTCTTGAACGCGTGAGGATTATAGCCCTCAGGACCATCCTTTGGAATTCCGGCGCCACCCTCAGCACCGAGGTTCGAGCCAGGAGCAAAACCACCCGCCTCCGAGTGACGAGACACCGCCTCATCATTCTCACCTGGACGCCGAGATGATTCCCCTCCTTCGAAACCACCACGATCACGCCGGTCAGAGGAGGGAACGCCGCCACCAGGGGTGAGGAACTCGTCCCCCTTAGAAGGCGAACCACCACGCGCCGGAGTCCTCAAACCATCATCGTGATGAGAAGCACTCTCATCGTGATGGGAAGACTCGTCATGGTCCGAGGAAGGAGGAGAGTCAAGCTCGATCACTTGCTCCGGAACGCCCTCAGGAACAGAAGTCGAGGCTTTCCTCGTCGAAGCCCTGCAAAGAACGTCTACGATTAACATCGGAATTCCTATCTCCTGAAGATCCATCAATAGGCGACTTACCTCGTACGCGACGCAATGGAAGAGCTCCGAAGGGGAGAAGGAGGAGAATCCCTCAGTCTGGGGGACTCGACCCTTTCTTTTTGGGCGCCGGCTCGGAAGCAACGACAACGTCGTCAATAGGCACGGCCGCTCTCTTCCTAAGACCCATCGATTTCTTCTTAGAACGGGATGGCTTCGCTGCTACAAAACAAAGCAAACGTTAAGATACCCGAAGATAGAACCAAGCAAAAAAAAAGAGAAAGAAGCAAAGCGCTTACTAGATATCGGAGTCGCAGGGATGGCAGATTTGTTTTTCCCCTCCCTCTTATCTTTCCTCTCTTGCTTTTTCTTCTCAAGCGCCGCCACTACCTCAGCAGCCTGAACTTCTCCTTGAGTTCGCCGTTCGGTCTCGCTCGCCTGGACGGTCCTGCGAAACAACAAACAACATCAGAAAACGCAAACTCAGTGAGCATAGATAGCAATTCTAATCAAGAATTCTACCCGGTGATTTAACCCATTCTGTCCTAATCTGATCAGCTTTGATCTTCCCGACTGAGGCTCGGTTTATCTTCACAAAGAAGAAATATTTCTTCCACCAATGAATCTTGTTTCGGTAATCCCCGAAAACAATATCATACTTCATCGTGGTATGAAACCGCTTGAAGTTTCCCTCTCGCGACGAAGCCCGGAGATCAGTAACGTGCTCAAATAAGAGACGGTCGAATACAACTCCGGCGGCTCTAGCCAGGGCCTCGGTAAAAACGATGTGGCGAACCACGCCGTGGGTCAGTTGACTCGTAGGGACGCCACGATCAGCCGCAAATTGCAAAAATAGAGGAGACAGAGGGAAGTTCATCCCAAATTCGGTGAACATACACTCGTAAACGCACATCCACCCAGCCGGAGCGTCGTAGGGCCTTTCAGATGGCCAGGGATACGAAACTCCACGGAGTCAGGAACTCGGCCTCCGCTATGAGGTCTCGAAGGATCTCCTCCGTCATCCACGACCTCCCATCGTGGATTAGGCCCGTAGGCGGCGTACGACTCGGCATCTTGATTACATCCGGGATGCCCTCGAGTCTCGCTTGGCCTGACGGCCCCGCTTCTTCGTCTTCATCAGAGTCGGTTTCGTCGCCGGAGTCATGCTCTTCCCCCTCCCTCTGTCACTCTCTCAGCCTCTTCCCGACGCTCGGCTTCGGCGGCGACTCTCGCCGCTTCCTCCATCTCACCTTTCGACCACCTTCTCGGCCTCAGCAGCCGTCGCTTCATCCGCCACCGCCGTCTTCCTGCGACGCTCCGCCGCATCCGCTTGGATGGCTCCACCAAGAAGCCTCTCCGGACGAGCGGAGGATCGCGTCTGACGCGCAATCGAAGCAATCGTCTCATCGCCGTCATCCATGGCGATGCCCTTTCCCTTTCTGTCTTTGGTTCATCTTGAATTGAAGGAGAATCGGAAAAACTCGATGACCGAGACGAAATATTTGACGAATCGAAAACCCTAAAACCCGAATCGGCGGATGAGAAGACGAAATCGGAGCACAACCTAACTAGATCCGAGCAATTCGTAATTCCCTAGTCCTAAATCCCGCAAAATCGATTCGAGAAATCAATCGAGGCAAGATTTGAAGTCGGATTGGGAAGTTACCTTTGATTCGTCGGGACGGTTGAGTGAGAAGAAGAAAAGAAGCAAAAATGAATAAAGGAAATTCGAACGGTCTCTTAATAGAGATCGCGCGACTTCCAAGGGACACAACTGCCCTTATGAATTTTTTATTCATTTCTTTCCCGCTCAATGGAAAAGCACTAATGGGCTTGGGCCTCCGCGCGATTTAATCGACTATCGGACTCAGCCCACGCAATTGCAAACAGGTCCGCCTGGGCAGTGACGTGGCAAAATCGCCCAGTCACAGCTGAAAACCGAACCCGTCATAACATTCGAACCAAGAAAGCATTTTTGGTCGCGGCAAAAATCATTCGAAGCATATTACTCGTGAATTAGATGACGTCAACGTACTCTTTTTCCTTTTTATGGTTTTTGTCCCAATTGGGTTTTTCCGTACCAAGGTTTTAATGAGGCGGCACGAATCTACATTCAGCATGCACCTAGGCACTAAGATCCGATTGAAGTGATGTATTTTACTAATGATTCTCAAGCTCGTCCTCTATTCATGAAGCTCGCCGAGATCAAACTACATTTGACCTGCCGAGCTGGCGGGGGGACTTATTGTTAGAGGAGAAATTAGCACATTTCCCTGAGCCCGTCATCATTAGTAAAGTACAAAGCCCAATCCGATTTTAGGCCTAACATCTTCAAGAAAAAGGCAAGACTTGAAGAGAAAGGCACAATCCATGGAGAAATGTAAATAAATCTTCATGCCGACTTAAAGAATGGAGAAAGATCCAAAAACAAGAGGGAATTTTCCATATCGCAAAAGAGGAAGTTTTCCATCTCGCCTGAAGGAGAATATTCATCATTCGGCCGACTTATCAACCTATATATTGAAGACCCCCCATTGGGGAGAGGGATCCGAAATCATCTAGAATCACTAGGCTTTCACATTAGCTTTTACTCTATCCTCTTGTTCATCACCATAATCTCGCTAGGCTTGTTAGCGAGATTGCTCTCTTGTAACTTCTTGATAATCTAAGAGTCGAATTAAGCATTCCAGTTTCCTAAACTCACATCTTAGATAGCCCGTCTTGACGAGTGCTATCTCGGATTCAACATATACTTTCCTCACAATGTCATTTGTCATTTCCTTATTATATCCATCTAAACATATATAACTTTAAATTAAAAAGAAAAAACGAGAAGGCCATGCCTGCCATGCTTACAAACATGTACAACCGTGTAGATGCTCTGTCAATTCGTTGACGCATATGGTAAGCCACTGCTAGATTATGGTTCCTTGTCCTTCAACTTTTGTCAGATCATCCAACACATAATATATAAATATATATAATTAACGGTTAAGACGAAGGTGTTCAATGGGAAAAAAAAGTGTATCATAACGGAAGAAAATATGATTTTACTGAAATCCGAAAAAGTTTGTACGTGTATTTTTTATAAAATTACTAGCTCAATATAGAATTCTTTGAATGTATTATGGAGTGGATAAACATTCATAAAGACACTTTGTTTATTTAAGAACTCTTTATTTAACGATTTTATCCACCTTTCGGAAAGCAAAATCATATTCTACACTCTGCATTAGGAACGCAAGATTATACTATAGGCTGCGTACAGTAAGCATGTTATTATAATACTACGTACATTTTGTTAACCATGTGGGATGACAGAGATTATCAGATTTAATTTACTCAGCGCAGGAGGCAAGATGTTATTAAATTCATTGATTACCGATGCAAAAATATTTCTTACGAAGACCTTGGTGGAATGCATGTGTTCTTCAAATTTGTCATCTTCTTTTTTGTTGTTGTTAAAAGGCCTTCTTCTTTGTCTTCTTTCAAGCTAAAAATACTCGTTATTAAATCAATGCGTGGAAATAATGTGTTAATTTATAAGTCTCGATAACTGAAAATTGCTAAAAACCTAAAGGAAAACAAACAAAAGACCATAAGAGCATCTCCATTGGTCATTTTATTGGAGCGTCTTTAAATTTTTAAGAATAAAATAAATGAAGGCTGCAAATGGTAGTGCATAAGAGGAATATATGGAATAATAGGAAAATTGATTAGTGAAAAAGAATTTAGAGGAATAAGGGCAGTTACAAAATTTTGTTAACATTTATGGAGATGACCAAATTCCAGCGTAATAAGTGAATTTTCCACAAAAATGTGGGACCTATCTATTCCACAAAAGAATTAAAAAAAGGTAAATGGCGTGTTTCTAATGGAATCTACATAACTAATAAGCCTTTAACAATATCCACCTTTGACACGTGACACTTTTTTTTTTTTTTTTTCGCCTAACACCAAAACGACGTCGTTTTGGGCTTTATTTTTTTTTTTTTTTCGTCTTACACCAAAACGACGTCGTTTTGCGCTTTATCTTTTTTTTTCGTCTTACACCAAAACGACGTCGTTTTCGTATTAAAAAAAAAAAAAAAAAAATCTAAATCAAAATTATGTGTAATGCTGTTCGTTTTGATGGGCTTGATTATTTATCGGACCTCTTCGTTTCCATGGTAGCTTTAAATGGGCTTACTGGCTAATTAGCTCATTTCATTTCCTTTTAAAAAGGATTGCAATTATTATTATCTATGAGTCTGTAGGATAATAATCAATCTATAATGATTGTTAGTATAAGGAAAATTAGAAGAACTCAACTCCAGTCGATAAATTATTGTATAAAAGAACAAAAAACATATGAAACTATTCACTATGAGTCTATATAAGATTTCACGTAAATAACAACTAAATTTTAAAACTATATGAAAAAAAAACAAAATGCAAAACTTACAGAATCTAATATATTCGAGTAAAAAACAAATGATATATTCGAATCTAATGTTCTGAATAATTAAATTAAAAATATTTGGTTTAATAAACCCGCGCATTGCGTGGGTTCTCTCCTAGTATAGCATAATTAGCGATTACGCTGAGATTTGTTACGCTATAACTACAATCATTTGCAGCCGAAAAATAAAAATTAGGGTATCTTTAAAATGAACGAAGTGTCTCTAGGAAGACACTTTAGACCTTTAAAAATGAAGGTGTGTCTAACTTTAACATTAAATTTAATGGGTTTAGGGATGAGGATGGTCTAACAATTGACTATGTAGCCAATCAGTCTCAATAATCTCACCCTAATTTAATACACTAGAAATCCATTTAGCAATATTAATTGCACATTCTTTACAAAAAGGATTCCCTCATAGTATATGATCTTTTACATTTTTTTTCTTATTTCACAATACATGATATTTTAGATTTTTATAGTTACTTTTTGCTAATTAATGCTAACGTACATATTGTTAACTTCAAAAATATGAATGAAATTTATTTGAATACTTGAATTATGATTGGATAAAATCTATTAAAAATTAGTTGGGCTTGAAAATATAATTTACACATTAAATATTTTTTAATTTGTGTGAAAACTTTCAAACATGTTATATTGTGGAATAGAGGGAGTATATTGGATAAGGAAATAAATTTTGTTGTGGGATAGACCAATACAAACCAACGTTCAGAATGTATATTAATTAGTGGGACCTAGCTGGACGTCTAGCGAATTTAATCAAAGATTACAGGTAGATTAGGTTTCAGAATGTGTATATAGATTTGTAATAATTTAAAGCAAACCTAATCTTAAATTTAAAGTTCTTCTTATCTTCACGACCTAAACTGATCATTAGATCATGTTACCACCACCTCTTTTCTCTCCCGTGGTTTACCATTTTTGGTTCCCTTTTTATTAATAATGGGTGTTCCGATAGCCAGTCGGGGGTCATCAGGAGAGTGAATTTTGGGACCGCTTCAGAGTCACAAGTCACAAATGTTAATCTTATTTCTATCTGTTGTTTTTTCCAAAATCTAAAAAGACTTTACTTCACACACACACAAAAAATGGTTAATTTTTGTTCACTACTGAACTCTGAAGCCGTCGCAAAATTCATTCTCCTGATGACCCCCGACTGGCCAATCCTCATCATTGGAATCACTTGCTTTAATAAAAAATTGAAGTTAAACAAAACCACAACCACTGGAAAAAATAATAAATGGAATACTAACTTTTTTTATACGTTGTATTTTTCTACTTATACCTTGAAAAAAACGTGAGACGAGTTTAATAAACCAAAAAAATAATAATAATGTATTCAGCATCAATAAAAATCTGTTAAACTGTAGTAAAAGATAAAGAGAGCCAATAATTGTTGAATAAGAAAGAAAGAAGAAGAGAGCCTATTGTATTAGTCCCTCCTCGGCTATAAATTCACCTTCATTTTTTCTTCCTCTTTCAACTCAAAACTCAAACTCCAACTTTCTACGTCTAAGGCACATAATAAATGGAGAATCAAAGCCTCAAAGATCTCTCACAGATCCTCCCTCGTGTCCTTGTAGTCTCTAGACGCACCCTTCGCAAGAACAAATTCGTTGATTTCGTCGGTAATAGTATCTTTCTCTTATAGAGTCTTATACTTTTTGTTATTACATTTTCTCTTATATTTTTTGGTGGCCTTACGTAAGATTTATTTTATTTTATCTTTTTGGTCTTAGGTGAGTACCATCTTGATCTTATAGTCGAGTATGGCGCTGTACCGGTGATTGTACCACGAGTGGCTGGCGTTCACAAATTGTTAGAGAGTTTCAAGCCCATCCATGGGGTTCTTCTTTGTGAAGGAGAAGACATTGACCCTTCTTTATACGAGTCAGAAATATCGTCCCTTTCACCTGAAGAACTCGACGAGATCCGGAAGACACATGCGAGTGATGCAACTATCGACAAGGAAAAAGACTCTATTGAGTTTGCACTCGCAAAGCTGTGCCTTGAACAAAGCATTCCTTACTTGGGGATTTGTAGAGGATCACAGGTAATGCGGCACCTCCGATCTTAACTCCTTGAATAAAAAGAAAATAATATTGTATTTTTAATAACCACATAAAATAATATTGTATTTTAACTTCTCACATAAGAAGTTAGATAGGATCCAAGAGAATATATAATGGATATGGTTTTTGTATTGGAAACTCATAAAACTTAACATATGGTGCTTTTTTTTGGGGTAAAACCTGAATATTAAGAAAATATGATGAAACTTGTAGGTTTTGAATGTTGCTTGTGGTGGGAGTCTATATCAAGATTTGGAGAAAGAGGTGACAAGTAATCTCCCTGAGGAACGTAGAAGAAAGCATATGGATTATGATAACTATGATGGTCATAGACATGAGGTTAAGATAGTAGATAAGAGTCCTTTGCATAAGTGGTTCAAAGATTCATTGGATGAAGAGAAGATGGAGATCTTGGTTAACAGTTATCACCACCAAGGGGTTAAGAGATTGGCGCAGAGGTTCGAGCCAATGGCTTTCTCTCCTGATGGATTGATCGAAGGGTTTTATGATCCTGACATGTATAATCCTAAAGAGGGAAAGTTCCTCATTGGTTTACAGTTCCATCCAGAGAGGATGAGAAAGAATGGTCTCGATGAATTTGATCTCCCTGGTTGTCCTGTTGCTTATCAGGTTTGGGGCTTTGATATAGAGATTTTTTTATGTTTCTTGATTATGTTCAAGTTCTTACATATGTGGTTTCTTATAAATAGGAATTTGTGAAGGCTGTGATTTCATATCAAAAGAAGCTGAATAGCTCATTGTCAGTTCCAAAGAAATTGGAACTCAATCAAGAAATGGAGAACAAAAGAAAGATACTTCTCAGGAGCTTCTCACTTGCAAGGTCTATGTACATTAGATCTTATTCGATGAAGAACCAACCAACAGAATCAGGACTCGAAGTTGGAGCTGAGTTTCTTGAGGTATATACATAACACCAAGCCTTCTTGTTTGGCCTTTTGGAGCATTAAGGGTTAATAGTTTAGGGGGGTATATATTATTTTTTTCCGGTTCGGTTCGGTTCGTTTCATATTTTTAAAAAAAAAATTATAAGTAAACATGAAATATCAATTATTATATGTATTATGTTGACTGAAGATTATGAGCTTTCAACTAAAACCTAGTTGACAATTAATCTAATGCTCACCTATTTTAGTTTTGAATCTAATTCACTGTGTTGTATTCTAACACATACTTATAGTATATACTGTATATTTTTTTATATAAAATTATAAATTTTAACTTTATTCAATGACTTCCAAAGTCAACGCATATGCGACTCCATGCATGAGTACCATGGCTTAACACATGTTTCTTTGGTTGACGTGTCTACAGTCAAATACAGCTCTCAGTGTGGACCAAGAGATGAACCTGATGGGAGCGACGATGAGGAACGGTACACAAAAGCTTAAGCTTGATGAAGAGAAGCAGAGGAAGGCGATGAACATAATGAAGGAGATGAACGCCGAGCGACTCTCTGAGCTCATTTCTTTCTATCAACTGATGGGGAAGATCTCTAGTAAAGTGTTGGAGAGAAAGCTTCATGCCTCCTCAGTCAACGACCTCAATATCACTTCTCAATGACGTCGCCAAAAAAAAAAACGATTATAATGATGAATATTAAAGTGTGTGTTTTAAATTATTATTTGGTGTTAAATGTTACTTTGTGCTTTGGAGAAGCATTGTATGATTTATGTTGATAGGCATACTGCTTGCCATGAAAGGTTTGTCAGATGTCTCGAATATTTGTTTGTGCTTATGTTTACGTTTACTGTGTATTTTCTCTAAATGAACTTGTAATTGTTAGCATTTTACAGTTACATTTACAAGTTCTTGGTTCGGTTTCATCAACTACCTAAGAATCCTTAGCACTTTTGTTGATACCACCGATGTTACTTGGTTGGTACGAAACTGAAAACTGCACAACCCTTTTCTTGGTTTACATTCAAGCATCTATATTGTTCAATTTTTTTTGGTTATTCTCTAACTACAATTGGATTTTCAAAAACTGGATCCACAATGGGTTCTGGAAATCATTCTTTTAAATTGAATATATTTTAACAAAAATAAACTGTTAGACATTTTAAACCAAAATAAATAGATATTTGAACAAGAACTCAAATTAACTTCTAGCCAGATTTGCGTTATTTCAAGTTTTAGTTCCTCTATTCAGACTTAAGCCTTGATTGGCAAATCAGCTAGAAGAGCATTAGGCTTAAGGAGCATAAGCAGGGTGAGTATTTAGAAGAGCATTAAGCTCTTGAAACTGCATGTTCTTAATTTATATGATTGGTAGAGCTGTGAGCCTTTTTATTATTTTTTTTGTGAAATTATTTAATATGTATATTGATATTTATTTTAATACATCATATATATTTTCATTAATAACATAAGATTGTTTTTTATTTTTTAAAAAATATTTAGTAACTATTTCATATTTAAATTATATTTATTTAATTTTTATGTCATTAAATATTTATTTTATGAATAATACATTATTGTTAATGTTAATTTACGAAATTATAAAATTGTAAATTTGATATAAATATAGTTTCATTTTTTTACCAAAATAAATAAATTAAATATAATTTATTATAATTTATTTAAGATTTTTTAAATATTTTTGAGCTCAATGCTTTGGAAATGCTCTCTTTCAGAGCAGGGAGGGAAGAGCAGTTTGGGAGCAGTAGCAGTTTCTAAATGCTCTCCTAAATGCTCTTTTAAAAAAAGTTGATTGGATGAAAAAGAGCTTAATGCTCTTCTAAAAGCTCTACCAATCAAGGCCTTAACCATCAATCAACAAAAACTATATATGGAAGAATAGGGTTTAAGACATTTTCTCTTATTTCAGTTTCATTGGTAAACTGATCTGCTTAGATTTGAACCATGCATGGATATTAACTTAATCTAGAACTGGAAAGAAAATTATCCAAATTCCAGTGTGTTTTGTAAAATTCTTTACGTTTTTGCTCATCTCCTTATATTGGGAAACCAAGTTTACTCATACATTCATGAGAAATTTTATTGGCTTCATTTTCTTATATGTGTTTCAATTTTGGTTTTTTTTACTACTTGGTTTAGTTGTAATAAAATATTCTTATCATCAAAATTTTTTTTGGCCACACATCATAAGTATATTATATTTTTTTCATAAAATTTTGTTATTATAATATTGAATTATTAGTAACTATTAGTGAATTATTATTTTACTTATATTTTATTTATGTTTATTTTCTTACCGTTTGGTTTAGTAGTAAGAATATATACTTATCATGATTTTGTTTTGTGATCAACACTAGTCATGAATATATTATATTCAATCTTAAATTTTTGTCGTTTCAATACTAAATTATTTTCTTACTTATATTTTACTTATGTTTTGCTTATGTTTTGCTTAGTTTGTTTTTCTTAAAGAAATAATATAAAGATTAAATAATGTAAACATAAATTATATTTAGAAAAAAGCCGTTGTAAAAACTATAAAATATTGAAATTTGGTTATGTACAACGTCATTGACATAAATAAATTATGTAAGATCAAAAGCATGAAAACTGGTGATTGAGTTTGGAAGCAAACCATTTATTGATTACCTAGACAAAGTGCAATGAAGTGGTTAACAACAAAACAAAGTCCAATGGGGGTGGTGAGATCGTGGTCCGTGGACTTACATAGTTTCGGGCTACACACGAGTACCACGCAAATAGGCTCTGGTCGTTTCACTGATGAAGGTTTCGGAAAAGCTAGCTATTTCTGCAACCTAGAAATTGTTCGAGAACAACATCACTACTTTCGACTCGGTTTGGTGTGTGCTTGTCGCTCGTTCGCTTTCGTTTAATGCTGTTGTAATCAATTATTTTCTTATAGTTTTTTGGTCTTTCTGCCTTCTTGTTATCAAAAACTGCAAAAATGGTATAAAATCTTTATATTTTACAAAAAAAAAAAAACATCACTTTCGACCAGAGCAACCAACCACTGATAAATTCTACCACATCAAAAAGTCGCTTCCCTAGCATTGAGATGGTTTTTATTTTATTTGAATTTCATCATTTTTCTTATCATTTAGTTTCTTTCCATATTTTTACTACTTAATCCTCATTAGTTGTAAGAAAATATATGTTTATAATGAGTATCATATTTTACATAAAATAACGTCATGTTTGTTTTGCATCCGATCTAAATGCAAATATTCAAATATTATTTGTTTGGACAAGTCTTTTACGAACTAAACGAAAGAAAAACAAAGTTAAATGTATCCGCGAAACCAATATTTGATGGTCTAATAATTCTATAAAGTATTCAGAATGCCAATTCAATCCTATTGGAGAAAGTTGATTCACACCATAACAACGGTATTATCAACCGTTACTTGTTGAACATCATAAGAAATAAGGAGTTGACTGCCTGAATATTTCGAAGTCTATCAAACAAAAGAAGATAATCAGGGACCAACCCGAAGATGACGAATGATTTGATGTGATAAAGGAATGGAAAACGCATGATTAACAAAAATCACGTCTAGAAAATGTTCTGAGTAATGTACCAAACACAAATTGTGTTCCGTTAATCTTCTTCATTGTGAACCTTAGATAGACCTCAGAAACTACCTTGGAAACTTTGCAAAACGCCTAAATGTTATGTTACATAATATTCACAATTTTCTCCTTTCAGATAGAGAAATTTTCACAATCGTAAAAGACAAGTTTTCAGTTTTTAGCTTAGAGCAAAAAAAAAAGACAAAGAACAAAAAGTCTTTCAAAGTAAACTAATACTGACAACCCAAGTCAACATTTCTATCACTATCCCCACAAGACTTAGTCATCAGGCCGTTCATCTCTATGCTTATCTCTCTATCTCTTTGTTTAAATCACTTCCTCTGCTTTTCTCAACACAAACCAAACCCCAAAAAGACACACTGCTCAAAGTTCATAGATCTCAAACAAATCATGTACTACCTCTCCACTTCCTGTCTGGTATTTTTCTTCCTTCTCTCCTTATTCCACTATATTCCTTGTGATTCAAGTAAAGTTGGATGGAACAACACCACCGGTCACAAATCTTGCGATCATCAATCGATAAGGTTTCACTGCAAGAAAAACACCACCTCTTTATCCATCTCAGATCAAGAGTTCAATGTTCTACAAATAAATCAAACATCTAACACTCTTAGACTTGCAAGAACAGACCATCCAAAGTCGTTTTGCTCCTCATGATTCACAAACACAACCTTACCTCCAGATATTTTCGAACTTTCACCGACCTACAAGAGTGTCACCGTATTCTACGACTGCAACCCTTTTCGTCTCCATTTTACGAGGTATAAATGTCCATTGTCCAAATATAGGATTTATCTCAGTGTCTGAAAACCCTAATCAATATTACGATTTCTGCCTGTCCAGTTTCATCGTGAACGTTCCTACGAGTTTTGTTACAAACGAGAAAGAGTTGAATATGATCGATTTGGAAAGAGTTTTAAGAAATGGGTTTGAGGTGAAAATGAAGATCGATGAGAACGAAATATGTGGCTTCAACGAAATCTTGCCATTTGGAGTTACTTGCGGTCCACTCCATCCACCACCAACTCCAACTGGTAAGTTTCTTATGCATCACTATCATTTCATATCAATTTTATACATCTGATAAGCCTAAGATATGGAGTAATGGCTCATAGAAATGAACTCAAGATCTTTATTACAAACTGCTTATATCATGAATTCATGATTCATGCACCATATAATGTTCCCATAAATTTCTCTAAATAGACAGTTTCACAATGGTAAGAAAAATCTTTCAAAGTTTCAGCTTCAAGAAAAGAGAAAATAAAGAATTACAAAGTATCTTTCAAAGTAAACTAATAGTGACACACCAAGTCTCCGCTTCTGTCACTATCCCACTTGACTTGGTCATCAGTCTCTTCTCCTTCTCCACCTCATCTTTATGCTTATCTCTCTCTCTGCTCTTCCTAACACAAAACAAAACCAAATAGATCTGAATCAAATCATGTACAATCTCCCCACTTCTTGTCTGGTCTTTTTGCTCCTCTTCTCCTTATTCCACCATCTTTCTTCTGCTTCAAGTAAACAAGAACATGGATGGTGTGAGACTCTGTTCCAATGTGGCAACGTCACCGTTGGTTTCCCTTTCTCCGGAGGGAATCGTCCCCAGTTTTGCGGTCATCCATTGCTACAGCTTCACTGCTTTAAAGATCAAACCTCTATAATCATCTCAAACCATCTATACCTTGTTCTTGATATAGATCAAGCATCTAACACTCTTAGACTCTCCAGAGCAGAGCTTATAGGTTCTTTTTGCCTCGCTACATTCACTGCCACAACTTTACCTCCAGAAATCTTCGAGCTTTCGCCAAACTACAAGAACCTCACTGTTTTCTACGTCTGCGACCCTATGCTTCATTACCATTCGAGCTATAAATGTCCTGGTAGAGGTCCTGTCTCAATGTCTGAAAACCACGATTATCATAGTTCCTGCGATGACAGTTTCATGATTAACGTTCCAAAGAGCTTCGTTCCAGAAGAGAAAGAGTTAAATAGAAGCAAGTTGGAGAGTGTTCTAAGTAAAGGCTTTGAGGTGATAGTGAAGATCGATAAGAAAGCTTGTCAAGAATGTTCATCTTCTCACGGAATCTGTGGCTTTGAAAATACCACACAGGTTTGCTGCAACGAATCCTCATCATCAGAATGCAAGAAACTTACCTACATTCGGATTTAGAATTTAAAATTTATACATTGAGTTCGTTTCTATTTTTATTTGAGTTTCAACATTTTTCTTATCATTTAGTTTCTTTCCATATTCTTATTACTTAATCCTCATTAGTTGTAATAGTTAATTATCCGTTAATGATTGGCCTTGTAATTGTCTTTTTAGACGATTACAAAAAAATGTAAGAAATATATGTTTATAATGACTATAATATTTTATATAAAAAAATTATACTGATTTTAGTAAATTTATGTAAAGTACTGTAAATTATACTGAAATATATTGTCATGTTTGTTTTTGCATTCAATCTAGATGCAAATATTCTTTTATTATCTGTTTGGACAAGTCTAATATATATGACCCAAAAAGGAACAGAAAAAAAGAGAGTTATATGTAACCGCGAACCAAAATATTGATGGTCTAATAATTCTAAAAAAAATTCTGAATCACTGATTCAATCCTATCTGAGAAAGTTGATCCGCACCTTAAAAACGGTATTATCAACCGTTACTTGTTGGCTGTTGCACATCATAAAAAATTAGGAGTTGACTGCCTGCTGGATCTTTCGAAGTCTATCAAAATAAAGAAGATAATCTTCTGCATTGTGAACCCGAGATAGACCTCAGAAACTACCTTGGAAACTTTGCAAAACGCCTACATGTCATGTTACATAATATTCTCGCAATTTTCCTTTCAGATAGAGAAATTTTCACAATCGTAAAACAGAAGTTTTGAGGTTTTAGCTTTGAGCAAAAAAAACAAAGAACAAAAAGTCTTTCAAAGTAAACTAATACTGACAACCCAAGTCAACATCTCTATCACTATCCCCACTTGACCTAGTCATCAGGCTCTTCATCTCTATGCTTATCTCTCTATATCTCTTTGTTTGAATCACTTCCTCTGCTTTTCTCAACACAAACCAAAACCAAAAAGACACACTGTTGTCTGTTCGTAGCTCATAGATCTCAATCAAGTCATGTACTACCTCTCCACTTCTTGTCTGGTCTTTTCCTTCCTCTTCTCCTTATTACACCTTATTCCTTGTAATTCAAGTAAACTTGGATGGAACATCAGCACCACTTTCCCCTTATGGGGAGGGACTCATCACAAATCTTGCGATCCTCCATCGCTAGGGTTTCACTGCAACAAAAGCGTCACCTATTTATCCATCTCAGATCAAGAGTTCAAAGTTCTACATATAAATCAAACATCTAACACTCTTACACTTGCAAGAACAGATCATCTTGGCTCCTTTTGCTCCTCTAGATTCTCCAACACAACCTTACCTCCAGATTTTTTCAAGCTTTCCCCAATCTACAAGACCTTCACGGTATTTCACAACTGCAATAACTTTCGTCTCGACCTTTCGTCACGATATATATGTCCAAAGATAGGATTTATCTCAGTGTCTGAAAACCCTTACCGCTATATCGATTTCTGCCTGTCAAGTTTCACCGTGAATGTTCCTACGAGTTTCCTTTCAAAAGAGAAGGATTTGAATATGACCGATTTGGAAAGAGTTTTAAGAAATGGGTTTGAGGTGAAAATGAAGATCGATAAGAACGAAATCTGTGGCTTCAACGAAATCTTGCCATTTGGAGTTACTTGCGGTCCACTCCCTCCACCAGCAACTCCAACTGGTAAGTTTCTTATGCATCACTTTCATTTTCTTATGCATCACTATCATTTCATATCAATTTTATACATCTAACAATCCTAAGATATGGAGTAATGAACTCAAGATCTTTATTACAAAATGCATATATCATGAATTCATGTTTCATGCACCATATTAATGTTCCCAAAATTTTCTTTGAAGTAGAGAGTTTAACAATGGTCAGAAAAGTCTTTCAAAGTTTCAGTTTCAAGAAAAGAGAAAATATAAAATTACAAAGTATCTTTCAAAGTAAACTAATAGTGACACACCAAGTCTCCGCTTCTGTCACTATCCCACTTGACTTGGTCATTAGTCTCTTCACCTTCTCTACCTCATCTTTATGCTTCTCTCTCTCTCTCTCTCTCTCTCTCTCTCTCTCTCTCTGCTCTTCCTAACACAAAACAAAACCAAATAGATCTGAATCAAATCATGTACAGTCTCCCCACTTCTTGTCTGGTCTTGTTCCTCCTCTTCTTCCCCTTTTTCCACAATCTTTCTTCTGCTTCAAGTAAACAAGAACTTAGACGGTGTAAGACTCTGTTCCAATGTGGCAACATCGCCGTTGGTTCCCCTTCTTTGGAGGGAATCGTCCCCAGTTTTGCGGTCATCCATTGCTACAGCTTCACTGCTTTAAAGATAAGACCTCTATAATCATCTCAAACCATCTATACCTTGTTATTGATATAGATCAAACATCAAACACTCTTAGACTCTCCAGAGCAGAGCTTGTAGGTTCTTTTTGCAACGCTACATTCACAGCCACAACTTTACCTCCCGAGATCTTTGAGCTTTCGTCAAACTACAAGAACCTCACTGTTTTCTCCCTCTGCAACCCTAAGCTTAATTACCATTCGAGCTATAAATGTCCTGGTAGAGGTCTTGTCTCAGTGTCTGAAAACCACGATTATCATAGTTCCTGCGATGACAGTTTCATGATTAACGTTCCAAAGAGCTTCGTTCCAGAAGAAAAAGAGTTGAATGTAAGCAAGTTGGAGAGTGTTCTAAGTACAGGCTTTGACGTGATGGTGAAGATCGATAAGAAAGCTTGTCAAGAATGTTCATCTTCTCATGGAATCTGCGGCTTTGAAAATACCACACAGGTTTGCTGCAACGAATCCTCATCATCAGAATGCAATAAACTCCATCTCCCAGATGGTAAGATTCTTTTACATCATCATCGTTTCATAGCCTCCTTTACCAATTTTTAACTGAAGTTGCAGTTAAAACAAGCCTAGAATCATAGTCACACATAGCTTACTAATGAGCTGTGACGTCACGAGACATAAAACTTAACTGCTTTGAAATCTTCTTCACTCTCAAATTGGCATTAACTTAAGCATTGGGTCACTCTATTTCATTTATTGCATTTTCTTCTTCTACATTAGGCAGTTTTCTTAGTAAATGGTCTTTTGATTTTTGCCTTGTTCCACACTCCATTTCTCTGAAAAAACAAATGGCACAAAGACGGAAAGCGACTTTACTCTAGTCAAATCTTGTAGAAGCAGAACATAGATTCGGAGTCCGGTTTTGTTTTTCCATTAGGGCCTTCTTAGAAATTTCCAAGCACCTGACTTTGAAGTCGTCGTTCAGTAAAAAACAAAATAAAGAAGAATCCAACTTTGTATAGTCGAAGGTGGGGACTAGTACTATATTCTACAAACAACAAAGAAAAACAACTCGTTTTTAAAAATCACTATTATCGTTTACCAATATCTATTCAAAGGTCTTCGTTTGTAAGCCACCTAATTCCAAAGAAACTTCGATTAAGAAGAATATAAATCAAGAAAGAAACATTAAACAAACAATAAAGTCCAGGTTGGTCAAAAACACCCAACATAGGTTTCTTTAGTCTCAACTCTTACAAAACCAAGAGATTCACCAATCTCTTACATCTCCTCTTCCTTGTTCTTCTTCTTCTTCTTCACCATTTTCCTCTTGACCTCCAACAAAATGATCAATCTGTTTCTACCCCCAACAAAACTTATGTTCTACGGAATCATATGGATGATTTTTTTGATCCCATCTTTTGTTTTCTCAGCTAGTGATCTTTATACACGCTGTAGACCACCGTTCAGCTGCGGCAATCAGAGCGAGCTCTTCTACCCTTTCTGGATATCTGGCAGACAAGGCTGTGGCCACCCGGACTTCAAGCTTGAATGCAAGGACAGTGTTGCGGAGGTTAGCATCTCGGGCGTGAAGTACAGAATCCTAGAGGTGAAATATGACTCCAGTACTATAAGACTTGCCAGATCGGAATATAGCGGTGGTCTTTGTCCGCAAGATCCTTTATATGCGACATTCGACGAAACTGTCCTTCAATTTGCTCCTAACACAGAGCTGCTAACGATTTATCACGACTGCAGCCGAGACTTTACACGACATGTTTCTACTTACGTTGGAGAGCTTACTTGTGATGGCGATGATGGTGATGAAAGAAGAAGCTACTATGTGACAAGAAACATCTCATCCTCTCTACTTAACGGGATTAGAGAGTCTTTAAACGAGATCGGGTTATCTTGCAATAACGTCAGTGTTCCTGCATCTGGGCCTTCGCTGACCAGATTGCAGAATGATCAGACTCGAGATAATCTGCAGAAGGCTCTTGCGTATGGTTTTGAGCTTGGACTTAACCAAGAATGTCTAAAGTGCATAGAAGCTAACGGTGCTTGTGGATATAATCAGAGTAAATTCGACTGCTATAACATAGAAGTGACACAACAAAACAGTCCTAGAAAGAACAAGGGTAATATTTCTTTCCTACTTGTTCTAAATTTCCTATTGTTCTTCCACAACAACGACTGTTAATCAATTCCCTAGATCTCCTATTGAGTTTCAACTATTTTCCGATTCCAATAAGATTCAAAGTTCTGTATATAGTTCGAACTGACCTTTTCTCTGGTGCCATTCCATTGATGCAGGTCTCTCTGCTGGTATAATCGCAGGTCCTTACTCTTATCCTGTTTCTTTCACGACACCGATTTGATTACCATATAAGCAAAAAACCATAGTCTTACTTTGTTTTCTTCTCTAGGCATTGTGGCTGCTTCTGGAGCACTAGTGGCCATACTCATAGCAGGAGCTTTGTTCTGTATCATCCGCCGGAGAAGGAAGACGAAGGCATCATCTCAATACACAACAAGCAAAGACTTGCCAATAACCTCTTACTCAACAAGCAAAGCAACATCAAGCTACAATCCAACTTCCACAACAATCTCCACCAGCAGCAACCACTCTCTCGTCCCATCAATCTCCAACCTCGGAAGCACCTACATCGGCGTTCAAGTCTTCAGATACGAAGAGCTCGAGGAAGCCACCGAGAATTTCTCTAGAGAGCTCGGCGACGGCGGCTTCGGTACCGTCTACTACGGCGTGTTGAAAGACGGACGAGCCGTGGCGGTGAAACGGCTCTACGAGAGGTCGCTGAAACGCGTCGAGCAGTTCAAGAACGAGATCGAGATCTTGAAGTCGCTGAAACATCCGAACCTCGTGATTCTCTACGGATGCACGTCGAGACACAGCAGAGAGCTTTTGCTCGTCTACGAATATATCTCAAACGGAACCCTCGCCGAGCATCTTCACGGCGATCGCGCTGAGTCTCGTCCTCTTTGTTGGACTGTTCGTCTCAACGTCGCGATCGAAACCGCAAGCGCTTTATCCTACCTCCACAAATCAGGTAAGCAAACATTGAATCTCAATTTGGGGGAAATCGGAGAATTTCGTTTGAATTGATTCGAAATTGGAGTGTTGTAGGGATCATACATAGGGATGTGAAGACGACGAACATTCTTCTAGACGAGAATTCGACGGTGAAAGTAGCTGATTTCGGTCTCTCACGGCTGTTTCCGATGGATCAAACTCACGTCTCCACGGCGCCGCAAGGCACTCCGGGATACGTAGATCCGGAGTATTACCAGTGTTACCAACTAAACGAGAAGAGCGACGTGTACAGCTTCGGAGTCGTGCTCGCCGAGCTAATCTCGTCAAAAGAAGCCGTCGACATCACCAGGCACCGCCACGATATCAACTTATCGAACATGGCGGTCTCCAAAATCCAGAACGACGCGCTTCACGAGCTCGTCGATCCGAGTCTGGGATTCGACAAGGATCCGGAAGTGAGGAGGAGGATGATGTCGGTGGCGGAGCTCGCGTTCCGGTGTCTGCAACAGGAGAGGGAAGTCCGGCCGGCGATGGACGAGATCGTGGAGATTCTGAGAGGGATTAAGGAGGAGATTCGCGATTCGTCGGCGCCGGATGTGGTGGATATTGAAGGAAGCAGTGGAGATGACGTTGGGTTGCTGAGGCATAGTGTTCCTCCGCCGGTTTCGCCGGAGACTGATAAGTGGACGAGTAGTTCCGATACGGCGGCGAGTTCATATTGAGATTATCATGTAATTAGTCTATAGCAACCTTCTAGAAGTTTTTAATCAACAAAATAATATTCTAGCTGCCACGTGTAACCTATCTTCTTCAAGAATAGTGCTGGTCATAGTCATCTGATTCTTTTACCTTCCACTACGAGACTCACGTACACAGACGAAGCAAAGAATCAGTGAACAAAACTGTAAGCGATCCTGATGAACAAGAGCGAGAGAGATAAAGAAGAAAGCATAATCGATGTCGTCTCTGCAGAAATTCAAGCTTCTAGCTACTCAATGCAGCACAGTCGCGGAGAGTCCAACGCGTAGCCCAGTCATCCACCTCCGCCGTCGGAAAACGCTGCGTTTGCTACTCACCCGATCACCGGATCGGTGGCGATTACCGTATCATCATGATTCTCCTGAGATCCAAAATAACGCCGATGAAGCAACGGGATCCAGAACCGTTTCTGTGAAGAAAAATAAGATCCGATCTCGGAGTAAGCTAAGGGAGCTGTTTGTCTCTTCGCCTCCGGTGGAAGAAAGCCAACTTGGCGGCGTCGGCGATGCGGAAAAGGAGATGGAGAGGGATATATCGGTTCACGGCGTTAAGACTAACGGAGGGATTGGAGAAGAGTTAACAGCTAGACGTATGGGCTTTAACGGCTCGATTAGGCCCATGTTATCGGGTACACTTCGATGTAGATTACTTCGAAGAGCTTGGCGTCCTGTTCTTGTAACTATCCCTGAAACAATAAGTGAATAAACAAAACAAACTCTAAATTATTTTAACCGATTGTTTAACATTCAATCCATACGCAACTTTTGTTTTTTTCCCTCAAATTCGCTGTGAAAATTTTATTTCTTGCTCTAGTTAGTATGTCTAACTCAAGTTTTTATGGGCCTATTGATGGGGATCATGGTCCTTTCACTCCTTTGATTGCAATACCATAATGATGATTATGCATTCTCACATGATTATGTAGTAGTCATCACAACCTAAGGTTTATCGACGCATCCGAGCTTGTTGGATTCTCATTTATCTTCCCTATTTTATTGCTTTCAAGCTTTGTTGTTTTAATCAAAGAGTTCTATGATCTATCTCCATCTCTATGTATTCCAACGGTTTAATTGAGAATGAAATGTTTGAACAAAAAAAAAGACCATAATATTGTAGCAAAACATAACATAGTTTCTATATTGGAAAAATGATATTTAAATCTTGAACTTTCAAAATTTGGCCACTTTAATCACGAACTTTTGCGTGGACTAATTATATGACAAATTTATGTTGACTTTAATTCTATATCTCAAACTTTTGTTGACTCGGCCAAATTAATTTAGGACGTTAAGTTGTCTAACAGACCAAATTAACATCGTTAAATCCATCTTACAAACATCTTAGATCCAAATTAAATCGTTCAATTTCCAAAGGAAGGATGGTAATTGTGTGGATATGAACACGCTTCCAAAACGAGAAATCGGAAGGGAAATGAGAATTTGATTTGTTAAGGCACAATCAGATGAGAGGAGAGATCGAGAAGAATCAATTTGGGAATTCTGAAAGAGAGAAATCGATTTTAAAATTTAAGGTTTGAGAGTGTTTTGATTTGCGGGTTTTCTGAGTTTAAAGAACGACGTCGTTTTACTTAAAAGAGGTTTATATGATGGATTTAACAATGTTAATTTGGTCTGTTAGGCAACTTAATTTTGGCATTAATTTGGCCGAGTCAACAAAAATTTGGAATTTAAAACTAAAGTCAATTTGTCATGTAATTAGTTTACGCGAAAGTTAGTGATTAAAGTAGGCCTGAGCATAGAGCTGTCAATCGGGTCAGCCCCCGTCCGCCTGGACCTGCCCATTGGACCTGCCCATTACTTGCTCAAAACCCGCGACTTGCCCCTTACCTGCCTTGTTCAAACCAAGGCAGATAACAAGTCGGAAATTTTGAATACTTGCAAATAAGGGGCAAGTATCAAGGCACAGTTTTAATCCCGATACTTGCCCCATTAAAATACTAAACATGTTTTCCTTTAATGGATCATAACTCATTCCTTATATCGTTCTTGCTCTTTGTCTCTTTTATTTCACCCATTTCTTGAAGTTTTTAGCAAGTTTTTTAGCTTAACTGCTAGTAATCAAAGCTTATTTCGTGTTTTGTGAAGTTGAATTGAAAAGGGAATACTTGAAAACTTGGATAATATGCTTGAATTTTAAGACACTTTTGCTTCAATTGAATTTGTTGCTTCGCCTTGTTGGATTTGGAGGGAGCAAATACTTGTTATTGGCAAGTTACAAGGCAAGGCAAGGCGGGACAAGTAGCTTGCAAGTCGGCCAAATTCGAGCAAGTACCCGTGACCTCAAGTACTTGTCAAGTACAAGGCAAGTCACAAGTCGCAATTTGTAAATTTTGAGCGGGGCAAAGCGGGTCATAAGACATCCCAAAACTGCAAGTACTTTCCCCGTACCCAGCCCTAGATTAAACTGGTCAAATTTTGAAAGTTCATGATTTTAATGTCATTTTTCCTTTCTATATTTCGCAAAAACTAAGAATTTGTACATATTAAAACATACAAAACTTCTAATTTCTGACTCAAGAGAAGTTATTAATTATTTATTCAAGACATAAATCTATTTGGCAAAAAAAAGGAAGAATATTCAACCTCTTCATTTATGATTTTACTAAAATCACATTCAAGATCTCTCACTTCATAAGTCTTAACTGTAAATCCATCTAAAATCCCCAACTTATTTTCTTTCAGTTATAAGAAAATCTATAAATGTCACGTTGTTTTTTGATAGACCAAATAAAAATAAGTAAATCGATGCATGGCCAATCTTCATCCACCTAATATTATTTGCTGGTTTTGACTTTTTGAGCTTTGACAAAGGGATATTCCCAATTCATTCTGCCATTTCTGCCACCACCAACACGCGCCGCCTCTGACCTCTCACGCGCCTCTGTGCGATTCCAAAACCTGTATCGATTTCTTCCTCTCGTGTCCTCTTCCCTCCTCAATTCCCCGTTCCTTCTCCTCTCTGTTCTTCCGATTCGTCGTCTTTCTTTCCGGAAATCTCTGAAATCAAAAGAGAATTCTAGGGTTTCTGCTACATCGGAGAAGGTTTAATTTATATCACAACAAGGAACGGATCATCATCATCATCGTCATCGCCATCGTCATCGTCGCCGTCTTGATGGGAGGGGTTACTTCATCGATCGCTGCTAAATTCGCGTTCTTCCCACCAACGCCACCGTCTTACGAGGTGATAGCCGACGATAGCTGCGGCGGACGCCTGTACATACCGGAGATTCCTCGCCGCGACGATGTCGACATCCTGAAGCTCCGTACTCGTTGTAACAATGAGATCGTGGCGGCTTATATCAAACACTCCAAGGCTAACGGCACAATTCTGTATTCTCACGGTAACGCCGCCGATTTGGGACAAATGTTTGAGCTTTTCGTCGAGCTCAGCAATCGCCTTCGCGTTAATCTTATGGGGTAAGTAATCTCTCTCTCTCTCTCTCTCTCGATTTGTTGCCAATTGTCAAACGAATTTGTGCCGTTTTTGGATTCTTCAGTGATTGATAAGTTTGTGAATTTTTAAGCAGAGTTCGTGAAAATCAGTGCTTTAGCCTCAAAGTTTGGGTCTTTAGAACATTGAGGCATTAATTCAATTCAAGAAACTAAAACTCTGTCATTAGTAAAAATCAGTGCTTTTAGTCTCAACTCTGCTTTTGTGATTCTATCTCATTCTCATCACTGTTTCGTATTCTTGAGTAATGGATAAATTTGTGAAATTTTACGTAGAATTGGTCTTGTAATACACTAATAGAAGAATCATTCTTCGTAAAAATCAGTGCTTTAGCCTCAAAGTTTGAATCTTTAAGTCTCCATCAGTTGTGTAACGATATTCTAGAAACTGACACTCTGTCATGCGTAAAAATCAATGCTTTAGTCTCAAAATTTCAACTCTGGTTTTGTGATTGATACATTTTCATCACTGTTGATAAACCTGTTGACTATGTTAGATTCTTGGCTCATGTGTCCATTGGTTTTTTCTTTCTCAGGTATGATTACTCTGGCTATGGTCAGTCTTCAGGACAGGTATAATCCTGGATCTTACTACTCTGTTTTATAATAATATAAGCCATAGACTTGTTCCATGGATTGTTTCTTATTGATTTGGTACTTGAATCAGGCAAGCGAGTGTAACACATATGCTGACATAGAAGCATGTTATAAATGCCTCAAAGAAAAGTATGACACAAAAGACGATCAACTGATACTATATGGTCAATCAGTCGGTAGTGGACCAACGGTCGATCTAGCCTCGCGCACACCTAACTTGAGAGGCGTGGTACTACAGTGTCCGATTCTCTCCGGGATGAGAGTTTTGTATCCTGTAAAATGTACATATTGGTTTGACATTTACAAGGTAAACATCGAATTTTTGCTTCTGGTTGGTTACATGTATAGAGCTGCTTCTTACCTGCACAATTCCATTTTCTTGCAGAATATTGACAAGATCGGTGCAGTTGCATGTCCTGTATTAGTAATCCATGTAAGTGACACCAACATTGCTTCCTCTTATCACCAGAGAATCTGATAATCCATGGAAGTTTCTGAAACTCTCTTGTTGGTGTTTTAGGGAACTGCGGACGAAGTAGTTGATTATTCGCATGGACATCGGCTTTGGGAGCTTAGCAAAGAGAAGTATGAGCCTTTGTGGATAAGTGGAGGTGGACACTGCGACCTTGAACTCTATCCAGAATTCATTAAACATCTGAAGAAATTTGTTGTATCACTTGGCAACAAACAAGCAGAGAAAGCTACAGATTGATGATATGTTTGTAAAATGGGTTACTTTGGAAATGAAGAGCGTTGATAGGTGTAGATGTAAAAAGTCTATATTATAGTTCGGTGACACAATGGGGTCAAATCTGTAATGTAGACAGTATATTACATTTCGTGAATAAATTCTTTACCTTTATGTGAGTACTGATGGATCATAATCGGTATAAACTGAGATGTTCTCTGAGAGTGTGGAAGATTCTTGAAGTGGTGCAGGTGGAATATGGAAAACAGGCCTTGGAGGGACTTCAAGAGCATTAACACTTCCTTCCATCATCTCAACAACTCTGTTCATCGCTGGACGATCTAAAGGGGAAGTTTGAATACACCACAGACCTACTAGTGTCATCTTCTTTGTTATCTCCTCGTCTTCGCTGCTGATTGTGTTCTCTGTTGGCCTTTCATTGTCTCTCTTCTCAAGATCTTTGTATATCCATTCAGGGAAGTACATTGAGCTTGCGTTAGATGCAGAGGTTTGATCAGCTCTTTCCTGGTTCCTTGCTCCTATCATCTCAAGGAGCAACATTCCGTAGCTATACACATCTGACTTGTGAGAGACCCTACCGTACATTCTTGAAAACACTTCTGGTGCAATGTAACCAATCGTTCCTCTTGTGTCCAGTAGTGACATCAAGCTTCCTTTCCTCTCGCAGAGCTGAGCGAGGCCAAAGTCAGAGACTTTGGGACAAAGATTCCCATCCAACAACACGTTCTGAGGTTTGATATCGAAATGCACGATCCTCGTTTTGCAGCCATAGTGCAAGTACTCTAGACCTCTAGCAACGCCTAGAGCTATCCCGTACAGGACCATCCAATCCATGTTCATTGAGGGATTTCTTGAGATGAACTGATCAAGAGACCCATTTTCCAAAAATTCGTAAATGATTGCTCTCTTGGAACCTTCAGAGCAGAATCCAAGCAGGTCAACAATGTTGACATGAGAGGTTTTGCTGATGCTTGCAACTTCGTTGATGAAGTCTTCACCATTATTTCCCTTTGAGTCTTTCAAGATCTTCACCGCAACAGTACGGCCATCACATAGGGTTCCTTTATAGACTGTTCCAAATCCGCCTTTGCCAACCACTTCAGCGAATGAGTTTGTCATTCTCTTTACTTGTATGTAGCTATAGTGTTTCAGGGGAATAAGGGCCTTGAGATTCTGTTGTTTCGGATAATCTGAAGTCTTTCTTCTCCGGATGATGAGACAGAACAAAGCTCCTGCTATAAGTATGGCCGCTACTCCTCCAGAAGCAGCAACAATGCCTAGAGAAGAAAACAAAATACAAGTCTCATAAGAAATTAAGAAGTCTATGGTTTATGCTTATATGGTAATCATATCTGGTGTTGCGAAAGAAACATGAAAAGAGTAAGGACCTGCGAATGCTGCAGCAGAGAGACCTGCATCAATGGAATTGCATAAGAAAAAAGGGTAGTTCGAAGTGAATAGTGAATAGTGGAAGCAAAAAATAGTTGAAACTCAAAAGGTCGTTAGGTAGGGAGATTTAAGGAATGGATAAATGGTGGTTCTTGTGGAAGAACATTAGGAAAGTAGAGCAAAGTAGGAAGAAATGTTACCCTTCTTCTTTCTAGGACTGTTTTGTTGTGTCCCTTCTGTGTTATAGCACGTGAAACTACTTGAGCTCTGAGTATATCCACAAGCACCTCCAGATCCGATGCACATCGAACAGTTTTTGTTCACTATCTCGAAACCCTCTTCAAGAGCCTTCTTTAGATTATTTATATTCGAAGTACTCTGCAGTGTGGCCAGCGCCCGTCCAGATATGGGAATACTGACGTTTTTATTGCAAAGTTCCCTGAAGTCGTTTAGAGAGTCACTAATCCCTCGAAGTAGAGGGGACGAGTTCTCGTCACATAGTAGTTTCTTATGCTATCATCCTCACATTCAAACTCTCCAGTAAAAGTAGAAACGGAAAATTCCCGGCGGCAGTCATAGTAAATTGTTAGCAGCTCGGTGTTAGGAGCAAATGGAAGGACAGTTTCGTCGAACGTCGCATTCAAAGGATCTTGCGGACAAAGAGTGCTGATGTAGTCAGATCGTGCCAGTCTTATGATACCAGAGAAATAGTTCACCTCTAAGATTCTGAACTTCACGGAGGAGATACTAACCTCTGCGACGTTTGCGCTGCATTCGAGCTTGAAGTCAGGGTGGCCACAGCCTTCTCTACTATCTATCCAAAAAGGGTAAAAGAGCTCGCTCTGATCGCCGCAGCTGAACGGTGGTCTGCAGCGTGTATAAAGATCACTAGCTGAGAAAACAAAAGATGGGATCAAAAACAGCATCCATATGATTCTACAGGACACTGATTTTGTTTGGGATAATAGCATATTGATCATCGTGTTGGATGTCAGATAATAGATGATTTGTTTGAGATCTATTAACAATTGTTCTTGTGCTGAGAGAGAGAGAGATGATGAGCAAGTAGAAACGACGAAGGTTCGTGACGAACCAAGTCAAGCAAGAATACAGAGATACTGACATACTGTAATACATATTATACTTGTCTCTAGTATCTCATAAATATGTTTGTCTTCATTCTGTAAAGCTGGCAAAGAAGATTTAGGAGACTGGAAAAGTCAAAAACTTAAAGTTGAAACTTTCAATCATAGATCAAAACGTTCTAGTCTCTCTTCAAACTAAATTAAGTGTTTAAAAATATGGATGTTTGAACAAGAACAATCATTGAAGGTTTAACCATGACTCTAGACAAGTACACGTTGTCAAAATAAATACAAAATCAGAGGTTTTTGTGCTCATGCTTCCATTGAGATGAAAGAGCTAGCCTTAATTTAATTTTAAGCACTAATAGTCTTGATCAGGGCAATGGTATTGTATTTAATATAAACGTAGAGAGTAATTAAGGAAGAACTACAAATGGTTTATTAGTCTTTTCTTTGGTTTACCTTTTGTGTGTGTGAATTCTTACAAAACTAAATGAGACTAAAAGTCTTTCTCTCATGTTTGGATGTAACGCAACGAATGTTTTGTCCTTCCGCAAAGGAGGTTTATGAAAAAATGTATTTGATGTTTTCATGGTTTGATAGGCTCCATTGAGGTTTCTTTCTTTATACGCCATTCATGGAACATACTTCTGTGTGAACAGAAATGTCCTCAGAAAGCGTAAAAGAAGAGTCCTGACGAGGAGCTGGGAGGATTTGGAAAACAGGCCTAGGAGGGACTTCAAGAGCATCCACACTTCCTTCCATCATCTCTACAACTCTGTTCATCGCTGGACGATCTGATGGAGAAGACTGAACACACCACAAACCCACCAATGGCATTTTCTTTGCTGTATCCTCTTCCTCGCTGCTGATTCCATTCCTTCCATTGTCTCGCTTCTCAAGATCCTTATAGATCCATTCGGGAAAGTACATTGAGCTTGCATTAGATGCGGACTGTTCTTTGGATATGTTATTCCGTGCTCCTATCATTTCGAGGACTAACATTCCGTAGCTGTATACATCTGACTTGTGAGACACGCTTCCATATACTCGGGATATCATCTCTGGTGCAATGTTTCCTACTGTCCCTCTCGTGTCTAGCAGAGACATGGTGCTCTCTTTCTTCTCGCAGAGCTTAGCGAGGCCAAAGTCAGAAACTTTGGGACAAAGATTCCCATCCAACATCACATTCTGAGGTTTGATATCGAAATGCACGATCCTTGTTTTGCAGCCATAGTGCAAGTACTCTAGACCACGAGAAACACCTAGCGCGATCCCATACATTGCAATCCAATCCATGTTCATTGAGTTATTGCTTGAGATGAACTTATCCAGGGATCCATTTTCCACAAACTCATAAATAATTGCTCTCTTGGAACCTTGGGAGCAGAATCCAAGCAGTGAAACAATGTTCACATGAGAAGTTTTGCTCATACTCGCAACTTCATTGATGAAGTCTTCACCATTTCCCTTTGAGTCTTTCAAGACCTTCACGGCAACACTACGACCATCAGAAAGGGTTCCTCTATAAACAGTTCCGAATCCGCCTTTCCCAACCACTTCCGCGAATGACTTCGTGATTTTCTTTACTTGTGCGTAGCTATAGTGTTTCAGTGGAATAAGGGCCTTTAGATTCTTCTGTCTTAGACCATCGGATGTCTTCCTTAGGCAGAAGATGACACAGAACAAGCCTCCGGCTGCAAGAATGACCACTACCAATCCAGAAGCAAACGCGGCTCCGCGAGATATAAAGAAATTATTGTGTTCGTTTTCTACTATTCTAGTTTGGTTTGCTGGAAGAAAAGGAGACTGGTGAGAGCTTGTTTTCGCTTCAGCAGAGAGGCCTGCATCAATGTAATTACATCAGAAAAAAGATTACAAATGAAAGCGAAAAACAAAAGAATAATTAAATTCATGGGACTAAATGATCCGTCTTTCGAGTTTGGTGTACGAGAGAATGAAGAGAAAAAAAACGAGGTCGTTCTGGAAGAAGAGCTTTAGGTAAACAGAACATGTACGCATGAAATCAACAAATCTTGCCCATCTATACAAGTCCTTAGTAAGATCGAATTAAATGAACCTAAGTTTGGTCTCTTTGACCAACTTTCTTTTTGATTTTATTTTGTGCGACGACTTGAAACTTCAAAGTAGTCATGTCCTTTGACATTTCTGAAATCTAGTAATAAAAGTATTCCAAATGTAGGTCCCAGCTCCAGCCTCTAAGCCATTTCCGAGTTTTTCACTTTTTTTACACCACTAAAGATATTGCAGAAAAAATGAAGTGTGGAAAAAGGCAAAGACCATTCACAACCGAGACAGAATGATGTGGAAGAAGAAAAATTCTATTAGTGAAGAGTGACCAAAGTACTACGATTTTAAAGTATTACGATCTTGGTATCGCGTTTTTTTACAATATGTTAAAGTAAGGGTTAAAAGAAAAAGGTAGTAGAACCACTACTTTAGTAATAATTGTTAAAAAAAATGGATATGAAATGAAAGTTATGCCTAAGAAACTTACCAGTTGTTGGATGTAGTAGACCGCAATTAAGTCCTAATGGCAAGATTTCGTTGAAGCCACAGATTTCGTTCTCATCGATCTTCACTTTCACCTCAAACCCATTTCTTAAAACTCTTTCCAAATCGGTCATATTCAGCTCTTTCTCTTTTGTAACGAAATTCGTAGGAACGTTCACGATGAAACTGTCAAGGCAGAAATCGTAATACTGATTAGGGTCTTCAGACACTGAGATCAATCCTATCACCGGACATCTAAATCTCGAAAGGTGGAGACGAAAATTGTTGCAACTGTAGAATACGGTGACACTCTTGTAGGTTGCGGGAAGCTCGAATGTTTCTGGAGGCAAGGTTGTGTTGGTGAAGTTAGAGGAGCAAAACGAGCCTAGATGATCTGTTCTTGCAAGTGTAAGAGTGTTAGATGTTTGATTTATTTGTATAACACTGAAATCTTGATTTGAGATGGATAAAGAGGTGATGTTTTTGTTGCAGTGAAACTCCAGCAATGGGTGATCGCAAGACTTGTTACGATTTTCTCCCCATGAGGTGAAACCAGAGGTGGTGTTACTTGAAGCACAAGCAAGATGATGAAATAAGGGAAAGAGGAAGAAAAATACCAGACAAGAAGTGGGAAGATAGTACATGATTTTTTTATGAACAGCGTGTCTTGTGCTTCAGAGGAAACAAAATGAGAGAGAGAGAGATTAATGAGGAGCAAGTGGAAACGATGGAGTTCGTGAAGGAATGAATGTTAAACAATCGGTTAAAATAATTTAGAGTTTGTTTTGTTTATTCACTTATTGTTTCAGGGATAGTTACAAGAACAGGACGCCAAGCTCTTCGAAGTAATCTACATCGAAGTGTACCCGATAACATGGGAGCAAGTGGAAACGATGGAGTTCGTGAAGGAAAGTGAAAGATACAAAGAGACTTGGAGTCTTTTAATCAAGTGTCTTTATTAGTTGACCCCCAAATAAACGTAACCGCGATAGAGAGGGGGTGTTCCTTTTTTTCTTTGGATATAAATAAAACAAGTTAGGATAATAATCTTTGTCATCTATCTATCTATCTTATTATATAAAGCTGGATGCATGCGATGTGATTGCGACACGTAGGATCTTTATAATTTATAGAATTGCAACATGTGTTATTTTTAATGTTAGATCCGTTAAGATGGTGACATGTGTTTAAGAAAAAAAAAATCTATTATAATAGAAAGAAAAAATTTATATTTGTCATATCCTAATAGAAAAATGTTTCTCATTTATACAAATTATATTATCTTTAACATATATTAAATTTAAAATAATGTAATAATTAAAATCCTATTAATACATGTAATAGGTTATGTAAATTAAATTTTCTATAACTGCATTAAATACGTTACGTGAATCCTTATAAAAAGAGATTTAATGAAGTCTACTTTTTCTCATTCACAAAATCATCAAAGACAATTTATCAAATCTCTTTGTATAATCCTATGGTAGTGAAGTCTTTTTCTATTTTTAATAATTTGTCAAGATAAGTTATTCTTTTATTGTTAAATTGTTTCTAACAAATTCTTTACTTTTAAAATTTCAAGACAAAAAGTTTTTATGTGAAACAATTTCTTTAGAGAAAGAGCTTTTATGTCCATCAACTATCGTCGATATTGATTTACGTGATAGGTGAAACTACGTAGCATGTTCAGCCAAAAAAATATTTAAAAAGTTGGAAGGTTCCATATTCTAATGAAAAAAGAAAAATATTATTTTGCAAACTTTATATTTTAAGATAAATATGATCCTTATTCTAACGGAAAAAAAGAAAAATAAGTATCTTCTATGTTTTCCCTAGTCATGAAAAAGTTATATTTTCCATATTCTAACGGAAAATGGAAGAAAATTGTATACCTCATATTTTAAGATAAAAATGTTCCATATTCTAACGGTAAAATTCTAACGGTAAAAGGAAAAATTATTTTTGCAGATTTTATATTCTAAAATAAAAAGGTTTCATATTCTAACGAAAGAAAGAAAAATAAATATTTTTTATTTCTCACCAAGCCCTATGTAATAATTTAATTGTGTGATTTCATCTTTTTCTCTTATCTCTAATTGTGTGATTCCATTTTTTTTAAGAATAAAAAACTTATGTTTTCCAACTTGTAAGAAAGCAATGGAGATTATTTCACTCTAAATCAAATGGATTGAATCGAAATTATCTTCGTACTATAATATGTATTATTCGAAAGTGGAAAGTTAGAAATCCTTTGCTTCTATTAAATGACTTTTACTATTTATTATACAGCAAAACTGATGTATATTATGTTATTAACAGTTTTTTTACCGAGTTTTCAATACTATTTCAGTTACATATAAAAGTAGTCATATTTTGTTTAATATTTTTTCATAAATTGTTTCAAAAATCTTAAGATAAACTCCGCATATACCCAGGGCTTTATCGAGTTACTAATAAAAGTCGACCCTATAGACCTCTAAAGATGTATACATAGGATTCTAAAACTAAATTTGATTGGTCCACATAAACATTGCCATTAATAAGAAAATTTTCAATTTTAAATATGTAAGAGATAAGGAAATTATGTATATAAAATTTTAAACAACCAATAATATCATTCCACATCACTAAAATTATTTACCTTTTTAAATATGTAAGAGATAAAAAAAATTAAGTATATAGAATTTTAAACAACCAATAATATCACTCCACATCATCACTAAAATTATTTACCTTTTTATATTTTAGATTTTTTTTATTAATTATTTACGTTAGAAAATAAAGAAATTATATTTTCTAATTGTAACAAAAATAAAATTGTATTACAGTAAAATGGTCATATATAATTTTAAACAACCAATATTATTAGTATACATAAGCTTACCTAACACAAAGATATTTTTCAAATCTTAAAATTATAATATCCATAAAGGTATATGAGATAAGGAAAACATGTATAAGTTTTTTTTATCATAACATGTATAAGATGAGTGAAGATGAATAAGAAATCAAATCACAAGAGATTGAAGAATATTCCATCTGTCCCAATTTATAAGCTGTTTTAGACAAAAGTGTAAAATTAAGAAAATTACTTTTTTTAATAAAATATTATTTATAATATAAATTAATCATAATCTAACCAATCATAGAGAAAATTGTAAAATATAAGTGGCTGCACAATAACCCATAACGTAAAATGTGAGAAAATGCTTATATTTTGGGACAAACATTTTTCCCAAAACTGCTTACATTTTGGGATAGAAAGTGTAGTACCCCTCACAATGGCTAAGCACGTGATGGGACGGATAGTTAAAACAACCATCCCACGGAGGATCTATCCCACAAGATATACAAATGTCCCGGGATGGAGGTATCCCGCACATTTCCAAGCAGCTATGTGAAAGCTCAGAAACATGGAAATGACAGAAGAATTAAAATGAGAGATTTTAATTCTCAAGCACGACGGGAACGAAACCCTCCGATCAAGAAACGTACGAAACCCTTTGGAAAGGGAAACGTACAAAACCCTCTGCAAGAGGAAACATGGGAAGGAGCACATCATCCTAAGCCAACGGGATGTTGACACCAGCTGCTTAAAGGATAAGAGTGGTCTGGACCAATGAGAAGGCTACATTCAGCTACTGAGTAAGGACGAACGGAGTTCTAGGCCAATCACGTGGTGGCACTCAACAGCTGAGGGAAGGAGCCAATGGAAGGAGCCACTTGATCCAGGAAGATAGGATCAAGGAGGAGATGTTCATCCTCAACGGACCAATCACGTTCAGCTACCCAGCAGCTTGGGGAATGGACCAATGGGAAGGTGCCATTCGACCCAAGTGGATGGGGATGGGAGAAGCAGCTCCAGGCGTGCTTCCATGCCATTGGTTGCATGCAGAAGCAAGGTGTCGCGTTCTGAAGCTCAGACGCCACCTCGAGCTTCCGAAAACCTATATAAAGGCCCCCTTGGTCTTCACTTCCAAACCACACCACAAACTGAAAACTAGAGAGAAACTAGAAAGAGAAAGAGAGAGGGCGTGGAGAAGAAGAGGAAGAAGAAGAAAGAGGAGAAGAGAAGAAGATCCAGAGGCGGATCAGCATCGGGCTAGAGCGGGGAGGCTAGGGTCGGGGTCAGCCGGGTCGTCTAAAATCTGTGAGTTCCGGTAGCTAGGTTATAGTTTATTTCCTGCTATTGGTTTTTGGTTCTGTAGTATAACTCTCTAAACAATATGGTTTAGTAAAAATTGTGGAGAGTTATGTGCAAAATTTCTGTGAATTGTTGTGAGGTTGTGGCGGGTAATCTTCTAGGGAGAGAAGTTATGCCGTCAAACCTCTTAGTGTTTGAATGCAGGTTATGCATTCGTGGTGAGGATCTGGATGGCTATGCCATCAGATCTATTTTGTGGAGGTTCTGGTTGGTAATCTTTCACGCGGGGAAAGCTCTGCTTGAGAGTAATCTTTCACGTAAGGGAGAGCTCTGCCACAGAACCGGGGGTACAGTATATTAGGGCGTAGCCCATATGCTAGTACCGGCACTTATGGTGTAACCATAAGCGGGGCCAGGTCCATATGAATGTAGTGAGACATTCATATGGAAATGCACATGAATGTAGTGAGACATTCATGTGTGGTTAGGGTGGTGTACTCAAGACATTCACGCACAACTCCTTTCATGTGTGATTGTTAGGAGGTGCCCCAGCCTATTACAACGGTGTGGGAAGAACTCGGAGAGACGGGATTGCAGCCTAGGCCGAGTTAATATCATACGACGGTATGATCCGACTAACAGTGAGGTTAGGTCGATGAGTGAGGGCCGGTCAGGTTACTGGCGCGGTGCTTCGCGTGTGCGTGTAATGAGTTCCCTTGGTACACCAGTTAGAGGTTTTCACCGGTGAAGCAGTGGAGTGTAGAGTAAGGGTCAAGTACATGAGTACTTGCCTTAGTGATGATTTGCATTTTAATTGCATGTGTGATTGCTTTTAAATTGCATGTTGTGGCATATGTTATGCATATTGGATGTGCTAACTTTGATGCAGGTGGTGGCGGGGTTCTTATCCCGCGGCTCTTTTCTTTTGGGTTGGGTTTGGGGAATAACCTTTGTATAGAGGGTCCTGAACTCACTGAGTAACATTAGGTTACTCATGATGATTATTTGTGTTTCAGGAAGCTTGGAGTAGATAGCCCGTGGGCGGGAGGCAGAACACTCGAAGACCGGAGTAGTTTGCTTGGCTTTTGTTAAAAACTCGATTTCGGGTAATGTATTGTAATGTCTTTCTTTTGGGCGTTAGGCCATGCCGGCAATGTAGGATAAGGTTTTGTAAGAACATGTTTTCAATGTTTGAAATATAAAGTTATGTTTTTGCAAAACCCGGCTTACTGGAATGATATTAGCTAGTCCAAGCTAACACAACTCAAGACTAGAGGTAAAGGTTGCAAAGCCTTAACCAATGGTCGAGAGGGTCGTATTCATCAGGTTAACTGGCCTGGGCTCTGATGTGTTCTTAGACCTGGGACAGATTACTTGATGGACCTCGACAATTGTGACATATGCGGTTTAGTCTATTTATAGACCGAATCGGGGGTGTTACAGAAAGAGTAATAAATAAAATAAAATTAAAATCTATTACTAATAAACAAGAATGAAAAACAACAATGTGCCACTACAAGAAATGTGGGCATTGATAGCACATTGTTATAGCACGTTTTCATGAACTGCTATAGAAAGTTGTTTTTAAGTTTTTGTCATCCTATTATAGCTTTTCCGAAGTGCTATCCCTGAAAATCATTCAGCGCCAATCTAAAAAACAAAAAACCGCCAAAGTGAATGAAAATGACAATCTATACCGCCAACACTTAGCCAAAAAAAACACTTTTCGGTACTCAACTTTGAGTGTACAGTAAACAAAAAAACATTTATCGATTTTTCCCCAAAAAAAAAAATCTCAATCCGTCGCCGAGAAATTCACTCCATCGATTCAGATCAAATTCCGTCGCCATATTCTCCGTGATAATCCTGATTTCTCACGGTGGCAATCTCAGTACATTCGGTCGATTTATCGTTCTGTCACAATCTCACTCTGTCTCGATCTGAAACCTCGTCTCGGTCTTATCCTTCTCTCGCTCTTAAATTCGGACAACAAACGAGGTACCCAGATTACTCATATCTTCGATTTCACTCTCATTCAAGCATCTTCTGAACTAATTTCATTGCCTGCGACTTGGCTATTTAATTAGGGTTCATTGGTACTAAAAAATGGGGAAAGCAAAATTCATATTTTTCCAAAATTAGAGTTTCTTTGTAATCCAAATTGGTAACTGTGGTTTATATGTGCTCATATGTATTCTCAGGTGTACCTGATTCAAATCTGGGTTTAGTGATATACACATATATTAACATACATTAGCATACATTTACATGCATATTTCCACCTATTGGCATCATTCTCACATTTTATCCTCATATCTCTATTATACATTGCATCTTCATTAGGACTTGCATTGCATACACATTGCATTTTGAGTCTGAATCAGGTACTTAATGGAGCTTTGGAGCCATTTGGGAGAAGGAGTGTTGGAGACGTCAAGACGAAGAGCAACCAGGATGCGAACCAGGATCAGGAACCCGTTTGTCTTACCTTTCCTTGACCAAGAAGAGAGTTGACCATGCCAAGTGAAACGCGGCGTTTTGGAGCTTAAATCTTGGGGAAGGAAAGAAGAAGGGTTTTAGAGAGTCTCCACTATATAAACTAAAAAGTCCTAAGTTTTTAGGCACCTTGTAATTTGTCTTTCATTTTGCCACCAAGAAATACTCTAGTTGAGATCTAGACTTTGTAAGCTTTGGTCTCTTTCTCTTAATCAAATCACGTACTTGTTTATTTGCATTTAGTTTCCATCTCATTTTACTTGTAAACAACCTTCCTCTTATGAGAATCGGGTTGTCAAACAGGATGAGTGAGTAGTCTTTAGATTGTTTTAGGTGATTCGGTTTTGAGAGCTTTAAAGGAGAGTTTGGGCTTAAAGCTAGAACCTTTAGAGTTTCTCCTTGCTTAGTGCCCTTAAGGCTGAGTCATTTCTGATCATCTTGGCTCAGATCTCAAGCTCTCAACACATCAAAAGTGTGTTTGAGAGCTAGATAATCTAAGACAAGGGATCCGCTTTTCTAGCTCGCGATAGCGATTTGTTTAGAAAGCTTTTTGGTGATGGGATCTGCGTTTAAAGCTTGCTTGTGTAAGCTCACTCACGATAGTGAGTCTTGAGTTTGGACCTTGCATTCGAGCTCATTCACGATAGTGATAAGCTCTTGCTTTCGTTTTCCTTAGCCTAGAAACTCGGTTTTATCTTTAAGTCTTAAAGCTTCTTCCTTTAGCTCGATTTCCATCCGAAATCACCTAAAGCCATCGCCTTTCTTCATTTTCTTATCAAAGTTCAAGTCTTTTAGCTCAAAGTCGATTTCTTTCCTCTTTGAATCTTGATTTGGACCGTTATTTCACTGTTCTAAGTTTGTATTTTTACTGTTTAACGTTCGGATTTCATAAAAACCAAATCTTGTTCTTGGCTTGAAGTTTTCTTGTTCAATCTTTAGAACCCAATCTTCCCTGAGATTTGGATTGATACCTTAAACTATACTGCAATGATATGAGCAGAGATTTGAGGGTTTGGATCTACTAAAAATCTTGTTTTCATTTAGACACATTTTGTTTCGGAAAGCACGTTTCCGACACTCAATTTTGAAAGGTTAGACTCATCTCATAGTAACTTCATTCGTTATACTTATGCTTTTCGTCATTGTTGGTTTAGTATTTGTTGTTTGCAAAGAAGTTTGATTTGTTCTCTTGCTTTTCCATCATGCATATATGTTTCATTTTTCGTGCCAAGGCTTCAAACTCTAGTTTAGTTACCATGTTGGAGAAGGCATGGTACATCTGTGCAGGTATATTCTACAATCTCGACAATCTTTGGCTTAGAATTACTGACATTACAATATAGACTTACTGTTTCCTTCACTGTCATGAACTGTAGAGCTGATCCTGCATATGAGTCTGGCGCTTGGGATTTTGTGCATGTGGTTAGGGACACATTAGGAGAATCAGAGCTGGTTATATGCCCATGCATAGATTGCCGAAACAATGATAGACATTCATGTAGTGTTGTCGTAGATCATTTAGTAACTAGAGGAATGGATGAGGCCTACAAAAGACAGATAGATTGGTATCATCATGGTGACTCCGTTTCTGAAATTGAGCGTAAGGGAAATCAGTGGAATGATGAGATTATGGGGTTGTATAAAGCTGCTGCATACTTAGATGATGGGATGGTTTCGAAGGATATTGACTTAGGAGAGATAGCCGAGGGTGAAGACAAGAAAGAAGACGAATTTCTTGCAAAGCTAGCAGATGCCGAGATGCCGTTGTACCCAACTTGTACAAGCCATAGCAAGCTATCTGCTACTGTCTCACTATTCAGAATCAAGACACAGAATGGGTGGTCTGATAAGAGTTTCAACGATCTGCTAGAAGCTTTGCCAAACATGTTACTGGTGGACAATGTTCTACACACATCAATCTATGATGTGAAGAAGTTTCTGAGATCGTTCGATATGGGTTACGAAAAAATACACGCTTGTGTCAACGAATGTTGTCTTTTCAGAAAGCAGTTCAAGAAACTGGACTCTTGTCCTAAATGCAACGCCTCAAGGTGGAAGATCAATCTACATACTGGTGAAGTAAAGAAAGGCGTCCCAGAGAAGGTTTTGAGGTACTTTCCGATCATCCCGCGTTTGAAGAGGATGTTTAGGTCCGAGAAAACTGCAACGGACTTAATATGGCACTTCAGTAACAAGAGAAACGACGGAAAGATGTCTCACCCTGTCGACTCTGCAACGTGGGACCAGATGAATAACAAATACCCAGACTTTGCATCTGAACCAAGAAACGTGCGGCTAGGGCTTTCAACAGATGGGTTTAATCCTTTCAGTATGAAGAATAGTACGTATAGTTGCTGGCCAGTACTGATGGTGAATTACAACATGGCTCCAGACCTCTGTATGAAGGAAGAAAATGTCATGCTCACATTGCTTATACCTGGTCCACACCAGCCAGGAAATAGTATCGACGTTTATCTAGAGCCTCTGATAGAAGATCTACAACATTTGTGGACTAATGGAGAAACCGCATACGATGCCTCTAGCAAGACAACTTTCACTTTGAAGGCAATGCTTCTCTGGACAATCAGCGATTTCCCTGCATTCGGAAATCTTGCAGGATGCAAAGTCAAAGGGAAAATGGGATGTCCTGTGTGTGGGAAAAATACAGACAGTTTGTGGTTGACTAACTGCAGAAAGCATGTCTATATGTGTCACAGAAAGGGATTGTCACCTACACATCGCTTTAGAGGAAAAAAAACATGGTTTGATGGAAAAGCGGAACATCGGACTAAGGAAAGGATTCTGACGGGTAGCAACATTTCGACACTACCGAGAAACTTCAAGAATGATTTTGGGAATAAGAAACAGACAGGGAAGAAGAGATCTAGAGCTGTTGCTATTAGAATAACATCAGACAACGAAGATGAAGACAGTGAGGAAGAAAAGGTGCAAGAGTTTGACAAGGAGGAACTGTCAAGGTGGAAAAAAAGATCTATTTTATTTAATCTGCCTTATTGGGAGGTATGTCCTAACTTATATTCAAATAAATTTTTGTTTTAACATTGTTAATTTTTAATACTTGTAACTAAAGCTACTTTATGTCATTGCATTTGGTTTAAGCACTTCCGGTTAGACATAACTTAGACGTTATGCATGTGGAGAGAAATGTTGCGGCAAGCGTTATTGCAACATTGCTACATTGTGGAAAGTCCAAAGATGGTCTGAATGCTCGTAAGGATCTAGAGCTTCTTG